AATTTTACTGGCCCAGAAACGAAAAATTTTTTGAGCGAAAGGAATATTTGCAAAGGCGGTAGGGCCAAATTTAAGATTCCTTCTTTTTGTTTAACCTTTTAACATGTGAGATGTCAATATCAAGTACGGCTATATTACTAGCAATTTGCTCATAACAAACAACTTGTATCTACAGGGTGAACTTGCGTAGTCAGAAGCGCTTGGCTGCTAGCGTCCTTAAGTGTGGTCAGAGAAAGGTCTGGCTTGACCCTAACGAGGTCAATGAGATCTCCAATGCCAACTCTCGTAAGTAACGTCAACTTTACAAATTTTTCATTGGATATTCATAACTCATACACTTTACTTCTTCAGGCCAAAACATCCGCAAGCTCGTCAAGGACGGTCTTATCATCCGTAAGCCCCAAGTCAGCCACTCCCGTTTCCGTGTTCGTGAGCACGCCGCTGCTAAGCGTGCTGGTCGCCACATGGGTTACGGTAAGCGTAAGGGTACTGCTGATGCCCGTATGCCCCGTCAAGTCTTGTGGATGCGCCGCATGCGTGTCCTTCGTCGTCTCCTCCGTAAGTACAGAGAAGCTGGCAAGATCGACAAGCACTTGTACCACACCTTGTACCTCAAGTCCAAGGGTAACGTTTTCAAGAACAAGCGTGTCTTGATGGAATACATTCACAAGGCTAAGGCTGAGAAGCTCAGAGCCAAGACCATCCAAGATCAAGCTGATGCCCACCGTGCCAAGAACAAGGCTGCTCGCGAGCGTCGTGCTAACCGTATTGCTGAGAAGCAGGCTGCTAAGGCTGGCGAGCAATAAATTTTTTTATCTGCTCAATCCTAGCTCTAGCTCCCCTTTTAATTTTCTCAGGCAAAAATTGAAATAAAAAAAGTTCGTTCTTGTCTCAAAAACCCATAGTCCGTTATTCAATTTCGCGTTGTACCTCTCTTTCGTTTCGCCGTTGTTGTCATTGCCGCCCTTTGTCTTTAAACATCAATGGCGGCGGATGGATCCTCCTCCCAACATCCACCTCCGCATCATCAACATGCGCTGAATAACATGTCATCATCACCATACTATCCATCCCAACGTCAGGAACAGCAACATAATGTTACCAGAACGCTAAGCCAGCAACAAGTTATTGGTAGAGCAGCCAGACAGAGCTATGCTCGTCAGAAGCTACCTATGAGGGTCCAGAGTTTGGCTGCCTATGCCAACAACAGTAGTGTAGGAAGGTTACCCCAGCAAGGCAGTAGCTCGTCTTATCAACAGCGATCATCGGCACTATCGTACGGGATACCGAACTCACCTCCCCCTAGGTACGAACTGATCAACCGTACTCAAGTCCCCACCTTATCATCACCTCCTCCTCCCAGACATTCTTCTTACGGCGTCATCAGTGCTGCTCCCCCTCCTCCTCGACATTCAAGTATTCCTATCCGCCAAGATGACGAAGACTTTAATTTTCGCGGCAGACCATCTTCCGCCCATATTCAAGTCAAACCCGCCTCTGAAGAGGCTTATTCTCCTGACAGTGATGAAGTGTCATTTGCCGCTCAGCAAGCAGAATTTGTGGCCGTCGGTCATGGCGAAGGGGCTATCGAAAAACCTCTTCCCAAACTATCTAAATCTGCATCTACGGCTGAATCTGATCGCCATATTGAAATGGAGGTAGAAAAACTAGCTATTAGACTTCAAGGTGAGTACATCGGCACTTGACCACCTTCATTGTTGTTGTTTTGACGTCTATATTATTTTTAATGTTCTTGATGTCATCGCCGTGCTAAAATCTTATATGATATATCAGGGGAATCTCAGACACGTGCCCATGCCAGATCGTCATCGGTTGGTATAACACTGCAAAAGACACTATCTACCAAAGAGCCGTCATCTACCAGCGCCAAACTAAAGGCTATTGGCGAGAGATCCAAATCATTTTCATACGGCACGGGTGAAAACTTGGCTACGGAGGCTAAACAAAAGCATCAACGACATCAAAAGCGAAGTATTGAGCAGCGACCGAAACCACCCAACATCTATCCAGCATTATTATCTAAAGTGGCTATGGAGATGCAAAAGAGAGTGGTAGTTGGAGATCGTACCAAGGATAGCATTCAATACAAGGATGTTTTTGATGGTAAAGAGGCCGTGGTAAGCTATTTAATCATATATGTTTTGTGTTACAGTATTACCAAATTATTGCAAAATGTTCGGCCTCCGCTTGGCCTTCTCACACTTCTCTTCTTTTTTCATTGTCTCTATAGGATAAGCTTATCTTTCTCCTCAGGACATCTGATAGAACACTTGCTCTGCTTGTTGGTCGCTCGTTATATTCACAGAAACTATTTCATGATGTAAACTACGAACACCGCTTGCGAGATTCCAATATGGAATTATACCAATTTAGAGAAAACTTAAAAGCACCATACGAACCTAATGAGCAAGACGACGATTTACCGCTAGAGTCGCCATTTCCAGACGACGACACCATGATTTTACCACCTTTACCAATAGAAGCTGCCGAACGACAAGAAATGACCTATCCCAATGGTGTGTTCACACTTCTCACCAACTGCTATTCACCCACCTGTACAAAAGATGCAATGTGTTATAGTGTATCATGTCCTAGAAGGATGGAGAAGGTAGGAGCTATATGTGTTGTGTAGGCGAAGGAAAGGAGTTTTTGTTATTGAGAGGGAATGCGCTGCTGACATACTTTCTGGCTATAGTCGAGATCAGACTCATCGGATAAAAGTCTCTCAAGATCTATGAGTAGATCCTCGATGCATGAGAAGGTTAGTTATTGCGTGGAAATACGCACAAGCTATTGAACAAACCTCTCAATAGCCGTCTACTTTTCATTTAGGAAACCGAATTGTGGATCGAGTCAGTTCCAATACAAGTCACCGAGAGTATTTCTAATCAAGAGCGAGAACGCCAGGAAAATATATTTGAACTCATCTACACAGAGCGAGACTTTGTGAGGAATCTTGACTACGTTCAAAATGTAAGAAGTCATGACAATGCCCTTGAATAGGATCTAGTTGCTGAATTTTGACATTTATTCATCGCAGTTCTGGATCGAGCCACTGATCAGCAGCGATATCATTCCAGACGACCGTCGAGAGTTCTTTGTACAAGAAGTATTTTGGAATATCAGGGATATTTATAATGTGAACGTTGAACTCTGCGATGCACTATTAGAGCGACAAAGTGAATCTCACGTTGTTGAGCATATCGGCGACATTTTGCTTCAGCATGTCGGTAACTTTGAGCCCTTCGTCGTATATGGATCTCACCAGATGGTTGCCAAGCACATGTTTGAGCTAGAAAAGAGTCGCAACCCCAAATTTGCCGACTTTGTATATGTAAGTCGGAAGTTCCCTCTTGCTTTGTTTTCTCTTTCATTTTCCCGACGCATTTTGTTACAGGAAACCGAGCGAAAACCGGAGTCCCGAAAGCTGGAATTAAATGGCTATTTGACTAAGCCAACAACCAGATTGGGCCGGTACAACCTGCTTTTACGAGAAATTTTAAAGCATACACCAGCGGACAATGTCGACTGCGAGGTGATTCCAAGAGTGATGGATATAATCAAAGGTTTCCTGGCTCGTGTAAATAGTGAAACCGGAAAAGCAGAAAACAGGTTCAACCTACAACTAATCAACGAACGTTTGTCGTGGAAGAATCCTGCCGACGGCATCGTGAGTTTATATGCTTCTGTTACTGTGTCTGCTTCCATATAGACACTGACGCAATAATTTTTTTTTGAAGGATCTAAAATTACTCGACTCTGATCGAGAGTTGGTCATGAAAGGAAAATTAAAGCGAAAAGGTGCCGGTTCAGAATCTTCAGAAGTTCAAGTATTCTTGTTCGACCACTACTTGGTGTTTGCGAAAATCAAGTATATGTCCATTGGAGAACACTATAAGGTATACCGTCGACCTATACCGCTTGAGCTCCTTTCAGCTACCATACCAGACGTAACAGCCCACAAGCGAGCAAGTTCCATCCTACCCTATACTCGTACAGCTTTAAGCGGTAACAGCGTGTATGGTTTGAAGGCATCTGTGTCAGAAGCCAACCTGCATAGCGGTGGTCAATCCAAAACAGGTGGCCATGCTATTACATTTGAGCATATTGGACGAAAAGGTTCAGCGCCATTTACACTATATGTTCCTACCATGACACAAAGGCGTAATTGGTTGGAAAAGATCGCACGTCATAAGGAAGCTATCACCGCGAAACAACGAGTGTTTGATATTGTGACCCTCAGTGAGCGGCAATTCATATCAACCAACAGAGTCCATCATTCTGCCACATACGGTAAGGTTTTTTTTTTTTTTTTTTGCCCTCCATAAGGTACTGTGAATGCTGTATTAAAAGTGGTTGTGTTGTCTTTAGAGAAACAACTTGTTTTAGCAGCGGACAATGGGGTTTACGTTGGAGGCAATAAGGAAGGTTCAACATTAACACGCATCCTGGCCATTGAAAAAGCGACGCAAATTGAGATATTGGAAGAGTATAAATTGATGTTTGTGCTTGGTGACAAGACTCTATGGAGTTTCCCCTTAGAAGCACTGTCGAACAACGATCCAGCGTTACGACGTGGCAGGAAGATTAGCGCCAATGTTCCCTTTTTCCATGTTGGATCGTGCCTAAACAAGGTCCTAGTTTGTGTTGTGCGAACGAACACTCTATCAGCCACAACTATTCGAACTCTCGAGCCATCATCCGTAGCAGATGGAAAAAAGGCAAAGTCTCCATTCAGTCGGCTGGTGAGAGGAAGTAACGATAACCTTAAGGTCTACAAAGACTTGTATCTTCCAAGTGAAGCTTCGAGTATCAATCTACTGCGGACCAAGATGTGTATTGCTTGCTCTAAAGGAATTGAGGTGGTGGATATGGTATCATTTGAAGTTCAAGGTATGTACACGTTTTGCAGGATTAGCAAGAATACGTTAATGGCTTATAGTAACACTACTCTCTCCCAGCCCTCTTGGATCCTGAGGATGACAATCTTCATTTTGTTCTCGAACGACAGGACGTGAAACCCCTGGCGATCTATCGCATTCAGTTTGCAGAATACCTTATCTGCTATAATGGTGAGTTAACTCTGGAGGGGGAAAGTCAACGCACTAGCGCAATGATACTCATATCGCTTTCACAGAATTTGCATTTTACGTGGACCAAAAGGGAAGGCGGAAACGAACGGACTGGCGCATTGACTGGGAAGGAACACCGGAGACATTTGCGCTCCAGTACCCTTACATTCTTGCCTTCGAACCAGCCTTTATTGAAGTTCGTAACATTGAAACGGTAAGAGCCTCATAGCGTTTGCGAGAAACAGGCTGTGCGGTTTGAGATTTAAACATTCGTGTCTATAGGGTGTTTTGGAGCAGGTCATCGCTGGAAACAATATTCGATGCGTGCAGAACAACAGCAAGGAGAACGGAATCATTCATGCTGTCATGGACGACCCAACCACCGAGTCATTTCAATGTTTATTCCAGCTCAAACTAATATCTCGTTAATGAGGTTGTAATACCAGATTCGACTTTTGTATATTTCTTTCCTTCAACTCCCTTTCCTTTGTCCTACTTTGCTGTTAACGCTTGTATGTATAGTGTACTTGTTGTTTGTTAACAGTATGTTTTAACCATGCTTTACTACTTTTAATGAAGTCACTCTTTTGAACCTTATGGCGATATTCTGTGCATTCATTGGACCTTGAACCAACTTCGGCCAAACTATTGGTTTCGTACTACTACAGTAAGTGTGCGCTTTAGTGTGCTTCGGAGCAGCATAGTTGATCGTTAGCAGACTTTATCAATATAATCATATCTACTGCTATTATTAAGTACTGTATTCACAGACAAGCGATATAGTGTTGCTACGGTATGGAAGAGACTATATTGAGCAATACGGATGCAACAATTTGACTTCCTTTGACGTCTTAGCTTCACCGTTTTCTTCAGTGAGGCTGATGGCCTGCAGATATTCCAAATTTGGGCTGCATCAGCAGCACACAAAAACCGTACCAGGTTGGCGTGTGATAAGCATCCTCAATGACCATAGAGCGAAACACAAAGTATGCCATGTGGGTTATGGTAAGGGGGCCAAGTTTGACACCTCGTTGAAGAACGCTTGTGAAGAAAGTCGAAAGTGTCACTTCGCTCAGAGCGGGCGGCTACGGATATGGACATGTGTTGAGCGGTGGTACAGATAAACATAAAGTTCATTTGAAATACTGTCTTACCACCTCTTTCTTTACTGGATAAATATATCATAGAACTCATGTCAGCTACACCTCTCGCTGGAAAAGTTGCTATCATCACTGGATCGTCTAGATCTATTGGGGCTGCTATTGCTGAACGCCTAGCTGCCGACGGCGCTAATGTCATCATCAACTACGTGAATGGAGCGGCAGCTGCTGAAGAGGTCGCCAAGAGAATCAACAGCAAAGGTGTCGGGCGTGCTGAAATCGTTCAAGCCGATGTATCCTCGGTCGAGTCAACCAAGGCGTTGGTCGAAAAGACGTTGCAGATATTCAATCGACTGGATATTCTGGTGTTAAATGCTGGTGTTATGGATCGCAAGGCGTTGACTCACGTTACTGAAGAACACTTTGATAAGCACTTTGATATCAATGTCAAGGGCCCTCTCTTCCTTACTCAGGCTGCTGCACCTCATATTCAAACAGGCGGTCGTGTTATCTTCTTTTCTACCTCGCTGACCATCTCCACGACCATCAGTCCAGACTACCTTGTGTACGTTGCTACAAAAGGCGCTATTGAACAGCTTACCAGAGTCCTATCAAAAGACCTTGGTCAACGCCAAATTACTGTGAATACCGTTTCTCCTGGCCCTACCGCCACTCCTCTATTTATGGAAGGAATGAACGAGCAACGCGCTCAGTTTGTAGCTAACCTTAGTCCTATGAAGCGCTTGGGCCAACCTGAGGACATTAGCTCTACGGTTGCATTTTTAGCTCGAGATGACTCACAATGGGTTAGCGGTCAAAATATTAGAGTGAATGGAGCGTTTGCTGTGTGATGAAAAATGAAATAAAAAAATTCGGCTTCAAGGCAATCTTTTCAGCTGTAAAAAGTGTCCGAAAGATTAAGCAGTATAAAAAATTACAATGTATTGGTGGTGTGTTTGACGGTCCTAGGCTATCATCCCTACGTTCCTAACAGAAGTGAACTTGAATAGAAAAGAAGGAACTTAGGAGAGATCTGAATCACTGCATTGCACATAATCGAACTGCTTTGGCCATAAGGGAAGCATTTGAGCTTTCGTCAAGGTCTTACTTTCACAATGCGGCAGTTCAGAAATTTCCTGACGGTTTCTGCCATTATTGGAAAGAAAACAAAACGACCAATTTTCCCAAATTCTATGGTCCGCCCGCCATACCACTGACATTCCCCCTTGGACACACATTGAATCAGCATGGCTTCATCGGCAGCGAATATCCTCCAGAAACAATTCAAAGGTAAAATTTGGGTTGAATAGCCCTTCGAGATATAACGGAATGAATTTGGCTCCTACTAAACGTCATTATGCCTTTCTTGCACTCCCATTCCTCCAATTCAACCCTTGGCAGAGCTCACTCGGAATCCAGTACCAGGATTTGTGGTGGATTTGAAAGACGACAATATATTTTTATGGTAACAGCACCTTGTTTTCTTGACAGCAACACTTGTTCTTTTGCATTCCACGTTACCAACCTTCTTTACATTTCTAGGGACGTTGCAATCATTGGGTCACCAAAGACCATTTATGAAGGCGGCTACTTCAAGGTGAGGCTTTCTCACGCAATGTCAAGGTCATGTTGCCCAGCCCGTCACCTTTACCGCTCACTAATCAATCACCGTACACCTAGGCTACGATGACGTTTCCGGAAGACTATCCATTTCAACCTCCCATGTTCCGTTTCAATAACGACTTTTACCATCCCAATGGTATGTAAACATTTATCCCTTTGTTAGTAACATAGCTCAGCAACAAGGGGATGAATTAATCAATCAGCTTTTTTTACACCAGTGTATTCCGATGGGCGACTATGCATTTCAATATTACATCCTCCTGGCGATGATCCTGTTAGCGGCGAAAAGGCAGAGGTAAAAGATTTGGGCTGTGTTTTTTAAGCGTATTGACTACCCATTTGTAATGCTCCAAATGACTACGTTTAGGAACGATGGAACCCAACACAATCCGTGGAGAGTACGTTATTTGTTCAGATTGTTTTTTGTGCGACCCCAGCTGCCCTCTGATGATAAGCCCCCATCCTCCCCTTTAGGTGTTCTTATGTCAATTATATCGCTACTGGCTGATCCAAATTGCTCAAGTCCTGCTAATGTAGATGCGGGTGTAAGTAATTTGTTCTGGCTATACTTACTAATTCTCTATGTGAGTTGACATCTTACTTTGTCTTACCAGGTTGCATACCGAAAAGACAGTGAACAATTTACGGCAATTGTTAGAGGTAACATAACATATGCATATATAGAGTTGGAAGTCTCGTCATCATGCAGAGTTTACTGACGCCACCGTTTAGCTCAAGTCGAAACGAGCAAGAAGGATATACCAGAAGGATTTGTTATGCCCAAATCTGAAGCTGATTTCATGTTGACGGCACCTCCTGTCATAGAAGAAGATGAAAATTTGTGAGTACATTGGCAGTGTTAGAACACCTTGGGGAGACGGTTTTCTAACAGGAAGATATTCTTAATAGCTGGTATGATTCTGGTGAAGACTCAGAATTTGATGAGGATGATTTTATGAGCGATAACAGTTCACAAGAGTAAAGGCACCAGACCCTGGAACCCCGTTATACATACTGAATATGCGACCTTTCACCATTTCATTTCTCTGTTTTTCGTTTTGGCTTGTTTCTAAGATTTTTTTTCAACGTATTTTATCTCCTCTTACTTAGCACTTAATGCTTTTCAGAAGGATTAATACTTTGCCATGTAAACTGTGTGGAACAATATACATTTTCGCTTCTGCAGCCAGCCTTCGTATCATTGTTCTCTCTTATGACCAGCGTGTGTGTCATTCAAGGGCATTCGGCAATGTGATTGGCCAATGGGGCTGAGTAGGAAAAAGTGGGAAAAAGTACTAATTGCGGCAGTGAGGCAAGCAGTTGCGACGAAGGCTTCTTATCACTCGATTTCATATTAACATAATGTCCTCCTCCTCGGCAAAGTCCACTCCATTTTACTTTGGAGGGGTAGCTTCCTGCGCCGCTGCCATGGTCTCACATCCTTTCGACCTGGCCAAGGTTCGGCTCCAGACAGTCACTGGCGCAAGCCGGTCAGGAATGCTAAAGACCATGTTCACCATTTTCACCCAAGAAGGCCCTACCGCCTTGTATGCCGGTCTATCAGCCAGTTTGCTCCGCCAAGCAACTTACTCGACTGTTCGTTTTGGCGTCTACGACAAACTCAAAACCGCCATGACAACCGGGAATCAGAGTAAGTGACAGTATATTTGTTAGGCATTTTACAGGAACAAAATTTTTAGGGTTGCCGAAAAAGGGGCTAAATAATTTTCCATTTAGAACCCGGTTTCGTGCAGATGTTGGTTTGTTCCAGTATTGCTGGAGCCTTGGGTGGAGCATGTGGTAATCCTGGTGATGTTGTTAATGTTCGTATGCAAAACGACGGTCAGCTGCCAGCTGCTCAACGACGAAACTATCGTAACGCACTGGATGGTGTGATTCGTATTACTCGTGAGGAGGGCGTTGCCTCCTTAATGAGAGGTGTTGGTCCCAACGTCAATAGAGCCATCTTGATGACAGGATCACAGTTGGTCAGTTACGACGTGTTCAAGGACTTGTTGCTCAACAACGTTGGCCTTTCCGACGGTATGGGTGTGCATTTCGGCTCCAGTCTTTTAGCGGTAAGTTTTTCCCGACGATTACCATTTTGTCGGGGGGGGGAGGGGGCCTTTTTTTACTTTTTATCCACACATTTTACTTAAATTATGCATGCATTTCAGGGTTTGGTCGCTACAACGGTATGCTCGCCCGTTGATGTCATCAAGACTCGTATCATGAGTGCCAGTTCGGCTCAAGGGGTGGGAGCTGTATCTGCTATGAAGGATATGATCCGCACTGAAGGCGTTCTCTCTTTGTTCAAGGGTTGGACTCCAGCTTTCATTCGCCTCGGTCCACATACAATTGTCACCTTTATGGTTTTGGAACAACTGAAGCAATGGCATCAAGCTTTCTATTCCCAAAAACCTGCCGTTGTCGCCATGAACAAGGCATAGACCAGCATATTTCACCCCCTTATCTTTGCATTTGTGTATTTTTATCTGCTTTTCTCATAGAATCTCATGCTCATATTACTTTTTTCCATTATTTCCAAAATACACTGATCTCTGTTTGCGAAAGGGTCAAATGACTGGCGCACAGAATAGACTTTAAAGCAATGATTAAGCCTAACGCTGTTTCAATCGAATGCCGTAGGTTGGTGGACATAACCCCGAACTCGGCGGACGGCCATCCACACATAAGGTATGTCAGTTATATAAAACCTGTCTAACATCAACTCCTGAGTGTTTTTTTGGATCAGACCCTAGTTTCTTATAGACTTTATACCTTCAACAGCATTTTAGTTTGTACACAACTTTGCTTGTGAAAACAATCTTGCTTGTGAAAAATAGTATAGGCGAGCAATTAAGGTTTCCCGGATATCAAACATCCCACGAACAACCCCGCGTTTGTAGCATAGCTTACTGGGTGGCAACTCATGAGAGATACAATACAATATATCTGGGGATATTTGTACCAATGATGTTCAGCCGGTCATCTAATAATGAAGTAGAGTAAAGGCACGCTTCGATTTGTTATAGCCTATTTACACCGAATATAGCGTGACCATTTTCTTCCTCATAGAAAAAGCGTCACGCTTCTCAACAACGCTTCTCTCCTTACTTCAATTACCATGAGCAATCAGCCTAGTAACACTCCCAAGGTGCCTCGTGGTATCACACTGTCGAGGATACAGAATTTCATTTTCAATGGCCAGTTCGAGAGCATGGGCCTGTCCAGTCAATTATGGAAGCACAGGCGGGGAGGCGATCCCACGGTTACTGTAGCAGTCTATAGCGTTCCGGAGCTCAAAGTAAGAAAGAAACCGCAGAGACAAGTAAAAAAAAAATGGAGCATTGAGTTACTAACATATTTCTAAATCTTTACAACTGTCTATTGTCCGCTGTAGCGTATCTCCTTCAAGGTAAAACTCCCGCGGCTGTTACCAATGTCTGTGATTGAATTTGCAGCTAACATGCTCTTTACAGGATGCTATCAGCCATGTATTCCACCCAACCACACCAGGAAAAGAAAACTTTGGTCCGAGTTGGTCAACACATTGGTTTCGGATTCACGTCATTATTCCTGAGGAAATGGAAGGCGAGAGAGTCTTTTTCCAATGGAAGCTCGGCTGTGAGGGCATGGTGTGGAGCAAAGAAGGCGTACCTTTGCAGGGACTCAGTAAGTCGATCGCTTATTCTTCCACACCATGATGCTTTTTATTGACAATTTTTTTGTTAGGCGAGCAAGAGCGTTTCGAATATCTAATATCAGACAAAGCAAAGGCTGGAATGAATTATGAATTTTATATTGAAGCCGCATGCAATGGTATCTCTGGTGTAGGCGGTGGTAACATGGTACCGGATCCCAATAGATTCTACTCTATTGCTGTAGCTGATCTAGTTGTCCGAAACCAGGCTGCCTTTGATTTGTACTACGATATGATGTAAGCTCACCAGTACACTTCAACGAAATGGAATCGGCTCAGTACTGACGGTATAACCATTTAGAATCATCAAAGGCATTGCCACCGATGGCCATCAAGAATCTCAAAGAGCTCGAGACGCATTATATGTTGCCAACGAAGTCATCAATACTTATGTTGTAGGCTCGGTTGATTCGATGCTGGAGTGCCGTAAACTGACAACGCAATTCTTGAAGCAAAAGAACGGAACTGGACAGCATATGGTCACAGCTGTGGGCAATTGCCATATCGGTTAGGAATGGTTTATACAATTGACTTGAAATTGTTTTGACGCTCATTGCGTGGGGTTTCTTGCAGATACCGCATGGCTTTGGCCCTACGATGAAACAAAGCGTAAAGTCGCTCGCTCGTGGTCCAGTCAACTTGCTCTGATGAATCGTTACTCTACATATATATTCACTGCTTCGCAAGCTCAACAATACGAATGGCTCATGGAATATTATCCGGCGCTGTTTGAACAAATTCGCCATAAGGTTGCCTTTGGTCAATGGGAGTTGATTGGTGGTGTGAGTACTGGGTTATGCATATACAATACCGACATAATCACTTATCAGTTACTTACTCTGTTATATCTCTATTCAGAGCTGGGTGGAGCATGGTAAGTGATTAAATGTAACATGAAGGGGATTCCTTCTTGAATTGACCGTTCAAACCTCCATTGTAGACACCAATATGCCTTCTGGTGAAGCGCTTGGACGACAAATGTTACTAGGGTAAGTAAAATTGATTATTATGAAGAAAAATGTTGTACTTAAAACAAAATACAAAACTGAACGCATCTTATCTTGATATCGCAGACAAAGATTTTATGAGAAGCACTTTAAAAAGAGAGTGAATGTCTTTTGGCTACCTGATTCCTTTGGTAAGACCGGCGCCTCTTTTTTCATGCACTTATTCCATTTCCTAAATGTATTTATTCATTATTTGAACATCGGCGTTGTTGGTGTATGTTTACAGGGTACTCTGGCCAGGTAAGAGTCCTATCATTTATGACCCCATCAACGATTCACCAATATTTATTTTATGTCTGACAGCTACCCCAAGTACTGAAACAATCTGGCATCAAATACTTCTTCACTCAAAAATTATCTTGGAATAACATCAACAAGTTCCCGCACACAACTTTCTGGTGGACTGGAATTGACGGTAGCAGTGTTTTGGCTCACTTGCCGCCTGCAGACACTTATGTTGGTCAAGTCAATACCTCAGAGTTGTACAACTGTGTTAGTAACCACAAGGATATTGATCTCAGTAACGAGAGTTTACTGGCATTTGGACATGGCGATGGTGGCGGTGGCCCCACCTACGGCATGCTGGAGCGACTTATGCGTCTTTCTGATGTGGTAAGTTGCCATCACTCATGAAATCATTAATGTACTATGTATTCACGAGATGTCACGATGGGTAGAGTGATCTGCCAAAGTGCAAACCCGGCAGAGTCAAAGACTTTTTTGAACGTATCGACGCCAACGCCAAACCTCTGAATGCGTACAAAGGAGAGCTGGTAAGTCCTGGTAATGAAAATTGCGTATACCCAAATTTTGTAATGCTGACCATCTGATTTTTATTAGTACTTTGAACTACACCGAGGAACGTACACCACGCAAGCACTTGTGAAAAAGGGCAATCGAAAAGGTGAACTGTTGCTTCGTGATCTCGAGTTCTTGGCTGCTATTGCCGACCATAAAATTCAAGACTATGTGTAAGGTGTCTGGTCATCATGTCACAGTCTATTTCTAATGCTAAATCCCGCTCATATTACATTCGTTTAGATACCCTGCCTTGGAAATTGAAAATATGTGGAAACTGGTCTGTCTCAATCAGTTCCATGATTGCCTACCTGGATCAGCCATTGAAATTGCCTATGATGATGTTCACAAGGTAATCGATATGATCAGAGTGATATACCGTTGAATTATTCGACTAATTACGGTATTTTTCTTCACAGTTCCATAGACAAGTGGCGGCAAACTCTATCCTGCTTCGTCACAAGGCACAGACTGCATTATTAGGAAATGACTCTGAAGAATCCGATGGAAAAGGTGATAACCAACGTTTACGCAGAAGCCTTGTAACAAAGTGCTTCGGTTCTTCTGGCACGCCGCTCCTAACCAACTCATTTGCTCACTTTATTTTTTTTATAGAACTTGTCATTTTTAATACCCTTGCGTGGGATCGTTCTGGCATTGTGCAAATACCTCGCAAAGGTAACGAAGATCTCATTGGACAAGCAAAGCCAGACGCAGAAGTTGGATATGTTGCAGGTACGTCTTACATGCCAGAATAATGTATTCATTTTCCTCCAGACTCCTCTGACCTTTGTTTTGCGTTAGTCACTTCGTCACGCAGTATGGGCACCACGGTGATTAAGCATTTGACAACTACAGAACACACTGTTCAAGGTAATGTATCGATTTGACCCTGTCAATTTTGATGGGCCATTCCAGCGATGCTGACTTTTGCTTGCTTTAGTGCATTCGCTGTCTTCTGGTCATACCGTACTGGAAAATTCATATCTTGTAGTCCAATTTGATGATGAAGGCAGATTATGCCGATTGTACGACAAAGAAGAACAGTAAGTTTTTTGATCAGAACTTGACGTTGAAATCACGTAGTCCACGAACTAAAGCTTGTATGATATTAGTCGGGAGTTGGTCCCTAAAAGTGCATGCGGAAATCAATTCCAGCTCTATGAGGATGTGGTAAGTCTCCCTTCTTTTTTTTTTTAATGTGATGAAATTGATAGCTGAAACATATAGTAATGACATATTTGCAATTCGTTAGCCTGGCTACTGGGACGCTTGGTATGTTTACAGCTTTAGTTACCGCCAAAGGAGCCGACACTAACATTTTTTACTTTAACCTGACAAGGGATGTTGAAATATATCATCTCCAAAAAGGGAAAAACATTAATGGCGGATCTCTCAAGGTATATCGCGCAATTTTTTTTCCAACGCGGTTCTACGTGAGAATGGAACAACTAATACTTTGTTTACGTTAGGTCTCTGAAACTGGCCCGTTGGTTGCGTCAGTTACTGTGGAGAAGCGAATTTCCCAAAACAGCTGGATCAAACAGAATATATCCTTGTCTGCCATTAGTCGACGAGTTGAATTTGATACGGAAGTTGAATGGAGGGAAAGTCATCAATTTTTGGTAAAGTGCGCATACAGGTTGAATGTTCGTCACTGTTCTGTTACTGATTCCTTTTGGCCATTTTCCTTTATGAACCAATGAACAGAAAGTGGAGTTCAACTGGGATATCGTTAGCGACCACGTAAGTGGCAAAAACTGGCGGAAGTTTATGATTTCCCATGGCATATTGAAACACTAAACTTCCTCTATCCACCGTAGGCTACGTACGAAATCCAGTATGGGGCAGTTCAAAGACCCAATCACTACAATACGACGTTGGATTCTGCACGCTTTGAAGTATGTGGTCACAAGTTCGCGGACTTGTCGGATGCAGGTTACGGGGTTGCCCTGTTGAATGACTGCAAATATGGCTATGCCACGCATGGACAATCACAAAGACTGTCATTGCTGCGGTCTCCAAAGGGCCCAGACGCTCACGCTGACATGGGGCGTCACTACTTCAAATACGCTGTGTACCCTCATAAAGGGTACTTTCACGCTTCGGACGTGGTACAACAAGCTTACGAGTTCAATGTTCAGCTTTTGCCTAGGTGAGAAACTCAAAAATATCAACAGTCCTGCCCCGCATCGGCCATTTCACTAATCCATTACACAATTTGGTTGCCCAAAATAGATTTGTTTCCGCTGGTAGACTGGAAGATCAGTCGTACTTTACGTTGACTGGTTCTAAAAACGTCATTCTGGACTGGGTAAAGAAGGCCGAAGACTCGTCGGCTTTAATCGTTCGACTTTACGAAGCGTATGGCGGCCGGTCTTCGGTGACATTGAAGACTGATATACCTGTCAAAAAGGTGCAACACTCCAACTTTTTGGAAGATGATACCAAGGAATATTTGAGTATCATAAGAGGTGGCATTGATCTCACGCTTAATGCATTTGAAGTCGTCACACTCAAACTTGAGCTATAAGTGTGCCCTATGGTGCAATTGAACTGGCTCGCGCCAATATTGTCCGTGGGGTGTGGTTACACATTCTAGTATCGTTTTTACCATTTACATGTACCCTTCATGAAACGAAATAAAATCCATGATGCCTTACCTTTCTATAACTCAATGTATTGAACCTATGGCGCATGCACAAGGCAAAATTTCAAGGAGAATCCGTTGTCGCCTCATCAATTGATTTTCATTGACGCAATGATGACCGACTCAGTTTTTTAGCTGGAGAGACCCAAACCATAGCCTAAAAAGGCAAGTGCCCAATCGTCTTGGCAGGCTTTATTACTGTATTTGGCTATTTTGAGACGGTCAAAGCCAAGCTGTGTGGGTCATGGTTGCGTCAATACTGGCTCATCGAAAGGTTTAACGTTCTAAGCAAACAAGAAAAAAAAACGTATAAAAGGGGCCAGCCAGTGTGGCATTATTTTATCTTCATACAAATATATATTCTCTAAACATGTCTGCTCCTCAACAACACCACGATCACGTTAAGCGCGATGCCGCCCTCGGTGCCGGCGCTGGAGGTCTTATGGGCCACGAAGAACACCACGGACACACTGGACGCGATGCTGCCATCGGTGCTGGTGCCGCCGGTCTCGGTGAACACGAGCTCAAGAAGCACGATCAACACCACCCCGTTGCTGGAGGTAACCCCGTCTCTCGCGAGGAAGCTCGCCACGACCAAAGAAAGGTCGAAGAACGTGCTCAAGGTCACGTCCCCATCGGTGACAAGATCAAGGGTGCCGCCAAGGAAGCCGAGGGTAAGCTCACCGGCAACCAGGCCAAGGTCGCTGAGGGCAAGGCTCTCAAGGACCAACGTGGCTTGTAAATATGATTATTTTTTTATGTAAATGTGTATAAGCCTTATCGAATCTACGCTATGTAGATAATCTGAATAAAACTTAGTTATCAGAATGTAAAAAAAAAATTGTGTCCATGTTAAAGCTTAGTCTTTGGGAAAGGGAAAATTGCCTATGGGGTTGTCTAGGGCTTTCTCTGTATGTGCGGGTTTGGAAATGGGGAATTTTTTTTTTCCATAATTTTCTCTCAGCTTGGGTCTTCGTGGGCCAGGCTCATTTATTTGTTCGCTCGGTAAAATGAGAGAATCTGCCGTAGAGAGATGATGAAAAGTTATGCAAAGACAGCTATCTGAGAGTTTACACGCACAGTAAAGCTTTTCAATCGCTACAAGTCTTTTCAATCCCAAACTTGCCTACCACTTTAGATGATATCTTTACTTTTTTCGTTGGCGAGTCAAGGCGTACAATAACTCAGTCCACCAAAAAAATACACAAGAAAATAATTTTGTTTTTCTTACAAATGTACCCCAATACCAATGAGTGGCATACAATTGAAATCCTCCAAGGTTTAAGCAGACTGCTACTTCGATTGGCATTTGCAATGGAACATGAAATTATTTTCTCAGGAACTGTATTGCTGATCATCATGTGCATGTCGTGTACTTATTGAATCAGCCATGTTTTTATGTGGATAATGGTCTGTTTATTTAAACTCATTTCCTTTATGCGAGACTTCGATACATGAGCGTCGCTTGGTATCCAATCATGCAGCAAGAGTAGGCGATCCAAAGATGAGACCAGACCGCCGCCCGACGGTGCTACAAATCAGAACGAGACAGAAAAAAAAAAAAATTAGTCGAATAACCGGGAAACGCGTTCGGAGTAATAGAAGATGATCGATTTTTTTTTTTCCAAATTGTATTTTTTTATCTCAGTAGACAGACGTGTAGGAGGAAATTTTTGTTGAACGCCGACCTGGATGCTCGACAAATGATATTTATTGTATGCTACTCAAATACAGTTCTTCAAAAGAAGGGATGTTAGAGATTGTAATATTTTAGAATGGTGCTAGAAAAAACAGAACGAAAAAAAAAAAATGGGCGAAACAGTAAACGAACAAAACGGAACAAAATATTGTGAATTAAGCATGCTTGGATGGTGGGTGTTGAATTTTAAATGGGTTCTTCAATATTGAAGTCTGTTTGGACGATGGCGTGGTAGCAGGAGGAGGAATGGTCTCGGTTATAGGCAACAGGTCCTCGACATGAATTATATCAAGTTCCTGAGTTTGCGCTTGTTGGTTGGCGTTTAATAGCGATTGGACATAGTCGGATATAGGTGGGGAAGTGAGGTATTCTGAACCATTGGGTTGGTTACTAGTGACTACGTCGAACGTTGTGATCGCCAGTCCTGCTGTTGCTGAATGACTTTTTTGGTCTTGATCGAGAGAGCCCATCCATCCGATGCCAGCACCGCTGCATATGAAGAATGTAAGATGTAAGTTAGAAAAAGGTTGATCAGGAACAATTTTGCAGACATCCATTGCTGATCGCCGTACCTTTCAGCCCATTCCTCTCCCATGAGACGCATGACATTTTCTAATCTTTCTTTCTCTTTATCGAGTGCCTCCAACGACTTGTCATAGTCGCTGAGGGTTTTCTCCATTCAATCCAGACGTGATGACAGGTGGGGAGAGAAAGGTGATTTCAGGATGGAGAAAAGTGAAAAGAGAGAAAGGGAAAAGTGAGAAAAGTATAAAATATGAAAAGTGGGCTCGAGGAATATATATGATGGAGAAGAAAAAAAAAAAAAAAATCTTGGGATGTCAGGAACACCAGCTACATCGTTCCATAAGATACCAGTGCGTGGAAGATCCTACTGAAATCTCAGTTACTATACTTAGTATTTCGGTCACCAATTGGGGAACAGGTTGGAAGTAAAGAGAAGAACCAATAGTTTATTTTCAAAAAAAGAAAGCATTGTTCGCCGATGGAAACGATTCGAACATTTGCTAAGAACAGACAGAATGGGAAGATTGACCAATAAAAAAAGAACAAAAAATTTTAGGGAAACAACACACCTTTAAAAAAATAATATTTTGAGTTATAAAAGGAGAAGAGGCAAACCACTTTCATCCAGACACTGCTACTCAGTATCAGAAGAAGGTGGACTGTGAAGAAAACCTCTGAGAATGGTACATCTGCGTTCAAGCATAGAAAGAAAACCATGCATTTGATCACGGTTCATATGAGCCAAAAGAAGGGCAAACCGAGAGTCATCTAACTCTTCTTGTTGCAAATCACGACGACGCATTGGCGCGGCGACTTTGACTTCAGGGACTTCTTGCTTTTGAAGTTTGGCGTACAGTCCACAAGCGTTGCAGACGGGCTCTCCCTGTTCATTTTTACGCCACAACGGAGTCTGAGTTTGGTGGCAGCTCGCACAACCTTCTGATTGGACAGTAGGAACGGAATATGGAGCAGCTCTCACTGACCCAGTGGTGGTGGCGGGCTTTTGACGGATGTGAAGTGGACGATGGGATCCATATTGCTTGTAATATAATCCACAAGCATTACACAAAGTGTGTGCTCGATCCGGTGTACGTCTCCACAAAGGAGTCTTGGTGACCTTGCAGTTGAAACACTCGAGCTGACGAGGTGGTCGTTTGGCAGTTGGTACCTTCATGACATGTTGTTGTGGTTGCATGGAAGGTTGGATGGTGGTGATTTTGGGAGAAGGGAGAGGTGATGATTTAACATCATCCAATGTAGGAGGTGCAAGCAAGGTGAAATCCATGTTCTCAAAGGGCGAGAACGAATCCATGGTCAGTAACGATGGATCATCCGCCAAAAGACTACTGGGAGGAGAGTCCATGCTGGATTCAGAGCATGACGTTGGGGAGGAGAGGAAATCATCACTTGCAGGGGACGATAACATTGGAGTGTCAGCAAATAAATTTGCAATGTTGTTAGGGAGTACATCCAGGTCGAGTCCAAAAGGATCGACCGGGGCCGTGAAGAACTCTTGTTGGTGGGGAGCAGCTTCAATCATTGGTTTGTTATAATAGTTTGGTTACTTGTAATAATATTAAATTGCACTTGAATTGGGGCGATAGATCAGTCTACGTCGTTTCCTACGTGGTTTCCGTTTGACATATAATAGTAGGCCATTTTTGAGAGGGGTTCTTCTTTTTAGTTTTTCTTTTTTTTAAAAAAACTTTTTCTTTCTTAATAATCTTTTTCTTTCTTGTTTGATGCGCTTTGACGTGGAATAACGAGTTAGAAGGCCATTTTTAAATGCAGTGATAGATAAAGCAAATAAAAACGGGTAACAAGTTGAAAGTAGAGAAGAAAAGAAGTGGAAGGTACGCTTTCACCGATATCTCGGTAGTATTTATTATTTGCTCTGTCTGAAAAAAAAAATTTACAAATACGCTGGCTTTCATTGGACGATGTCATTGTCGTCATCAATATTTTCAGGCTTAAAAAGCGCTAAGCCGGGACGTCCGCTCAGTTAGGGAACTGAACAGCTGCGCGTGGCGGCAACGATATGTTTACTTCTTCGTAAACAAATGCTTAATCAAACCGTTGACATCTTGACCAAGCAGAATAGATGGACGCGATTATCGGCAGCCAGTCATTCCTTAATCAATTGGTAATTTACTCTCAGTTCCCCGAGTTGAGTCTAGCATTTTTTTTTTTTTTTTTGAAAGCGAGCTGAGTCAGCGCTGGATGATTTATTGGTTGAGCGAGTGGAAAAAATTATGATCAAAGAAATAATTCAGGAGTGGCTTTTTCAGCATCCAACACCGGGTGCTGGTGACTTGCTTAGCACCTGCCGGGTGCCACTGTTGCTAGGCTGACCTCCAAGAGCTCCTCCAGCGCCTCCCACGCCTCCAGCTCCACTAATACCACTGGCATTATCAACCGGTCTTGTCACTTCTTGGTCGACTTTCTTAGCTCTCCTCACAGCAACGCTCAGCGTGTCAAGCCATCGCTCCATGGTATCTAGCTGATCGGCACATAAAATAAAATTACGTTTGACCGTTACGATTTTGAAAACAAATCGCTTGTTCTTGCTGACAGGGTCAATCTCCAATGAATCCAATACATCAGAAAGCGGCAGTATGCGATGCGGTGCATATTCCTGTGAGACCATTAGAATTTCATATTACGAGAAAAAATGTAGGCCGATAAGGGAGATTAAAACAATGAGGTTACCTTTTCATTTTCATAATAGGCAAGCGTTTCGCTTCTCAACACAAACCATCGTTTCCTCCAGCTCTATTAAGGCAGGCATTAAGATAACGACCCAATGCATACGTAAATTCAAACGATTACTCAGCTCTTTACCTTGTTGCGCCCGAGCTTCAATAGATACCCTTCAAATAAAACGCGGTTTTTGTCCCCTTCCTTTTCGACCGCCGCTACAGTTGAATTGGTGCTTTCGTCATATCGATAATCTTCGTCCTCAGAACTCATAGCATCCTCGCCTAGATGCATACGCGCAACTTGCTCATTGATGGGCGATAGTGGTGATCCAGCACTGGTGGTAGTAGATATGGATGTGGAAAGGTAATCTTGTACGCCAGGAGGAGGAATGCGACGTCCGGGTATATCCAAAGGTGGTATGCGTGTTCGTGGTGAGACGACAACTTCTTGTGATGCAGCTAAAACGCTGGAAATGGAGTGTTGTGATTCTCGTCGAGCGTTATGAAGCGGTGAAAAAGCTTTGGGGCTGGTACCGCTTGAATAGGACGAGACTAGTTCCTTGGCAGCTTCTTCATCCCGATTCAGGCTACTGTTACTATCGTCATGCTCCAAAAGTTTAAACTCTTCTTTGGCTTGTTGAAAAGCTTGCATCCACTCATTTAAAGCATGTTCGCTGGGAGCTTGCAAGTAAAACGTTCGTTTGGGTGTCACTACCCCTATGACCCATTTGTGCTTGTCTTTCAATTTGACTTCCGTGGTACTATGAACATCGTGCATGTCGATAATTCGTAAAAGACGGTATTCCTAGCGATCCACGTATGATTGTAGGAAAAAAAAAACCCAAGGAATTATGGTTAGATCCATCATACGATATATAACCTCTCTTTCTCCATTTTCGCCTACACAGAAACACTTCCTTCTAACCTTGTCATCTTTGTATAATGCCATTTTGGTCGCCCGTAGTACAAACCAGCGACGCTTCCACGTCTGAAATAGAACAAACGTTAATGTATATAAAAAAAAAATACCCCATGCCTAGTTGTTGGGTTAGACTCAAATCTACAAGCTTACCCGCCGTTTTTCACCCTTCTTGAGTAAGTAACCAGCCTTGATGACCTTTTCCAGTTGTAGCAAATCAGCTGATTCCGCTGGCAAATTGTCTTCGTCTTCTTCGAGGTCATCTGCACTGGTGTAGCCGCGGGCATTAGACAAGGTGTTATGATGTAAAACGTCCTCGTCGTCGTCGTCCTCAGATAATGGCTGTCGAACAGTTTGATTGGTGGGCTGAAAGAGTGGATTCATCAGAATTGGCAGCGTATTATGCAATGCAGGATTTCTCCTTGGACCGAACACCGACTCCATACCTTCAGTATTGATGTTGGTACGGACGTCATACCGGAAAACGCACAGCACTATGAGATTAAGATGTAGATTAACAGCTGCCGGCTAAATGTAGTTATAAGGATGAGAAGAGAAGGGTTCACAAAGCAAGCAATTTTGCCCTTTCTTTGGCTGCTGTTATTATTTTTTGGGACGAGGCTGTGGGGAGAGTCTCACAAAGAAAAAATTTATTTCTGTATTAAATAATCATTTAGACGACACGAGAAGGGGTAGATCGGTCATGGTTCTTAATGGCCTCGAGAACCATGGGGTAAACTTTGAAAGGATCAGCATCCTGATCGTGAGCTTCGGCCAACGCCGTTTTGGTTCCTCTATATAATTGCTCAGAGTAGGTATCGGCATGATCTCGGGGTCGTCGATTAGACGCAGTGGGTTCCTGTAAAAGCTGGTTGGCCTTGGCACATGCATCGCTCAACTGGCCCATCTTGATCAGTGCACAAACGTAGCGGTTATAATTATGGGCATCAAATAAATAATGACTTGCTTCCAAGTCACTCCATGCCATTTTGATCTCATCAAAGGCATTGGCCTCCGAGAGGGTATCAATCAACACCGATAAAGCGAATTGAGTGTTGGTATCGGCTACACCACCGATCGTACCGAAATCAGATAGTGCGATGGATTCAGTTTTTCCAAGATGTTGCCAAAGAGCCTTGACCATATCAACCTTGCGTTCAGCGCGATACATCTTCATGAGGGTGACATACATAACCATGTTCATGCGCATGCCAACTTGCAGAGCCTGTCCAAACACTTTTTTGGCATCTTCTATCTTGCCAAGTTGAATGAGCCCATCAACCAGTGGCATAAACACATGAGGTGTTGGAGAGTTTTGCTGCTTTTCTTGGTAGTGTCGGTCAAGTAGATCTTCCATAATCAGAGGTACCTTTCGAACGTATCCACCAAGGATGTGGTGGCGTTCTACGTCGGAGACAAGGGAGTCACGTTCGCGAACAGCATCTTCAGTGACTCTGTCAACAATCAACTTGGCAGTATCGATTTCGCCACTTTGAATACAGCCATCCACAAGGATAGCTAAAGTGGTATGATTCGGTGTTACGTTATTTTCGACCATCTGCTGGAGCGCTTTTCGTGCACCATCCATGTCCCCACTTCGACAGTAGGCTTGTATAAGAATGGACCAGCACACCGTATCAGGTTGAACATTTTGCTCCTTCATGTTGTTAAAAACGCCTTCGACACCGCGAATGTTGTTACGAGAAGCAAAAGCTGTCATAAGATGAGAGAATGTATGCACATCCGCCTTGTGGTAAGCATTGGTCAGTCGTCGGTAAGTCTCTAATACCTGATCAAGGTCGTTTTGTCGAATGTAGGCTTGTAAAAGAGTATTGTAACTGACAAGATCAGGTGGGTATCGGGTGGAAAGATCTTTAAAAGTTCGTTCGACGCTTTCTATATCACCGGCATGACTGTAGAGATTCATCAAAATGTTGAATGTATGTCTGTTGGGTCGGATGTTCATTTCTAACATGGTGCTGAGTAGCTGTTGGCCACCGGAAACATCACCTTTCTTGGCATAAATGGAAAGAATATGCGAAAAGGTAACCACGGAGGGCTGAATACCGGCAGCAATCATAGTATTGAGAACGTTAAGCGCCTGGCCAATATCCTTGTTACGAGCATGGAAATGAAGCATCATATTATGAGTCACCACATCCGCGTCCACCTTCGCAGCCTTCATCAACTGGAATACATCTTTGGCAGCTTCCATATCCTCCAGCTCGACAAAGCACCTAAGGACGTCGGTATAAATATATCGATTAGGTTTAACATTGAACTTGTTGACCATGGTGTAGTATAACGAGTGGATGGATGAAAGGTCGCCTTGCTTTGAAAACATGTGGATGAGCGTGCCAAATGTTTGTACGTCTGGCGCAATTCCTGATTCTACCATAGTGTCGAAAGCACGTTTGGCGCCATCAATATCTGGTTTTGGTCGTTGATGAGCATGAACATCGATTAAGGCATTGAATGTAACAGTAGTGGGTATCATGCCCTCGACGTGCATGACGTGGAACAACTCATTCGCCTTGTCCACATTGCCACTTCGTCCAATCTTGTGCATGACAGCTGTCATCAACTGTAAATCCCTAGGTATTCCGCGTTTGATCATAAGGTCATGAATTTCTAGTGCTTGATCTGCTTTACCCGAGGCGGCAAAGAGCATGGCCATGCCTTTGTAAAGAGAAGGATGAACTGTCGTCTTTTCGCTCCCAACCTCCATGCCAATGCGATTCCAGAACCACTTCCATACGGTGTCTACAACTTTGTCTTGTTTCCCAGCATCATAAAGAATTTGTAGAAAGAGTCGCGTGGTTTGACTATCAGCCAGAACCCCTTTGTCAATCATTGAATCGTATACATTAAGAGCCTTGTCGACAACGGCCGCTTTTCCAAGCATTTTTGAGTTGGATTCATACGATGACAGTAAGATGCGGAATGGCTTTTGATCATCATGCGGCACAATCAACATCCCTTCGCTTTCGAGATCCTGCATTACTTGCTCCATCTCATAAAGTCGTCCATTGAGGCCCAAAACCCGCATCATGGACAGCTTCTCCCGACGACCCACCGTATAGCCCAATGACTTCATGTCTTCTATAAGGGTGAGGATAAATTCGATACCATGCTGGAAATCGCTCCCGCTACTGTGATGTTGGAAGTACGTGACGAGCGAACGAAAGTTGTCTCTAGTCAAGTGCTGAATCATATTACGAGAGCTGAGATCCGTGTATGATTCCCAAGCTTTCATTACATTGTTTTGATTGAGGGAATTGAGCAGAATCTCAATCAAAGCGTTTGCTGTCACGGCGTCAGATTGATGTATTGCTGCCGACAGGTACATGTCATGCTGCTCTGAGCCGTTGGTTTTCTCGTTTGCGGTGGTACTTGCAAAGCGATGTATATCCGTTCTCGCCACTGCCCTTGATACGTTGGATCGCACAGGAACCTTCAAGCGGTGTAAAGGAATCGTCCTTGAATGCCATGAGCGTCGAGCTGTAACATTTGGCCGCACCAAAAACCCTAAAATCCTGTAGGCTGTGATTGCATTTGTGTGCTCTGCAGTAGCCTTAAGCATGGCAAACCGAGCTGAATGTTACAATAAAGAGTTTGCAGGTGTCAAAGGCTTTTTTTTTTTTTGCAGGCGGCTACATTTTTTTGAGACAGCTCAACAGGACGTCGACGTCATCAACAAAAGCGCGGTAGAGAAATGTACTGCTGAGCACAGAATGTGTGATATGAAGCTTCCAACTGCTGGTTTTTTTTTTTTTTTTTTTGGTATTTCGTTTTTAATCGGTTATGAAATGTATAGAAACAAAAGCAAAGATATGAATCAAATGAACAACGGCAAAACAATAAAACCTATATAACTGAACATAGGTCAAAACAAGAGTAGACTAAAGCTTAAAGGTTAACATAAAAATAACGAGCCAAAAGAAAAAAAAAATTGCAAAGAATGGTTGCCCAACATGTACGTGTTTTAATATAATACCAGTATGTTAGCGCCTTCGCGGCCGCAGCCGCTTTTTGATAGAATCTTCTTCATTATTGGCTATGGCCTCGGATGAACCAGTTTCATCAGATCTACGTTTCTGTTTAGCTTTTCGTTCGGTTGTAGTGGTGATGGTGGTTGTGGTAGTGGTGGTGATGGTCACCTTCTCTGTCGACTTTTTGGTCGCGACGGCAAAAACATCTTCTGCTGGCACCGGAATAATCTTCTTACTAGGGGTCATCATTTTCTTCTCTGATTTTTCAACTTCCTCGTCGATCGGTTCATCCTTTTTGCCTTTGATTTCTGACAGTATGGATTGTGCAGTTGCTTCAGCTTGTTCCAACGCTTGTGAAAGTACAGCCTCACCATCAGACCAGCTTAAACTATGAAGACTGCTGCTGCTGACATTATGTGAGGCAGGGGTAGGTGAACCATCGCGCAGGATTTCTCGGTACTCAGGAAGATCATGGACATCGATCTCAGTAAGAGGTTTTCGCGTCCATTTTTTCTTGTTTGTCCTTTCTGTATGATCAATTTGTACGCGTTGCGTCTGAGTACTTGATGACAACGGTATTGCTGGGGGGCTAGCTTGCTTACTAGGCAACACATTTTCTTGATCGACCCCGGCTGCTTTGGCTTTTTCTTTTTGCTTGACGGTTCTAAGATCTTCCTTTTTTACACGCGCTCCTTTTTCGGTAGTATGCTTGCTTTCATCAACCCAAATTGAAAATGAGCCATCAGGAGAAGGTACTTTGACAGATGGCTGTGATTTGTGATGTTTGCTACTGTGCAATGTTTTTGTAGTTGATTTGGATGCCGACGGTGCAGCATTTTCATCTTGTAGTGGAGCACGGGTATTTTTTTGGTTCTTCAATGGCGTTTTATGGTCGCGTAAACCTTGACGGTGCTGCTGTTGCTTCTTTGTTCGTGCCTTCAGATGCAATGGTTCAGGCGGGCGTATCGCGGTAAACTTAATAGGTTCTTTTTCAACTCGATGGCCAATGCGCGGGTCAAGTTTGTTGTTCGATGGAGTAGTGGACACAGGAGTGGTGTTTTCATTCTTATATCCTAAAGGCTTGCGATGTTTTGGAGTTGAGTTCAACTTTATATTCTCTTTGCTTGCCTGCAAAGGCGAAGCATTTTCACTGGAAGCAGTGCGAATGGGTGGTGTCGAAGTTCGGTAGCTCATTGCATCAGCATGAAGACGGTCCACACGGCGTATTATTTCAATCCAGTGAGTTTCGTAGTATCTGGTTTGAAAAATAACTTAATTTACGTGATGTACAAGTGCGTGAGATGACCTTGTTGGAAATGGGGATAAGTATCAAAAGCGTGTTTGGAAGCGGGCGTTCAATCCACGCGTGTTTGTGACGTGCTCAGAACAGTTCTCCAGGATACCGATTTTATAAAAGGCAATACCTCAATGCCGAGACGGTGGTTTTATTAAACAAAACATAATGCACACCATACTTTTCAACACATTGCAACACGCTGTCTCCTCGGTCCATAGGATTCATGTCCGGGACTTATATATTCATAATTGGAAGCTTTATTTAATTAAAATACTCGCTATTGTTGGGACTGACGATTGCCTACAACATACGTCTGCCGATCTTCACCGACCTCTTTCGATGTGCATTCTTCAGGCTTGTGGGAGCATTTTTCTTGGCTTGGGTGACAGCTGTCTTGCTCGTGCCATGAAGATGCGAGTAATTGCTGGCAGCACAAAGAGCAAGAGCGTCATTTGTGATGTTTAGTTGCGGGATTTTCCAAGACTGGTCCACGAGCTGCACCAAAAGACCTGCTTCAACGTGCCACTGCAAGATACCAGTATTGTTAGTTGGGTTTCATAGAAATAAGCATGCAATGAATTTCATGAACGCGCGTGTTACCTCGATATGGCAATGGAGCGCCCACACTCCAGTATTGTCAGCTGCAGGGTGGCATGGGAGTGAATATATTGAAATTAGAGAAGAAAAAGGAAAATCTGAAGTGCTTACCCTTGTATCTGAATACAGTCCAACCGCCGCCGGGAACTGTTGAAGTATCTCGTCTCAATGGATTTTTGGTATTGAACTTTGGTCTATCGGTAGCATCATCGTAGGTATCATTTCCCCATCCCAGCACATAAAATGTGTGACCGTGCTAAATGAAAATGGATAGGAGGTTAGATTGAGCGATCATGCCAAAAGTTATCTGATGAGAAACTGTCATCTTTACCAAATGGAAAGGATGTTCGTTCAAGTCGTTGTCTAAAATAAGCGGCATTATGCGTCAGTACTGTCAAAGATTCGCCATGGCTTACACCTGTGGAAAAGCTTGAAATTGATCACTTACTGACGAGCACAACCTCGACGTAGTCAGAAGTATTTGGGCGAATAACAAGTTGATCATAGCTCAAGTCAGGCATTTTATAGTATTCATTCATCATTGTAGGATAGGAAAAGTTCGCCACCCAGCTGACATTGTTGATGAATGCTGTGGAAAGAAAAAATTAGAGGCGTTGACAAAAATTGTGTGATTTCAAATAAATATATTGAAACTGGTACTTACCACGATTGATGTTAGTGACTGGATCGCCATGGAAATCCCATGATAAGGTGATCTGCTCAGCGGCAGCAGGAGCAGCTTGCGCATGGTACGGTCTTAATACAGTGTAATCAAGATCCTGGCAGTCGACCAACTGATCAGTCCAATCAACAGAAGAGTTGAAGGTGTTGGCACCACCTTTATAGATCACAGGAGCTAGAGCCAAACTTTCCTTTGCAATTACTTCTCCAAGATCAAGGCAAGCTGTATCCATCTGAGCCCGCATATAGTACTTTTGTGCCTTCTGATTAGCTTGGACGATGACAGAGTACCGCTGTCCTACGTTGATTGGGATTCTGTGAACATATTGCGGGTTTAAGTCGGTACCATCGGCCTATTAAAAAATTGATGTTACATATGTGAGTTTGGATTTGGTTTAGTACACATGTATATGAAGAAAATGCACACCTCAACCACAGCCAAAGTGTGATTATCAATTGAAAACCAGAAATTGGCAAATGCGCTGCCCAAAAAAAAATTATATTCTTTAGCTTTGGTGTTTTGACATTGTCAAAGAATGGTATGTTACTTCCATACCTTGTGTTGATCAATCGAAGCTTGTAACGTTTTCCAGCGGTAAAAGAGTACGACTTGGTAGTATGGTTTGCGTTACAGCTAGTACCAGTAGGAACATAACCGGTACAGCCATTTGATCCGGTACCTCCAATCAAAGCATTATCAGGCGAAGGCTGTACGGTAAATGATTGTCTGAGTTATGATGCAAAAATATTCTCATCCAAAGAGAGTTAGCGTTTGCTTTACCTCTTCTCCTTTGGATGCACGAGATAGGTAGTGCTCAAGCAAATCTTCAGATTGTGTATGATACCAGTCACTGAGAGGGATAACAATTTCTTCATCGTAGGGAAGTGGGCTGGTAGCACTGGGATCCTTTATGATCAAGGCACCAACCAGACCGTCGACGTATTGTGACATATAGTGACTATGGTACCAGTAAGTTCCACTTTGGCCGGCAGTGGAGAAAGTGTAGGTGTACTTTCCACCAGCTGGAATTGGGCATTGAGTCTAGTAATAAATAAAAATGCAGCGGGGTTAGTGTGGTTACATTATATCTGCATTTTTCTTTTACAAAGAATTCCAAATGATTTTTACCACTCCAGGTGTACCCTATTATAGAAAAGAACTTGTTAGTACAAAGCAAAAGGAATAACAGGTTTACACGATACTTACATCTTGCCACGGTGTTCCACGTTGATACATTCCATGCCAGTGAAGAGCAGTGGGCTCTGTTAAATTATTGGTTACGTGAACTTGGATAGTATCACCAGTATTCACTGTAATTGTGGGTCCAGGATATTGTCCGTTGATAACAAGACCATCTCTTGAATACCCATCTACAAGAGTTGGTTAGTTTTGAATGAGAACATAACGCCTCATTATAGTCACATTATTGATCTGCTTCGTACCAGGTGCGATTGTCTTCGAGCTGATTGTGAAGTTGTATACCTTGGTGGCGGCATTTACACCATGCAAACCAAGACCAGCCGCAACGGCCAAAACCCAAGTAAGCTTCATTGAAGGGAAGGTGAGGAAATGAAAGATCAGATAGGGAGCGGGAGGAGTGTATGTTGTGAGAAAAGAAATTTGAGAGCTCGCAATATAAATAATGAAAATGTGAATGATAAGACCGTCTGTAACATTAATCACCTTTTTGACCCGAGGAATCAAGAGCTTGTACGTTTAATCATAGTCCATAATAAGCTGAAATGAACTAAACAGTATAAACTTTCGATCGACCAATATTCACGACAGCCTTTAAATGGTCCTTTCTGCCTAAATTAATGAGGGTTCCACAACTGACTCTAATGGTTACACCCTCATCTGCAGCTCCCGGTAGCCAATTTCTCTGGACATGGCTCGCTTCAGAGGTCAGTACCACATCCTTTGTGTATGCTATTCCTTTTATTGACATTGTACCGTTGTACCCGGATCCCACCATGATACACCACATTGCATATCGCGGCCGAATGAATACCCTACGTATGATCATCCGGTCAAAAAGAGACAAAAGATCTTCCTTATCAAACAGTACATGCAGTGCAATAAAGGGTGCATGAGAAATCAAGATATCACACGTTTCCACATTGCTTTCATTTCTTCATTTTGTTGACGATCGCTTTGTTTAATATAACATAGAATAATGTTTTTAATCAGATACACTTACACAAAACTCCTTCCTATATCATATATTCAACTGCATGCATCATTATGTATTTTTTTCTAGTTGGCAGTAAAATCGTTCGTTCCTCCAGCAGGATTGTGGAACGTTGTGTTGCGTCTTCACTATCGCTTTGTGATTGAGTTCAGATGATTAGGAATCTGCAAAATCCACATTAAGGTTGGACTATGGGTTTGAAAATGTTTCCATATTGAACATAGCACAGCTTGCGCTGTTATCCAACCACCATCTCCGTTGCAGTTATTAAAAAGAAGCGAGAGCAGCTTCTCCTTTTTGAAGACGGCTTTGGTGCGTGCTTACCTAGAACAAGCGCGAGATATTGATATCTGTACTTTACGTAGTCTATCACTGGATTACTTCCTGCAACCAGTGAAGCTAAGTGATAGTTATCAGATCTGATGTTTATTGTCGATGATATCGCATCAGGATATGAACCTGCATTAATTTTTTTTCCCACTCTTCTGTAGTTTGGCCTGAAATATGCTGAAAATGTGATTTCTTTAATAAGAATCAAATACCATTTGAGTAATGCGGGAAGCTGTGTGAAACATAGCGAAGTTTACCTACGACACTGTCTTGCAGTCATACCACTTTTCTTTCAAAGCTCAAATGAATAAAGTGTGACTAATCGAGACGATACGTGGTCCTATACGCGAAAATCATGGTATACCAGAACAATAAGTATTAACTCGCTTATTTTCATGTACTGGGGATTCCACAGTGCGATGTTCGTATTATGCCATTAGCGAGTAATGGACCTGTTGAGTCAAAATGCAAGTTGCATCGTCGAATGTCGGCGTAGTGATCTGAAATCTGAAGCAAAGATTAATTCAACATATTATTGTCTCGACAGTAAGAAAGTCTTAAGGAGTTGTTGTATACTTCAGTTCAAGCATCGGCCATTCCAATTGAAGGAGCTGAAAAAAAGACTTAGAAATTTTATTACGGCGGCCATTCATTTGAACTGTTCATACTTAAACTTGTTGCACGCAGCTCATGGAACAGTGCACTTTAATCCAACCGTGGCTTCGATAGCACTATTGGCAAAAAGGCAATTTTGCGGGCCTCAATCTATAGAAATCTATCTCGAACTTGATAATGATAATGTCATGGTGCTACATAACAGTGTATTTAGTAGACTTCTTTACCTCTTTAAACACAATAGTCAAATCCCTACAAGTAGGTAAAAAGCACATCTAAACTTTTTGGCTTACATCTCAAGAAGTCAACTTACTTGCAAAGCTCAAGATTGACTTTATAAAAAAATTAGAAAACAGTAAAAAATAATTGAAGCTACCAGGGGTCGAACCTGGAATCTCTTGATTCGTAGTCAAGCGCCTTGTCCATTGGGCCATAGCTCCTCTCGATATTAAGGAGACCACCTTTTAGTATTTATTACACTATTCAATTAATGACCCACCAATTTGAGTATTTGCATAATTCGACACGTATCTACAAGCCCAAAAGTAAAAAGAAGGGAATTTAAATGATATTTTCAAATTGAGCATTAAATATTATACTATTTATTTAATGTACCGAAGAAGCGGTTCATTATCACATTTATCTTGTAAATTGCAATCTCGTGTCAAGACACACTAGCAAAGTTTTTTTTTTTTTACTAAAAGAAAAAGTGCCCAGCACCATTTGGACTCCTGCTTAGTATGCATGAAGCGGCTATTGCTTCCGTATTTGCCTCTCTAGATGCCCTTGATTCTTGACCAAAACACTGTTCCCTCGCTCATTTCCTGACCTCCTGGTTCACGGACAAACCTCCTAACAAATCATCTCTGAGTGACTGGAGTACTGCTATCACAATGGATGACACCATTTTTTTGCAAAAACATAACATTTTCAATTTTTTAAATCGCTCGTAGGCTCATTGATTGCCAAGCTAGTGTGGCTCTGTTACTCCATTATGTCCTTTTGATGCTTCCTTACAGCTTTCGGCATCCTAAACTTCCTTAACCCCTTATTCACTGCTATAATCACTCCACCAAATATTTATGAAGTAAGGTAATAAAAAAAATAAAAATGGAGGTGCCCCTAACAGCATGAACTAGTACTGGATGCAAGGGAACATCGGATTGAGTGTCTTGAAGGTACTTGTCAGCACAGTGCGGAGCATTTCAAGCTGGTTTCATCCTGATTTATTCGATTTATTCGATTTTATTATGCCAATTTTTCAACGCTATTGATCGCCAGGTCCACGAAAAGAAAGTGACGTATTCACTGTGTTTCAAGCCCATCGCTGCGTAACCAAGGAAAAAGCTATAACAGACAAAGTGTAATATAGCTGGCCGATCCAACTAACCTCTAGGCTCTTCCAGATAAAGTTAGACGAAACGGCTAGCACCATAGTACTATTTACGATTGAAGAAAATATTATGGCAAAAAGCAAGAACAATCACTATGAGAAGTTAATGGTGCATAAACATGACAGTTCTAACGTTTGGATGCGCACTTGTCATAATGAAAGGCGGACTTCACCTGACTGCGATTTCGCATTTTATAGCCTAAACCAAACAAAATTTGGTGACTGGCGGTAAGGTACAATTGTCTTACATCTTTCATATTTGTTGAAAGGATCCTTCAATCGCTTTCTAGTTTTTTTCTTCCCGTATTCAGCTACCTTGTCCACTCTACACACCATAGGTGGCTTCCTGCCTTTGCTGTTAAACTGCCTGTACACCTCACGTCACGTGCACAAAGCTAAAATTCAGTCAAGCCCCCCTTTTTCAACTTTGCTTCTCCTCTTCCTAATTTTGTCTGCCCTGCTTTTGTTCCAGTCATGCTAGTTGCGATATAACTCCATTCACATCAAGATCATAACCTTATTCCCAATTACCAGAGAATATGAACTCGTTAAGAGAGCGACTTTGGTCGTTCCCCCTCATATATCTGGTTATAATAATAATATTACCCTTTTCCAGCCAAGGTAAGTTTGTCTGTCCGCTTGGCTCTTTATGATGCCACCAAAAGCAACTAATCGTCTCTTATTCCTGGCTATGTCTCTATAGAGGGCCTGACACACTCCCAAACAATCAAACGGTTATCAAGATTAGAACCTATTGTATTGCCAACCCTCACTATTTCACCTCGTCAATTCGTCGCCAGGGACATCTCACCTAATCCAAACTACATTCCTCCATTCACCTCTCTCAAACATGACGACAGCTTCCACTTACAATTTCAAGCATACAACTCTTCCATTCTTCTCTCTCTCAGCCCCAATATCGAATTGTTCCATCCGGATGCATCGACGGTAGTGGTAGACCCATCGGGCGAAGAAATAATTTCCCCACTACACCATGAAGATTATCGAATATACAAAGGAGAGGTTTTGGACACTTTTAACACGAAGCAAGAATTGGGATGGGCTAGAATTATCATTCGACACGACATCGAGTAAGTGTATATTTGAACGTGAGCCGGTACCATCGTAGCCTCCAACCTAAATCTTTTCTTTAGCCACTCTCACCCTCACCCGCTATTCGAAGGAGCCTTCTCCATAGGACCAGAGATATTTCATATAAAAACGAAGGAATCCTTCAATCTCGCGAAGCGATCATTCGACCCACATGACCCTTCCGAATCCCCCTTAATCATCTACCGAGACTCAGACATGCTGGACATGCACTCGAATGATCATCACCTAACGTCAAGAAACAGTAACTCGCCTGCGGAATGTGCTGCTGACGAAACTGCTTTCAACCAAAAGAAGCTCACTGGCAGAAGAATTGTGAATACTTTAAAAGATCGAAGCTTGTCAGATTTATATGACCCAGCTCTTCAATTTTGGTCCAGCCCAAAAAAATATTCCACCATGACGAAACGATCTGATATTTACCAAGGATGCCCAAAGTCAAGACTGAGTAAGAAAGCTGTTCTTTTCGGTTGGTAATGTATCCGTATAGTGGACTTATCGTTTACACACATTCACTTTTAGTTAATTACATGGGAGCTGCCGCTGACTGCACCTACACTGCGGCATACCAAGGCGTTCAAAATGCAAGAATACAAATGATTAATGACTGGAACACCGCTTCCAGTGTCTATGAAAGAACATTTAATGTGTCACTAGGCATTATTCAATTTTACATGATGACACCTGTGTGCCCTACAACTGTTTCACGTAATCTTACTTGGAATCAAAACTGTTCATCTTCCTATACCATCAACTCGAGGCTGAGCGACTTTAGCATATGGCGTGGATCAAAAGGCGATGATGGTGCAGGGTTGTGGCACCTTATGACCCAATGCTTGTAAGTTAATAACCCAAAAAAAAAAAGTTACTTTGGCAGCATGTGGTTTATTTAGCGCTATTTTGCCCATTATTTTTTTAGTACCGGAGTCAAGGTCGGGATTGCCTGGTTAAGTCAATTATGCGAGACTGGCGCTAGCGAGCAGCTTGAATGTAAGAGCACCATCGCATGACATCATGTATTGATTCGTATTCCTTGTAATTAACTAATCCGTTGATAATACCAGCTGATGGCTCCTCCGAATGGGTCTCAGGAACAGGCGTGTCTTCGATCACTTTGGATGAATGGAAAGTTGTAGCTCATGAGGTACGAAATCACCTACTTTGGTTTAATGTATACCATCAATGGCCTTCTGATTTGGGTTCTGATAACGGCTATAGATCGGACATGGATTTGGTGCAATTCACGATTGCACAGCTCAACTGTGCCCTTGTTCAGGCGATTGCAATTGCTGTCCATTGAGCACAAGCGTGTGTGATTCGGGAGGAACATACATCATGAACCCTACAAGCAATGTCAGCACCAACAACTTTAGTCCTTGCTCCGTTGCTGACATATGCAGCTCCTTACCTAATATTGGATATTGTCTACAGGGTATGTATTCATCTCACGAGCTGTCAAATGATCTGGACTGCCAACTTACTGATCTCCCCCCCCCTTGGCGATTTGACAGTTCCTGGAACCAAAAAGGTCGAAAGCTTTGCAATGTGCGGTAACGGTATATTAGAACCTGGAGAAGAATGCGATCCCGGTGGTGTTGATGACGCCTGTTGTTTCGGTGCGACATGTAAGCTGAAGCCTGGAGCTGTTTGCGAGTAAGTCATCAAGTGAATGATAAGAAGGGTTACGGCAGTATCATCCTGTATATTATGCTAACATAAATGTCATTTCAGCGATTACAATCAAGCGTGTTGCAAAAATTGCTCCCTTTCAGCATCAGGTACGCTTTGCCGTGCACCTATATCAACATGTGATCTACCTGAATACTGTAATGGCACGTCAACTGCATGCCCTACGGATATCCATTTGGACGACGGTACATCGTGTGCAAATGGAACTATGAAGTGTGCGTCCGGGATGTGTACATCTCGGTCCGCGCAATGCGCCTTGCGTGGCGCTCGGCTCAATATCACTGAAGAATGTTCTTTCCAACAAGACTCTTGTCAAATAAGCTGCGCAGATCCATCCGATCCCCACAACTGCTTGGCTCTCAGTGGCATGTTTTTAGACGGTACCGATTGCGGACTTGCCGGCAGGTGCCTAAAGGGGCAGTGTAAAAGCACAGGTGCATGTAAGTACATGGGATTTGCCAAAACAAAAAAAAAACAAAAAAAAAAAAAGAATAGTACAGGTTTATTGATGTGTGATGACATTATTTGCAGTAAATACCGCCAAAGCTTGGATTAATCAAAACAAACAAATCGCTATACCGGTCATTACCGTGGGTGGTATCATTATTCTACTCCTTCTCGCTCGCTGTTCATGGTGGCTGCGATCGTATACTCGACGACGCAAGCGACTGACCAAAGAAAAGGATTCACGACCGCCATCCATTGTCAGCAATCCCCCTGAAGGAGGAGCAGATGGGCCACCAGGGTATGCTGGATTCAGATCATCTCAGTTATCACGGTTAGAAGTTGGTAACCGGCGGACCGTCGAGACTTTACCTATCGAAAGTCCTTTACCTGTGTATGGTGGCAACCGATCTACTGGTGCGTCTAATGAGGAATGGGAAATGCAAGTGACAAGTCACCATTCTCGAAGTAGTTCGGTAGCACCTGTTCCGTCATTACATAACCAAGATGAAGAATCTTCACAGTCCTCACGGAGTATCAATTTCCGGTCCAGTAACCCCGGTTCCGTCATGACAACCCCGGTTTCTCGTCGCATGCATGCTGTTTCCATCGCATCGGCTGATAGCGATACCTACCTGCCGCCAAAGCATGATATTGTTAACATCTCGGATCATCCTCAAGACTCCGTTGTGTAATATCCATTAATGTGTGATTTATTCCAGTGTATATACTATTATTTTATTGATTAAAACCCACAAAAAGATAAATAGTTGAAACTTTTTTGTTTCGCACGCTGCAGTTTTGTTTCTGGGGGAAGAGTTTTTAATGAAAAAAAAAGTATATTTTGTAGGGTAATCGAATGACCATGAGCGCGCACTCCCTTACCATCCATCTACTAGGAATGTCCAACTACAAAGTATGAAGAAATGAACTTGAAAGACTCAGGAAGAAAAAGCATTTACAATATCAAATGGCATTTTGGATAGGGATATAGGCTCAGGTGAAATGAAATATTACAATTCTATTTATCAATTTGAGTCTTTGTCATCGTCGTGGGGGATGCCAATGGCCACAGTATCACCATCGACATTGGAGTTTGCCTCCATGGTTTCTCCAGCATCAAACAAGACAGGGTTATTCTGTTGCGAGGCGGATATTTGCGGGCTGGCGGTTTGTAAGGTGTATGTTGGTGTAGGCGATCCAGTGGGTGAAGGGGTGTGTTTAGTAGAAAGTCGAATATCAAGGGCCTTGAGAGCCAGTGCCCGTCGACGCTCTGCTTCAGCACGTGCACTACCAGGTAGAGGTCCAGGTGTAGATCGAGATGTGCTCGCTTGACCTTCCAAGTCATAACCCCAGCTAGGGGGAAAGGGCTTACAGCATTTAAGGGCTACCAAAATTCCAAAAACAATGTTGGAGATAGCCTTGATGGGAGTGCTATCGAGTGGGCAAATGGTAAGATACCTATGGGTAATGCCAATGTATGCAAATAAGCTTCGAAAATTAAACTTACTGCAAAAAGTCTGGGAAGAAGGTGTACAAAGCAAAAGTTTCGCTTCGGTCACCTTGAACACCATCTTGCCATTTGAAGAATCGAATGTGTGCCCATGCAACAACCCAACCCAAGTTCACCAGGTTGTACACCACCAGTGTTTGGAACAAGACCAAAGACACAATCGTTGCAGCCGTTAAGATCCCCAGCAAATTCTTTACTCGAATCGACACCGTTCCGCCAAAAACTTGAACCAGATGTTCGGGAATAAGATGTCGAAAGGCGACCAAGAAGCTGGCAAGAACACCCGTCATGCCGTTGATTTGGTAATTAAAGCTATAGACAAATAGGAAATAGCTATTCAGCACACCTGCAAGACGCACTAAATGCATGTCAACACCAAATGAGTATCACAACTTACAGAAAATCGTCATTTCCAGTGATATAGAATGGAACGATAAAGGTGAGCCAAGTCAAGAAATTCGGTATGATAGCGGTGACTATCACGAACTTTAGCAATTCTTTGCTACCCCACACTCGCTCAAGGTACTTTCCACCGAGTAAAGTAGCGACAACGCTTGTAATAAACTAATGGAGTGTTAGATGGAGAGAATGCAGAGAATATGCCTAAAAGAGGTATTGATACGTTACGGCAAAGATATTATTCTCGTATAAGCAGGCTGTGAGGAAAGTCCAAGGGTAGTGAAGCCAGCTATTAAAATAAAGAACATGAAGCGGTTAAGTATAGAACGGATGGATGATTTGGTCGGACATGCATGGTCATTCAACTCACTATCCAGGCACCAGACCAATGACTGGTACATTGTTATGAGTGGTGGCTTCGGGATCTCTCGTATATGTAATCAACAGAGCTACTCCAGAAGTTATGATAATGGCTGCTGTCAATGCTCTTGTGACTGGAGGTACATTAGTCACGACTGTCTTGAGCTTTTGCGAGCTCATGATTTGGCGATAGATTTTTAGAGGCTGGAGCAAGGCAGCCGCATGGTGCGAAATGTGGAAACTGTGTGTGTCAAACGACACGTGACACATGTGGAATTTTTTTGGGGGGAGGGTGGTGATGGATGGAAAAGGGACGGCGATGCATCCGGAATTCCAGTTCAGAGCTGTTGCGTTCCCCCTCTCCCTGTTTTGCCTTCTGTTTCCAGATCTTTTTATCCGTTTGACATTGATAATTAGCAAGCCCTCCATCTATTAATTGTCGTGATGTCTGCTACTGCGCAGCCACAAGCATTTGGAGGGCCTCCCGGTCCGTCATCGGCGCCGCTTCCTGCAATGAACATTGTACAAAGATTGACCACCGTGAATGAACAAACCTGGCTCAGTATGGGTAACGTGTAATTTTTTTTTTCCTTCTCAACTGGCCCATCGTCTGATATGCTTATTTGACAGGAACGCTTGCCGAGCTAATGAATGACAATGATCGGGCCATGAAATGTTTTGAAAACGCTTTACGACATAACCAGTATTCCATCCCGGCTTTGTCACATATAGCATCTTTGTGCCGAGCACGCGAACAGTTTCAAAAAGTACGTGGAATGAACATTTTCTATAGACTGACAGGAGTTTGGTTTGCTTATCCGCTAAAAAAAAAAATTACTTTCCCCGCCACAGGCGATAGATCATTTTAAAATTATATTGTCATTTCAAGAGGCCAATGGAGAAATCTGGAGCGCTTTGGGCCATTGCTATTTGATGCAGGAAAATCTTCAAGAAGCGTACCAAGCCTATCAACAAGCATTATACCATCTAAAGAACCCACGAGTAAGTTTGATTAAAGTCCGATTGCTTTCTCCGGAATATCTGACGACTGACCGCCGACCACCCGCGTACAGGATCCGAAGTTATGGTATGGGATCGGAATATTATACGATCGTTTTGGCTCACTCGAACATGCTGAAGAGGCATTCTCTGCCGTCGTCAAAATTGATCCTAAATTTGAGAAAGCAAACGAGATCTATTTCAGATTAGGCATCATCTATAAGCAGCAAGGAAAATATGATCTTAGTTTACAGGTATAAGCAAATATTTTGTACGCAGACAACATAGTTTTAATACTAACTCCTCCCTCACACTTCAGTGCTTCAAATACATTTTACGTTCCCCACCACGGCCATTGACGGAATATGACATTTGGTTCCAAACGGGCCATGTGTATGAACAACAACGAGAAGTAGGTTGCTTTTTGCCACTCCAACCATTTTTATCATGATGAGACTAAACACCAGGTTATCAGTATCAATCAGCAAAAGAAGCATATGAGCTTGTCCTTGCCGAAAATCCTGATCATGCTAAAGTACTGCAACAGCTCGGCTGGTTATACCATCAACAAACGGCATCCTTTGCCAACCAAGCAATGGCTGTTCAATATTTGACAAGATCTTTGAAGTCAGACGATTCCGACCCGCAATCTTGGTACTTACTGGGTAGATGTTATATGGCTGAACAGAATTACAACAAGGCTTATGAAGCCTATCAGCAAGCAGTCTATCGAGATTCGCGTAACCCTACGTTTTGGTGTTCCATTGGAGTGCTTTATTTTCAAATTAATCAGGTAAGAGAAAAAGCCCATTTGGAGTCCCTGAAACTCTAGTAACTTTTCATGCTGACTTTTGATATTGTATGAAAAAGTACCGCGATGCATTGGATGCATATAGTAGAGCCATTCGACTCAACCCTTATATCAGTGAAGTTTGGTATGATCTTGGCACTCTCTATGAATCATGTAACAACCAGATGCAGGATGCCTTAGATGCATATCAGCGTGCCGCAGATCTTGATCCAAACAATGCTCATATCCGACAAAGACTAGAGCTATTGCGTAAAACCAACGGCGTGACAGCCACAATAGGGTAAGACAAACGGAACAAAACATCCATTCCAAATGGTGATGATGGATATTAAATCCTTGATTATCCAAACAGAAACGAACGCCACAACGGTGCAAATCCCGCTGGAGGTGGCCTTCCCAATATACCACCACTGGACAACTTCAATGGTGAACCACCACTACAAGTCAATCAGACCAGAAATCGCGGCGAGCCGCTACCAGAGATGAATATAAGAGATCGATGGCCAGGTAGTGGAGGGTCAACCAGTGCAATCCAGTCACCTATTCGTGTCGCAGACACCCTTGCAAAACCTGCGTTTACTCCTTCTCAGCGTTCATCATCCGGCGGTGTCACTGCTTCTCCGTCGTCGCTTCGTGTACAGAGTCCTCGAATACCTTCTTCCCCTGCAACAAATGATGAGTCGGCTGCGGATGCTTTGATCAGTCTCCAGCGCAAACGATCTCTTTCTTCCGAAGAGTCCGCACGCAAACGTATGTCCATTGACCAACCATCCATGTCAACCGACTGAATGAATCACTGCCATGCTCGCTGTGCAAATACACAAAAGCAAACATACGTCCAGGTGGCGGCATTTTATCCTCTCTACTTTTTTCTTTTTTTTATATTTCCTTGCTCTCAGATTCTAGGATCTCCTTGTGTTTTATATACTTGTTTGGTCTTTGCAATGTTTTTTTACCAACGTCTTGTCTACAATTTTTTCATTCAAGTTTGTTTTCCTCTTCTTTTTTCTTTATTACTTGATTCACTTGTCTCAACCAAGAAAAAAAAAAGCGCATTAAAAGCAAATCATCAAAAGATAAATGTGTAAAAAAAATTATTTATGCAACAATGGGACGTTCTTCAGCTACAACCACAGAGGCTGGTCGGCGGCCGTCTTCACGAGTATCAAAGGTGTCGTTGATCTTCTCCTTGGTGGCATTGATGATGGATCCAAGGGTAGAAGCGGCCTCGTTCTTCTTGCCTTCAGCCTTTGCCTTGACGTAATCGGCGTCAGATTGAGCCCGCCACTTAGCTTCGTTTGCCTTTCGTTCAGCATCACTCTTTGCATTATAAAATGTACCCTTTGCCTCATCTGCAGCTTGTCGTCCAGCGCGTTCGAACTCGTTCTTCTTATTAACAGCCTTGTTGTATAGGTCGTCCGACTTGTACTCAGCCTCCCGCTTCTTTTGCTCAGCGCTGCCCTTGACGTCAGACCAAAGTCCAGATGCTTGTTGCTTGGCTTCATTATAGGTGCTCTTGGCCTGTTGCTCCAAGTGGTCCTTTTCGTTCACTGCCTTATCATAAACATCATGAGCTGACTTTTCGGCTTCCGCCTTCTTTTCTTGAGCTTTGCCAGTTAGACTAGCCCAGAAGCCAGTTGCCTCCTTCTTGGTCTCATCAATAGTGCCCTTGGCTTGATCCTTGGCTTCGTAATAAGAACCTTTAGCTTGGTCTTTGGCCTCGTAGTAAGAGCCTTTAGCTTGATTGGCCACACGGTCCTTTTCGCCGACGGCCTTGTCAAAAATACCTTTAGCTTCTCTTTCCAGGCGTTCCTTTTCGCTCAGAACTCTTCCCTTGGTTTGATCGTAAGAGTGCTTGATCTCCTCAGCCAATTCGTTTCGCTCGCCACGGCTTTTGGCTACCACGATGTCGGTGGGTGTATCACCCTCCTTCAAATGGTGTTCAGCGGCAAATCTGTCTGCTTCTCTCTTGATTTCTTCCTTTTCTTGACCAAGGGTGTGCTTTGTATGCTCATACTCTTTCTTGATCCAATCTTTTTCGTCATTCACCACTTTTTTAGCTTGGCCGTAGAGTGTATCGGCTTCTCCTGCGATATGACTGGCTGCGTCACGCACGCTGCTAGAGACGTTGGAGGCCTCCTTCTTGGTTGTATCAATCAAGGAGTCCTTAGCGGCAGCTACATCCTTACTGTGGGAGTCTACTTTTCTCTTTGAATCGTCGTAAATATCGCCGGCTTGCTTTTTGGCGATTTCAAGCCGAGCTTCTGTGTCTTGCTTTGTGCGGCCAATGGCACCTAGAATACGATACAAAATTCTCAGATACGCTGGTTGCTCGTATGACACACACATGAAAGCTACTCACCAGCCTTGGCTCTTTCCTGCTCTCTTCTCTGCGCCTCAACGTAGCGATAACCAACGACACCTAACAGAGCCGTTGTTCCAATAATCAACCATTTGTTAGATCTCCGCGGGGGTTCTGAGTCGACGGTGGAGTAAAAGCGTGCAGTAGGACGAGTAGACAACAAACTACGACGACCGACAAGGCTCAACATATTAGACATGACAGTGAGAGAGGAAAAGAAGATAGAAACGATGCTTTGTCCCAAAACAGAACTTGGCCCACAAAAATAATACTCGCACCCAAGAAAAAAAAATTCCAGTCATGGAGCGGACATAGTGATGACATGATGATGATATTCATCCGACACATGGGTGTTTTTTACATATGAAAAAAAAAATTCACTGTACAGTATATAAAATAAAAAGGAAAAAAAAGACGAGAGAGACAAAGGGAAATAAAATCTAACTGAACTTGACGTTACGATGCAAAAGGGAAAGAAGTGATAGGATGGGAAAAAAAAGGCGAGATAGAAGAGCATGGGAAAGATGTTTTACTATTATTTACAATTACTTGGGCTCATTTTTTCAAGTTAACGATGCTCAATTTGCCAGGCTTGCTGGAAATACTGTCCATAGCCACTTCCTTGTTGGCTAAAGAACTTGGCAGCTAGAATGAAATGAAGGCTGTTAATGGAAGGCTGCATGATACAATGAGATAACAATAGGAGAGCGGTGTTTTACCTTTTGATGCGATGATGCCGTCCACCAAGGGCACAAAGTAGGGGCCAATGTTTCTACCATAGTCATCTGTCATGTTTGCCAATGGATCTTGGATCATATCCCAATGGACCAAGTCTTGATAGGCAACGGCACAGGGAAAGAGGCTTCTCAATCGAGTAAATATCGGGTTCGAGTAAGGCGAAGATAGATCAGTGGCCAAATATAGCTTTGGAGACAGACGATCTTCCAGACAGTCACGACCAGCAAACGCATCATCGCCCATCAGCATCTCGTCCAGATCGAGCTCAGATAGTAATGACTGGATAGCATTATCAAGCTGTTGATCATGGTTTGTTTTTCCTCGACCAACGCTGAGAACCTGTAGCGCAACGTAGCGATTAACTCCTCCCATAGCGTAAATAGCAGTGTCAGCGGCATTCGTGAGGGCGGGATGCACGATTTTAAAGTGTTGTCGTAAAAACGTTTGGAAGGCTTGATTTGCAGCTTGAGAGTACATGACCCGAGCCCCGCCCCACATGGAGCCAAAGTAGAGGAGTGGACTATCGATGGACTTGAGCTCGTCAACCGTCAGCTTGTAATTGTACGACCCAAGAGGAGACGGGCTATCTTGCTTATCGTAAATTTTCCAGCTACGCAAGGCTTGTGTTTTGTTGATAAAATGAATCATATCTGGTGATGGGTATTCTCCAATCCAGGTATCTGGGCTACCATCGGTGTGGCCGTGCGTTTTTTCGATAATGCGGACATTGTATTTTGTTTTCAACGCCTCCAAATCGAAAAGAGTCGACCATGATACTGAGATGCCGTCGGCGCTATCCAAAGTTTGTGACAGGTACCTTTCTCGTAATTGATCAAAGGTACCAAAGTCAAAGTTGGCGCCTAAGCGCGCCATTGGCGCAATTAATGTTCGGTTGGTATAATGAGCCACCATGATCGCATTTTCAAACGCAATACGTTGGGCTTGGAAACCACTGTCAAATCAAAACAAAGACGTTTAGTAGGGAATAGAGATCGAAATAAAAGAGTTATAAGCCATAAGTGTACCTATGCGGGAGATATGTAATATATTGTTCCTGCTCGAAACCATTTGTAATTGGTGATTGGTCGAAAATAGGTACTATTGCCTTGGCTTGCTCATGACGAACAATGGCAAGTCGCTCCGGTGCGTCATAGGCTACGTAAAATCCAGTCGATATGGTAGCAATCACAATCAAAAGAGCCAACACATGGCGGGAGCGAGGCATTGGAGAAATCGATTGGAAAGCAAAGAGTAAAGAGGTGAAATGATAGAAAGAAAAAAAAATCAGTTGTTGTGATTTTATTATTTTGGGTGGTGTGGTTAGGTTTTGGGCCCTTTTATGGTTTTTGGGAGCTCCAATGCGTATTTGCGTTGGCTCAAGTGTTATTTATAACAACAAACAGGATTCCCAATCAAGTTCACCTAATTCCCCATTCATGATGACATCAACTCATGGTCAGTACAGCTTTCTCAGCTTTCCGATTTTCCAGTAGTTCATGGCTGCTGGCATGGTTATCAGGATGACCCAACTATTTTAAATCAATGTGTCCAATAAAAATCCATATCATCGTGTTTTTCGCCAAAATCAAAGGTTGTTAGGGCGCCGTCTCAAAACATTGGCAGGCAGTATTACATTTTTGGAACAAAAAAAAAAGGTCAGGTCTGGTGGGGTGGGTAGCAAATGAACTCCACTGACCTTTCCACCATCGGCGAGACCAAAGGGTACCTCGCATTGAGAAAAGCGACGAAACTTGGGTATTTAATTTGGCAACCCGATAGACAGTACGCTTAACTTTAAAGTGCCACCGTCGGGCGAGATGCCAGGTCCACTAGCGAGAGAGTGGCGAAGTTGCCACATTGTTTTGCTTGCACGTTGATGCCTAGAGAGGAAGCCGAAGTCTACTACATTTACACCTCCTTCAAGCCAAAACGTATTACCGACCCTGTCATGGGCAGGCACGATCCAAATCTGGACACCGCTTGATAAGGCTGTATTTTTAACCTTGCCAGTTCCCAGCGTTCCACCTTCGCTCCCTCACCCTAACCCGAACGCCTCGAAACTCAAAAGTTGAGGATAAAAAATATGACGAGCGCCGGGATGAGATGCAGAAATCAATGCTGATAAGGTGGACGAAGGCGACTGATGGTAGTAGTTTTTTGACAGTAGAAGCCCACAACTGAAGAGCTAAGCAAAGGGGTAGAAACTATATGATCTATCCAATGAACAATAAATTTCTATAGACAGCTGTGGGCTTTTTACAAGGCTCTGGTATCCAGCCCTTCATGCTTTACTTAATTTACTCCTACTGTCAAATCAGTTTAGGATCATCAAAAGTCAATCACTGTATGCATTCTATCTTTACATGGCGTGGCTTCTTAAAAATAGTTATTTGGTACGCCGTCAGTGGGCAGCATTGTCACCAGCAGATCATCTCTCACCTGCCAAGCAAGGTACACCAGGGCGAATGTGAACAGCAAACACTCCACCATCCTATTCAGGTCACATGGCAAGTCCACCACCCAAAAGTCTTATGCACTGATGTACAGGGGCTTTAAACGCATTATCCCCCGATGGTGTTGCGACGACGATAAAAAACAATGGTCCTCACAGCAAGCAACTCCATACATACATTGCAGGCAAAAATATGTATAAAAAGGCCAATAAAACCAGGTGTTGTTATTGTACATGTTTTTCTCTTTTTTGTAAAATAAGATTGAAATTCTAAAGAAGGATCTCCACTATTTTCGCTTATCTTCATCGTCGCTGCTATAGATGGAAAAGTTAGTAAAATCTTGGGTACGGTGGGGGGGGGATTGTAAACAATGACTTACTCTTCAGAGTCACTACGCGTGTCAGTCGCACTATCGCCCGTCAGAACCTTGACAATGACTTTTAAGATCATGGCGAACCAGAACAGCATGATCATATTGAGCAATAAAAATAGTCCCAGGTATATCTTTTGTGTAAAGGGTGTAAAATATTTTCCATTCTCAGGTTCCCACTTCATGTCCATGTACTTGTGAGGATCAACTGTATTGAAAAAACAAAGCAATGCGTTAGAATGGTTAGGTGCACGAGGTTCGTGTATGCATGCATGAATTGCAATGCGCATAACGATCCCGGAATAAAAACGAGTCAACAATACTAACATGCAGTTGACCATATAATCATGGTAAAAAAGCCGTGCCTCGTCACCAGCCAACCAAGAGCGAAAAGACCGAATGTAATATCGCAAATGGTTCGAAGATTTAGGTAATTGAGGATTTTGGCCAACTATGTAAACGATCGTGAATAAGGATGAAATACCTTTCGTTTCTGAACTCTTTTCATTTACTTACTGAGAGAAGGATATCAGCAAGATCCATACAGCATAAAACCGCATTACCAATACGTGTAAAATTAACGCAGTAACTGGATGTAATCAAGATGATGGTGATGATGTGGTGGGTGAACATGGCGTAATGGTCCTTGCGACGCTTCTCGATATTCAGCACATAGACTTGCTGAATCCAAAAGCCTAGCTGCACCAGATAATACCACTTCATTCTTCCATTGATCAAGATATGAGGATAGTCAATCCAAAATTGTGCGGGGTTGAACCAGTGTGGACTACGATACATAATGTACTATAAACCAGATGATTTAGATGACACACCATTGGACAAGTATTAGGTCCATTTCAACCTTACCATGCCAAGGGACCAGAAAGTAGACGAGTACGTGAATGTCCATCCTTGCTCTGCAAATCGCAGTTGTTTCGCTGGATTGTCGGCACCATAAGCTTTTGCAAATGGTGTAAATACATACTTCATAATGAACGCACGCAGAAACGTGAAGGCCAACACCCAAAAGGCAACAAGATACGCGTCGTCCATTCCTTTATCATATAAATTCGATCCAGGTTGTGTTTCGTATGACAATTGAACCATCTTGCGTGCGACTGGTGAGCCAGCTGCTGATCCTACTAACGCACATAACAGAATAGCCCCAGGAATATCTAATAGCCAGAATGTGTAAATACTACTGTCTCTCCCATTGGTAAACCCCGCCGGATCAACTTACCGATTTCATGAGCAATGATGAATTCTTTTAAGGATGATGGCGGGGTAATTTGCTTAGTGCGCGGCTTTTCCACTTTTTTGGGAGATGGACGAAGAGCTGCAGCAGCCATTGGGACAGAGATAAGACAAGATATGGAACAAAAGAAAAAAAAAAAGACGAAACGAATGTAAGGAAGGAGAACGATGGCCCGGTGAAGTTCAGTTAACTTTAATCCAAGTAGCTGTTGGTGCTGTCCGGGAGAATGCTGTTATAAAGGGCCCAACGGAAAGGAAAGCCAATGACGGGTAACAGGAAAGTTTACAATGGAGGAGGCAAGTTGGAATCCTCTAACTAACTTTGCTATGTGAGTTTTTGCTGTGATGTGACGAGTTTAAAAAAAAGAGCCCAAGCCCTGGTGCTCTGTCGCTGATCCAAATGACAGCCGAGCAGTTTGGATGAGAAAGCACTCATTTCTTGCGGACTCGGAAAAACTATATGACTAGTCACGTGAAGAGATGCCGCACGTGACTTGTGCGTCTCACACTCAAAAATAAGCGTGTACGACAGGTACCATATGGGTCCTGGATGTCTACGCTACGCAGTAAAGCTTTACATTGTCAACGGATTCTGATCTGCTTGAGCAACAGCGATATTCGTGTAGTGTAATCGATATTCCGACAATTCATTAATCAACTTCTACTTTTAACCAATGATTCTACTGGTCAAGCATCCAACGTGGGCAAGGGGAACTCTATTTTCAGCCAATGAACAATTGCCATCGCTTGGTGGATTGACACGTCACACGGCTTGGTTGAATTGGAACGTGTAATTTGGCTCTGCCAGGCGTACAAGTATATAATTGGCAGCTGCTAGTTTTTAAAGCTCACCTTAGCCTGCGAGTATTCTTTGTCTTTCTCTCTCTCAAACAACTAATCTGATGAAGATTTACACTATTGCCTCTGTCTTGGGTTTGGCCGCCGTTGCCACCGCCGAGATCTTCATGCACGAAACCTTTGCCGATGGAGACGCCTGGACCGAGCGCTGGACGCCCTCCACACACAAGGATGATCTTGGTGCCCTCAAGCTTACTGCTGGTAAATTCTTTGCTGACGAGAACAAGAGCGTTGGTCTCCAAACTGCTGAGGACTACCGCTTCTATGCCGTCTCTGCTCCCATCACCCCTTTCTCTAACAAGAACAAGGATTTGGTTATCCAGTACTCTGTTAAAAATGAACAGAGCATCGACTGTGGTGGTGGTTACTTGAAGGTAAGGGGAACGGGACATGACCGATAATCCGGTGCTGGTTTGTTATGCGAGTTATTTCGTTGTCTAATGTCCATTCTAGCTCTTCAAGGAATTGGATCCTCTTAACTTCACTGGCGACAGCGAGTATAACATCATGTTTGGTGTAAGTGCGCGACCCCCTCGGCTCCTTTTTGTTTTGTTTTTCTTTACCCATTACTGACGCTTTGTCTCCTTATTTTTTATTTTCCTTTGATTATCATAGCCTGATATCTGCGGTTCCAAGTCCATGGTTCACGCCATTTTCAACTACAACGGCAAGAACCACGATCTTAAGAAGAGCGTCTCTGCTCCCAATGATGTTTACACCCACACTTATACTCTTATCGTTAAGCCCGATCAGACCTACCAAGTCTTGGTTGACAATGAGGAGAAGGCTGCTGGATCCCTTCTTGAGGACTGGGACTTCCTTGCCCCCAAGACCATTCCTGATCCTGATGCTAAGAAGCCTGCTGACTGGGTTGATGAAGCCGAGATCGATGATCCCGAAGACATCAAGCCTGCAAACTACGATGATATCCCTGAATTCATTCCTGACCCTGGTAAGTAAGCGTGAGACGATCACCCCAATCTACGAGGTAACCTGACTAATCCCTTGCTATCTGCAGAGGCCGAAAAGCCCGAAGACTGGGACGATGAGATGGATGGTGACTGGGAAGCTCCCTCTATCGCCAACCCAGATTTCCAAGGCAAGTGGGCTCCCAAGCGTATCCCCAACCCTGACTATCAAGGCCCTTGGGTCCATCCTGAAATCGACAACCCTGAATACAAGGTTGACAACGAGATCTATGCCTATGACTTCGGTCGCGCCGGTTTCGACCTCTGGCAGGTCAAGTCTGGCACCATCTTTGATGATATCTTGATCACTGATGACCTTAAGGTTGCTGCCGAACAGCGCGAAGAAGCTTTGGAATTGGCCAAGAAGGAGAAGGAATCAAAGGAAGCTTACGATGAAGTTCAACGCAAGGAAGCTGAAGAGAAGGCTGCTGCCGAAGCAGAAACTGCCAAGGAAAACGAAGTTACTCCTGAAGAAATCGTTCTTGATGATGAGGAGGATATCACTTTAGAGGCTGAAGATGAGCCAGAAACTGAAGAACACGTCAAGGATGAATTGTAGACGCGCCAAAAAAAAATCACAACTACCCCCACCCACCACTTTTACTCACCTGCCCTCCAACACTTTATAAAATCCTATTCATTGAAACATATAACTTTTTTTTTGTATGATCGATTTGCGTTGTGGTCAATCACCAAGCAATAAAGAAAAAAAAAAAAGAAAAAAGTACAAGCGTAATTTTTACTCCAAATGAGCTACCGCATAAAATGTTGGGCGGGTTGGTTGTCTCAGTGCAAGAGTTGATCATTTCCATGCCCACTTACCATGCCCACCAATTAACTGCCATTCGGCCTACTGCCATCCAACATATAATATATGCAAAGCTGTGGAATGATTCGCAGGACTATCTTGTTTTTGCAAAGGTAATATAGCCTCGTTTTCACCACATATGCTCAACTGCACCACACCTTCTCTCATACTTTGTAAACCTTGCCTAGGGTGCTTGGCTACAGCTACTACGTATTGTAGCAGACGGTCCGCTTGAACCCTTATTCGAACAGCCTGTGCCCGGTACCATCAGTCATATCGCCAAGCTATTATGCAACTGGACATCTGACCTTCAACCGCAGTGCACGTCGAACCAACCATCACAACAGCCCTACACCTGCTCGCCTATCAATCATGCTCGTATAGTATCGGATGACGTATTAGTTGCTACTTCCGACCAAGGTAGTTTGGTATTTCTTGCCCTTATTGTTCCTCCGGATGGTGATTTGGTGGACAATGGAAGGTTTGAACTGATCGCTGAAGTGCCGTTAACTTCACCTGGAGATGATTATATAAAAGTGGGGAGGAGAATGGCGGTTGATCCACAGTACGTACAAACTACTCGATTTGTTTGGTTTAAAGTTAGCATAATATCTCAACGTTCACTGTAGATCCCGGGCCATTGCTGTGTCTGCATACCAGGACAGCATTGATGTGTTCATCATCAATCAATCCGTATCACGCGATAACTTTATGCCTATTCAATCGGTATGTCGTATATGGTTCATGATGGAATGGCTCCCAGGGCAACCTGCTAATATCTTGAAAATAGATGCTTTCTATACAAGAACAAGGCATCATATACCAAATGGAGTTTCTGCAGACAAATGAACAGCACAAGATGTATCTGATTGTCACTATTTACAAGTTAAGTCGGTTTCATCTTGCATCATATCATTCATACAAATTTAAATTTACATTGTAACATTGGCTCAGTGATGTGGAACTGGTTTGTCGGCTAGTAGTCTATGCCATCGACACGTCTGATCCGGATAATATGACGATTGAGCGATGTGGACGACTGCCATTAGAGCGTGGTAATGCATGAGCTGCAGTTTGTCCTAATAGACCAAAGCTTCATCTAACAGTATCATTTTCTATACCATGTATTGCAGTTGGTCCTCTTCCTCTTCTGTTGATACCCATTTACGACACACTGGAGACCTTCATCTTAATCACCGTAAGCTCTATTTGATTCCTGATCTTTCATAACCGTTCATCGTAGTCTCACAATGATCTACATTTTAGGAATTGTATGCTAGCTATTTAACTATCGAAGACGTGTACTCCGGAAACGTGCTTCACCCTACATCCAACTTACCCACAAACGCTGATGGAGAAGGTAGATTTTTCGATCCGTTTTTCTAGGACTGCCCTATCCACTAAACAGTAGTCACCAGTTGTCATATTTACTGCCTATGCTGCACCTAAACCGCCTTCACCCTCTATTTTATACCTCGGTACGTCAAGTGGCGACTTTTATGCGTTAGACATAAAGTCTTTGGAATGGCGTTTCGTTGGACAAAGAAACAGTGTTGGCGTAGCTATGCAATATCTTGGACCGGCTTATCACGAGAATGGTCATAAAGATGTAATTGTATATGCTGGAGAAGGCGCTGATCATGAAGTGATTACGGTAAGATATACAGCTGTTTTGGTTGATAATCTTTTCAACTAGCATTCATGAGCTGCCATTGCAGATTGACGTTGACCAAACCGTTCCTGACATATCGGTGCTTCAAAGCCTTGAGAACCGAGCTCCTCTCATTGATGCTCATATTTCCCGTGACCCCCTGTCTTCGCTCGATGTCCTCTATGTATGCACTGGTCAGGATCGATATGGAAGTGTGAGAGAAATTCGCTCAGGCGTTGGCGTAGAAATGCTTTCCATTTCGCCCTCTGACCCTGAGTGGAATGGGTATGTATACCCAAATTTTGTGTCAAATGTATCACGTTAGCTTACGTTCTTCGCCTTTGATTACAACCAGTGTTACCGGGATATGGTACTTACCATATGATCAAGAGAACAATGATTCCTTCTACATTGTCGTTTCATTCGCTCTGGAAACGAGGGTACTCTCCAGTAAGTTTCATTAGTTTTCGTGTCAGTGCTTACAGTCAGGAGGTTCAAATTAACTGAGCCCAAACGCTTGAACCATAGATGTCGATCAGGAAATTCAAGATGTCTCTGAAACGTGCGGACTGGTCGGTGACAAGCCTACTATTTTTTCATGCTACTGTGATGGTCCACCTCGAGTTCTCGTTCAAGTTTTAGAGACTCAAGTCAATTTGTACAATACCTTGACAGGATCACTTACGACCGGTAAAGCTTGTGTTTCTTTTTTACATCAATAGTAGTGATAGCTTACCATTGGAGTTACTCAATCCACTTGTAGTTTCTCTAGATTCCATGCAATCTTTCAACTCTCCGAAAATCGCTCATGTTGCCATGGAAGATGCTATGCTTATTCTTTGCACTTCTTCTATGGATGACCAATGGTATCTAAACAAATTCTACATCGATGCTGAATCACTGGAAAAATCAGATGTTGTGGCAGTAAACCATGAGATTTCCTTCATGACCATCATCTCCTTGTCGCAGGAGCAAAATTATCTCATAGTTGGAACCCACCGACCTTCTATCTGTGTTTACAATACTGAGGATCTGACATGCATTCACGAAGAACTCCTTGTGGATGTATCGACTGCTGGCATTAATATACCCGAGTCCTGTGCGTTCCTAGAATACCAATCGTGCCGCTTTCTAGTCGTTGGCCTTCGAGATGGCACTTTAATATCATATCAGCTGGACTCTATGATAGGTACGTTTTATGGTGGCGAGAAATGATGTGCGTCTACTTGCTTATCGCGTACATTATCTGATTAGATGGTACCGTACAGCTTCGCAATGCATCTCAACGTCCACTTGGTTCATTGCCTGTCAAACTGGTGTCGCAAAATAGGCACTCTTGCGTAGCCATATCGGACCATGCGTGGTATGTCGAACAACGTAACAAGCGTATAGTGATTAAGCCCCTCTGTATCTTGGAATCTGACTACGTGGCTGCGATCACATCTCTACCATCTGAGGACGGTTACCAAAACTATGCAGCTGTGATCGATCAGAAACTGTGTATGATTTGCTTGGATCCAAGAGAAGACATTAATATGCGAACTATACATATAGGAGAGGTACGTTGAATTATCACCTTCTCCAAATGCATTAGATGCCCTTCTCACACCAAGCATTCTAGACATCGCGAAGGGTACTTCATGACAGACCTACGAATTGTCTTGTCGTCGCTTATAGTGGTGTTACGAACTCTGGTCGGCAAGATGGTCTCAACGTAATCCATGAGGGTAAAATAGTAGCTACAGTCAAGATGGCTGAACATGAGATTATATGTTCCATGGCTGGTAGGTTATTAAGGTGTGTGTGTTAAACTATACTTCTCCTTTTTCCTCATCGTTGCAAACGCAGGATGGAGCATTCAACATCAAACCAAGACCTACCGCTATATCTGTGTTGGGGTTGCTGTACACAGCGGAACGAGACACGAGCATAATGCCAGGCGAACACCGGTTGAAAGTGGCCGATTACTCCTTTATCGATTGAAGCGTCGCAAGCGTGAAATGCAATACTGTCTAAGTCAGGTTTGGCATGAAGATTCCTTGCTTGCTGGTGTGTTTGCCATTTGTCCACATCCCCATGGGTAAGCGATGTGTCATGGACAATTAATCGTTTAATGATCGTTTTTTAATCACTCGTCCTCTAGCTTATTGTTCTCAACGGGACGTACCTTGCATCTACACCAATTGGATATCTCCACCGGAAGGTATGTATGAAGCTAATTTTTTTGACAGTCTCCTATCACTTGTACTTATACCTCTGTTTTCAATATATTTGATCAGACTTGAAATGGTGGCTCAAGAATCAGCGCGCAGCCCTATCACACTTATACAAGTGGCTCAAGAGCGAATCTGCGTCGGCACTCAGTTGGATTCATTGTCCTTTTATCGATACGATCCGAGTAATCGCAAACTTCTGTTTCTCAAAAGCGACATGCTGATGCGAACGGTTAGCGGCGCTGTCATGCCTCATACTGGTCTTGTCATCGGCACAGAACGGTATGGAGGCATCTTTGGATTGATGGAAGACACCAATAAGCCTGCCTCTCGATCTCTGTCGCAAGCGTTTGGGTTCCATATGCCTGATGTTGCGCTTGGGGTTCAAACCGGTGCACTCTCCCTCATGGACCGCCTTCCTAACGATTATACCTTGCCTTGGGACGATACCAGCTCAGTGAGGAAGCCTATTCTGGCATGTACGCTTAGCGGCAGTGTTATAGTAGTGAGACGAATTACTTTAGAGACATATGAATTTCTTCGCACCATTGAATCAAGGATCCGACAACAGAATGGTGCGCGAACGCTCAGTACTATCTATTCGCCTAATGAAACCGTCCATACACTCAATGGAGATATCCTTCAGCTGTTCCTGCGCATGACCATTTCGGAGCAGCAGACGTTAGTGCGCGACGAAGATTTTGATGCGCTTGATTTGAAGGCATATCCAGCCAATCCAGCTGCGACCTATCCTGCGAATTCATCCAGCATTGAAAAAGTCACCAATATTCTCATGAATTTACAATATCTGTAGAGCCAAGCCAATCACCATTATCTCTGAACAATGAGATCAATAGAGAAATAAAAAGGTATCTACACTCCAGATGGCGCTTGCCACGAACTCCACTGGCTTACTCAAGTTTTACATGCATCTCCTCCATTACTATTTCAATTGCTATTTCATACTTCAAGCTCGAGCTTGCGTGTTCTGGGTGGACAATATTCATTTTTTTTTTTTTGGTAATTCATTTTTTGCATCATTTGGTTTCATCTACGTGGTAATAGCTACATTGGATGGAAACAAAATAAATGCAAGAATAAGATACAAAAGCGTAACAATTCTTGGGATATCACATCTTTTGTGTTTGGCGATAAAAAAGCAGTGGGATGTTTAAGGGTAGGTGATATGAGAGAGCTTCTAGTCTACTTAATGGTGGTGGCCGCCCTCACGTTCAAATCGAATACCGCCTGAAAATGAAAAGCACAAAGAAGGTGAGTAACAAGCAGAGAATTTGTTTCATATCAAGTTAGAGATAAATGCATACAGTAACCGCAAGGGTGGGATCCAGCCTTGTCGAGGTTGATGTAAATCTTTGGATGACCCAATGCACCACCTCCGCCGTTGCAGACAGCAATGCGTTCAGTGACATAGTGAATGGGTTCTTCGCCGATGAGCTCGATGGCAGCCATAGGGTTAGGTTGCTTTGACAGGTTTCGTTGCTCGAACTTGGGACCAACAAAGGCATCGGCCTTGGGTTGTTGTGATCGAGCCCAAGTTGCAGCTCGGTTAGAGGCTTGTTCGGCGTGGCGAGCGAGAGGCTTCACCGTTGGGTTGGCCGTAACAGCGGTTGTGTATTTTCTAACAATGTTGCGAAGCATGACTACAAGAAAAACAGTGAAAGGCCCTATTTTCTTTGATAGTTGGCCACCCCCCACTCACCTCCAAGCGTGACATCATAATTGTATGAGTGAATTCAATTTCACACGTGACGTTTCCCGAATTTGGGGTTATACTGTGAACATTATCTCCACCCCAGGGTCTCCGATACCGTCTTTTGCCCTGACTACATTACAACTCCATCCATGGAAAATGATATGCACACGTTCCTAATCCCACGTCCCTTTTGGGTTAATGACTTGGATCAAACGAATTGTCACTCGTGCAACAATGCTTTTGGGCCGCTGCGAAGAAGGGTACGTTTCTTTCCAAAGTCGGTATACAGAGTTATAAGTGTACGCTGAAGCTATATTTTCTTTGCTATATCAATTTTTTGCTTTAGCATCACTGTAGACAATGGTAATACAGACAGCTTTTATCCAAAAAGACATACCGGTATGGTTTACTAAATATCTTTTGTTCAGTGGTAACATCTTCTGCCACGACTGCTCCAGTCGGAGTATTCCGCTCCCGCAGTTGGGGTACGGAACCCGACCTGTTCGTGTATGCAATCAATGCCTAGAAGTTGCTTATCTAGTCACCTACATTATTGATGAGGATCATGGGTCAACCACGCAGGTAAGAGTTATGAACAGCCTGGCATCACCTCTTTGTCATCGTTTGACCACGTGTAATGTCCGTGCGCACAGATTCATGGAGCGAGAGGTCTTTTGGAAGTCGTAGAGAGAGATAATGGTATATTCAAGATTCTAAGCGCTCGTGGAGTACTCTCGTTTGTAGTATAAGCATATTTACCAGTCCTAACTTTTTTCAGACCAAGATCTGGCCAAACTTGTACAAAATGGAGGTGTTGATGCCTTAATATGGCTGTGTCGATCTCAGCGGGATAGCGAATTGCATTTCTTTGCCACATCGGCGTTAGCCATTCTTTCTGAGAAAGGTATATTGATAGTAACCCGACTCTTCTTATTTGCATACAGGCATCGCCTAACATTTATATTCATGTAGAATCCATTCGGCCCGTCATCATTACTAAAAGTGCCTTGCGACCTTTGATCCAGCTAATGGCCTTGTACTTGAGTAAACCCATGCCTCTTGACAATAAAGAAGCGGATAAGGTATCGTCTCCGATCATCAGGGAAGATGTCCGATTGGAGGTGCTACTAAATTGCAGCCATGTCATTTTTCAACTTGGTCGTGCCGGTAAGTTTATGAAAATGCGTAACTGGTCCGCAAGAAGTTCAATGTGAACGTCATCTCTCAATTATTGTCTGTCGTTAGCCATGTTGACTTCACAAGAAATCCGCAGTGACGGAGCATTCATCACCCTTTTACAGCTGGCGGATTTTCATTATACCCCACTCACTGAAGACACTGAAAACAGTGAAAAGCCAATCGATATGCAAGCTTTGCTGGATAGAGAACAAATGATTCAGAGTGTAGCTGCTAAAGGCATTTCGGCTATCTGTGCTACGGGTAAGGCATCATCTGACGAGCCCTGTTTTTTTTACTATTGCATTTTTTTTAAAGGGAGTTTCATTTCTTTGCTACCAGTGTCCAATCAGCCTGCTATTTTTGAGGTGATAAACAACCCAGACCAGTTAACGAGTTTATTGGAGAGCAGCAATTCTCTAGTCACCAAGTACATTGCTAAAGCTATTGCGTACCTCTCCTTACGAAACGGTAAGCTTTTGCCCTTGAACTAAGCAATGCGACCGATTTACTAAAAACTCCCAATCCGCAAATCATTTTCAGATAAATACAAATCACAATTGCTGCAGGGAAAAGGTGCCAAAATACTGGTGCAAAAGTTGAAAGTTACGGCGGCGGATCAGGACACAAACAATGTGGCGGACAAGGCGTCGTCGGACGAAACCAACTCTGACCAAACCTCGGATTTAGAAATGTCTATGGTGGCCAACCTATGCTGTGCTATTGCCAACTTTGCTACGAATGGTAAGTACAAAAAAAAGAGTGATGGCACGAGAGACGGTGTTTGCAGACACAAGGTATTAACCAGTGTGGGTGGATTTGACAGGCGAGTCACAGCAGCGACTTATGACCCAACCACATCTCCTCCAAAACCTTTGTGCGACAGCCGCTCTCTATTCCAGTAACACCGAAATCCATCGCCATATAGCGCGATGCTTTGCTAACTTTGCACTTTATGGTGAGCCATTGTCGACCATAACTTATATTTTTGACATCTATTGAAACCTGCCATTGTACAGACACCAATCGCAAGAGTATGCTGCATCAGGCAAACAAGAAAAAGAACGTGACCTATAATGTGATACCTACTCTACTAGCCATAGGACAATCGGCCATCGTGACACCGGATGTTCAGAGACATGTGGTTAGAGCAATTGATAACCTTAGCAACCAAGGTAGGCATTGTGAAAAGCCTGAGATGTGTATGATTTTTGTAGGATGTCTAATAGTGGGTTTAACTCCTTTTGTGAACTGTGGAAACCCCCCCAATTTCATTTCATGTAGAAATAACCGAGCAACATCGATCGACATTTGCAGAATCCCTACCTTTATTGAAGGCATGGATGAAGGATAATCCTGATGCAGACTTGGTTAAACGCGCCGAGACCATATGTTGTCGTTTTGAATAAAATATGTCAGCTAAATGGCCAGTTTTCAATAACCAATTGTTTCAATCCCAGTATTTCATACTTGCTTGTTCATCTTGTTATTTTCATAATGTCCCAAGACGATCAACAGCGTATTGTATATTACACTAATCTATGCGAGACGCTCTATGGAGCCTCTTCACATCAAGATCGCGAACGAGCCGAACACATTTTAGAGCATGCATTTCCGACTTTTGCTGATGCTGCGGGATCAGGGGTAGCTGGAAGACGTCCTAGCTTGGACTCATCTTACGCTTACGACATCTCCTCTCCTCAAGACTCTGCCTACGCTCTGACACTGTTGTTGAAGAACTCACCGAACCCTTACGTTCAAATGTTTGCCTCTACCCGCCTTAAAGCCCTGATAACAGATCAATTTCCAGTGTTTAGCCAGGATGCGAAGATACAGACAAGTATGCGTCTCAACTCGTTGACCATGTCGGTCTACCTGTTCTAAACTTTGTCTTTAGGAAACTTTGTACTCGAATATCTATATCTACATCCTAATCTACAGCCATTCGTCATTGTTCAGCTGGCCCAAGTCTTTACTATGCTGACAAAATTAGGATGGTTTGACCTTGACGAATTCAAGACCGTACATCGAGATTTGAACCAGTTTCTGCAGGTAATTTGCTTCACCTAGCCACAATACTTTTGTAGACGTATCATTCTCACCCTCTCAATCTCTATCCAGGCATCTATTGACCATCGCATTGTTGGTCTACAGCTGCTGACCATCCTTGTGCAAGACATTAACCTTCCAATTCCGGCTCGAAATCTTGCTAGGCATAGGAAAACAGGTAAATCTTACAGCTTTTCATAGCCTGTTAAACCCCATGATGTTGACAAACTGTCACCCATCCCCTCTGTCCGGTCGTATTATCCATCTAACCTTTCGTTTTCATTTTATCGACATAAATTTCTAGCGGTGGCCTTTAGAGACGATCAGTTGTTTTTGATCTTTGAAAGCGCAAACAATATCCTGCAAGAGTTGCTGCAGAACGCAATGTCTCTAGATAACGGTACGTACTTTACAAACATCCCCATTCTTATTTGGTTATTGACTCCCCTTGATCACCAGATCAACAAGACCGACTATGTGATGCAGTGCTGAAACTCATATCCAAATGCATGGCATTTGATTTTATCGGCACAACCCCTGATGAGTCTGGCGAGGACTCTGGCACCATTCAGGTAAACCAGCTTTTCGGAAAAGAGCTTCCGCAGTTTATGGTGTGTCTGTTGCCCATACTCAAATAGCCCTGTCCATCTAAAAGATACCCACATCCTGGAAGAGTTTGATTGAGGATGAAAGCTTTATACGAAACATGTTTTCTGCTTACAATACGTTCCCTACGCCACACTCTTCACAAGCCATGGAATGTCTAGCTCAAATCGCAACCATACGACGCTCTATCTATAGCGAGGAAGAACGTCATAAAGTGATTTTGCGGATCATGCAGGGAACACGCGATATCTTGGTGAGCTCTGCTGGACTGAGCGAAGAATCCAATCACCATCACTTTTGTCGCATGCTTGCAAGGTTTAGAGCTACATATCAATTGAACGAGATAACTGAAAAGGATTTGTATGAGGAATGGATTACTTTAGTGGCTGATTTCACCATCAAAGCCTTCCAAGCGTGGCAGGTATGTTACGTTGCGGTACACTGGAGTTTCAACCTGCTTTCAATCATCTCACCTCTGTCATGCTCTATAGTATGCTCCAAACAGCGTCACATACCTATTATCGTTTTGGTCAAAGATCATTCAAAGCTTGTCATACACTCGAACGTCCACAGCTCTAGGAAAGATTGAAGCTTTGACAATAGAGGTACCTGATTTTATATTGGAGTGGAGCCTGCTATTTTTATGACACACACTGACCGGCACATTTTAGCTTACGAGGTCGTTCATATCATCCAGAATCGATTCGGTTGAGCCCACGTTGGAAGAGATGCTGGATGGTACTGTAGCATATTGATGTTGTGCAGCTGGCATTGTGCACTAAGACGGTCTTGACTGACACCAAGTTTCTTCAACAGATCCTCTGGATAACGAAGACGCCTTGATGGAAAACCTGGATATGCTGGCCAATATCGCAAGATGTAAATATCAAGAAAGTGCTTCTACCGTGATTTCCATATTTGAGCCTATTGCAGCCAACTTTGAGGTATATGTCTATAGCGTGCGCATGCAGGGTCGACCATGAAGCGTGGGCTTGACCTGATGGTGAAGATGACATTTACTAATACGCCTTGTACATTGTAGGATCTTGTCAGTCGAATCAATAGTGGCGTTGCACATACGGAAGAGTTGAAAGAGGCTATTCTCGTTACCCAGACAAAGTTTGCTTGGCTAGTTTATATCATTGGTAGCTTCCTTAGTGCCAGAACAGTATGTCTCAGCCTTCGCTATATGGTAAATTTGTGTGCCTTTTTTCCTTCTATACTAATGAGACGGTTTAGACATATCTCAGTTCCGATGAACTTGACGAGATTGATGGTCTTTTGACCACCAAGGTGGTTCAACTTATCAATGTCAATGAACTTCTTCAAAGTCAGCATGGTGGTATATTAGCTCATCAAAAGCTAGATTGCGCTTTTGTTTACTTCCTTCAACAATTCAAAAAAGCTTACATAGGCGAACCTAGTTCTCGTGTAGCGGTAAGTTAAATTATCTAGCACATTTGCATGGATAATAGCTCATCATGATTCGAATGCAGGTATATACCAATTTGAACAAAACTTTTGGCATTGGAGATCAAGTCGGTATGCTGGATCTGATTACTCAAAAAATGTAAGCTTTGGACCTAGTGACTTTTCATCCCACCAACTTCCATGTAACATGCTCTTTCACTTAGTGTTAGCATTTTACAATTTTGGACGACGGATAATCGTGTTGTCTGGCATGCATTGAAACTATTCCACGATCTTTCATCAGGGTAAGTGTCTTCATAGTCAGTGCCACTACTTGTCCGCTATCATGACTAAAACTGTTTCACGCATGACCACAGTTACAGTAGCGCAAAGCATATGCGGAAATTGGATAGCGTTCGAATGATCATGTTGAACCATAGCTCGGACCAATTCGCATTCTTGAAAGGTCCAGGTGGTAAAGCGAACCGCGCGCTTTACTACAATGCTTTATCGAAGATCCTCTTTGCCGAAGATTGCTCTATCAAACAATTCTTGGACTTCATGAAACCGTTCCAGATCCAATTAGAAAATTTATTATCTCTTAATAGTGTTGAGGACTTTCAACAAGAGTCAGTCAAGGTGAGTTTTTTGCAGACGGAAAAAGCGGACGAAGAATAGTTTGTTGATGCCATGGATTTACTACAGACGGCGGCGCAGGGATTGTTCAAAGATCTTCAAGGCTTTATAGCACCAATTCAAAATCGCTCAAACTTTATGCTTTTCTTTGAATGGTTTTATCCCGACTATACCCAAGTTGTATTGAAAGGTTTAGAAGCCTGGGGCGCCGATGTGCTATCTACAACGCTACTCAAGTTTTATTCTGAATTTGTGATCAATCGAAGTCAAAGACTTACGTTTGATCGTGCATCTGCTGACGGCATTCTCATCTTTCGAGAGACCAGTAAAGTTTTGATGACCTATGGTAAGTCTTCGCCATGCTACCATCCTTTGCAGATTGCGTAGACGGCTGATTTTTATGCGTACCTTAGCCCAAAGCATAGTTAAGATGGCGATCCAAGATCCATCCCAAAAATATACCTACAAGTAGGTGTCCAATTCTTTGAAAGAGGCATACCTCAGATTGACCGATTCTCTTCATGCGACTGACCTAATACTTCTTAGATACAAAGGCGTAGCAACGTGCTTTGAAATCATGACGAGGAGCCAATCGGGCAAATATGTGCCTTTTGATGTGTTTGAGCTTTACCAAGATAAGGCATTTGAAAATGCTTTAAATGCTGTGTTCCAGATGATGCTTGACACTCCTTTGGATGATATGATGGTATGTCGACAGGAAAAGATGAAAATTTTGCGTTGCATGATAGCACTAGTGTACTTATGTCGTTTAACCCTGTAGGCATTTCCAAAGCTTACCAAAGCCTTCTTTGGATTCATGGATGTGTTCACGGATAAGCAAATGATGCAGCTGCCAACCATGGAAGCAGATGTTTTCTTGTACATGATGCGAGCGGCAGGCAGCGGTGTCAAATCTTTGGACCCAGGCGTTTGCACTCAGGCTTGCGCAACCATCGATCATATCTGTACCTTCGTCGTGCAGCAATCTGAACAACAAATCTCTAAGCGACCGAAGAACCACTGGCTAGTGCTGTACCTTTCGCAATATACTGACATCCTTCCTTACCTCTTTACCACGGTATTCAACGTTGTTCTCTTTGAAGACAAGCCAGTTCAGTGGAGTCTGTCTCGACCTCTCCTTGGCCTGATGTTACTACACAAAGACGTAAGTAGGAGGTATCTGGTGTGATGTGATCCTTGACCTTCTCATCTAATAATGAATGTGTCCTTGCCTTCTGTTTAGTACATGATGGAATATGTCTCCAACGTTATCAACCATCAGTTACCTGAGCGTCGCGAGTTTTTATCTATGGTAGGGATTTAGCCTCAACCTTTATGACACGCCCACATAAACGTCTTATATTGACCTCTCTCTAAACACCTTGCAGTCAATTCAATCTCTTATGAACGGTGTCGAATGGAACTTGATGCCCCGAAACCGAGAACGCTTCTCACAGAATCTCTCAGCCTTTAGACGCGAATTGAATTCAAACAGCATCAGCCTAGTCCCAATTGCCGCAGATTATGGAGTGGACGCCATGTTTTAGATGAATCGGCATGGGACTACTTATCCGACTATGTATCGTTCACATTGTGCTATGGCTGCTGCTATAAAACTCCAGTGATAGACAATGGCCACTGGTCCGTTTCCCTAGCTATATTTCATAACCTGGCTCTTTCGTATGCATACATTCTTTTAGTCCATATGAGCACAATGACAATAAACCCAGTCAACCCAATGTGAATTCTATAACAATACTCTGATTTTTTAATAACTTCAGCGCTCATTATATCACAAATGCTAGGAGTGCTTTCCATTTTTTCTTTTTTTACATTCAAAAAACAGTCGTTTACAAGATAGCTTCAACCATACCGATGTTCTCCTTCTCCAAGAGCTCCATGATGGGGTTGTTGATATCGGAGCTCATGGGAGCTAAAACACCAGTCTTGGTGAGCTTTCCGTCCAAGATCAATTGCACAGCAATACCGCAGGGAACACCGACAGTCTTGGCCATGGCAGTGTACTTGTTGGGATCACCATACTCGACAAGGGTGGAGGTTCTGACTTGGCGAGTACCGTCCTTAAGTTCGATTTCGAAACGGTGCTGCAAGAAGACAAGATCACGTTCGCCTTGTTCGTATTGCATCTTCTCCTCAAGGGTAGCGCACAAGGTATCCAACAAGTTTCCACGACGGTGGACAGGGGTCTCGCTGAAGAAACCAATCCATCTCATACCTTCAAGAATGGCGTCCTTGCGAGGGCTCTTAGCCAAGTTGGCCTTGGCAACAATGTCGTTGGCAAGGGTAGCATCGTCCTTGGCGCTGGATCCGGCAGCCTTGGCAACAACAGCCTTCCAGGTAATGTCAGAGGCAGAGGAAGCCAAGTGAGCCTGCTCAGAGTCGTCGAGGAAACCAAGATCAACAAGGGCCTTGACAAATTCGGGGAAACCGTCATAACGGAGAGTACCACGAAGAACAGTTTGAGCTTCGGGAATGTGGTAAAGTTCGCCATAGTTGGTGGAATCACGGTTGGGGTAACCAACGAAAGAGTAACCGGGGTAACCAGTCTCAATGCGCTTGGCAGAGTTCATGAGCTCAGGTCCAGGAACGGTGACGCTCTTGCCACCATCAATGTACTTTGCAGTGTTGCGGAGAGCCAACAAGACACCACGAGCAGACCATGAGAACTTGTAACCAAGAGGGTTGTTGGAGTTCTCGGGAGCAGGAAGACCACCACAGTATGAAAGGAAACCGAGCATCTTTCCTCCCTCATTGTGAACTTCTTCAATGGTCTTGACAGCGTACAAGTGATCGATACCGGGATCGAGACCAATCTCGTTCATGACAGTGACGCCAGCATCCTTTGCACTATGAGAGTAGGGGAAGTGTTAGTAACAGGATTTTTTGCAAGAGAAGATGTATGCACCCCTCCAATAAACGCAAAGTTATGTGTGGCACCCTTTCCCAATGTATGAATCATGCACACACGCGTTGTCAACTTACGCTTGATCATATTCCATCATAGCAGGGGAGACATAAGAAGTGGTAACCACATGCTTCTTGTGTTGAACAGCAGCCTTGATGACCTTGGCGTGGTAAATGTAAGGGATCAAACTGATAACCAAATCGTGTTGAGCGACGAGGTCAGCAATAGCCTGATCGCTGTTAATGTCGCATTCGACAGCCTTAGTGCCGGGGAACTTGGCTGACAAGGCCTGGGCATTCTTCAAAGTACGGCTGGCTATACTTCCAGTATCAGTATATAACCTTTACCCATGTTTATCAACCCAATCAAGGTTTTTTCACTTACCAATAGTGAGCTTGTTCTCGGGTCGTCGAAGGATATATTCGACAGCTGGGGCGGCGACGAAGCCGGAACCGAGCAAAAGGATATTCTTACTATAACAACAGAATACATATTGTGAGTATGCTTTCTTTTTAAGCCAATTTTTAACAATCAAAGAGGCATTTACGTGGCAGACATGAGGGATGAGGGAGAGAGGGAATTTGCTTTAAAAAGTGACAGTTTCGTGCTTTAAAGAAGAGACCAAGCTACTGATCGGAGATGAAGAAAGGCGGTCACATCTACAGTCTTGAATGGGACCATCACTTAACGTTGCTTATGCTAACCAGGCTTTGGTACGAAGGCTGGGATGAGGAACCACTATTCATGAGCAATAGTTATGCTTTTTCAATGTTTTATCTGCTGAAAATTTCGTATTTCAAATCGATTTGTTGATATTACTCACAAACTTTATGGCTGCGGTGTGTCCTAGTGCTCCGTCTAGCCGGAATCAATACAACAAGGGTGCGAATATTTAGAAAGGGACACTCTATATCACAAACACCCTATGCCACAAGCATTCAAATGACGAGATTAATGTTGATAATAAAGATCATGATATTATTCATTTTTGAGAAAGAAACTTTCGCGTAACAACACTAACTAATCCATTAGCGCCGGAAAAGTATACCCCACGCTACTTGACTCCGATGAATACTGAGGCATATAGGCGCGGCGAAACCGTCGACTTTGGTTAGCAGTGCTTTTGTGAACTACTCGGTTAGATAGAAAGACAATTGATCCTGCAGGCACATTCACCAAGTGCTCGCCACTGCCGTCCAGCGGTTGAATGGTCAAGCCTCCATTGTTCTGTATTCCCAAACGGGAAAAAGAAAATGAGCATGATGCTCCAGTATTTCAACGTGTCCTGCATTATCTAACTAACCTCGTCAACATCATCCAGCGCTGTCCAGCATGCAACACTCTTGATCTGCTGTTCATGTGCAGGTAAGTACTCTCCATCCTATTTTTGAATACAGATCGACACATGCTATCAGAATCACCATTTGAACCCTGGTCCTGCTTTCTAATCTTTTAAAACTTTTACTAACTTACCGTATGCCATCGAAAGGAAGAATCAGCTCGGGAAGCCGGAGGTTTGATAATATATTGCTCGTTAAGCTGAGTAAAGGGTAAAAATTCAGCAACTAAGAAACTACCAGAAAACGGAGATTGCTGCTTACCAGATATACCGTACTACACTTTAGCAGCTGTGTACTCCACCTTGCCATCTCACTAAAGAGTATCTCCGATATGCTACTACCATCATCCAAAATTAAGTCCCGATGCTTGCAAAAAACCTGCGCACTTTTTCGGTAGTCGGCCGGTAAATCATCCATGTATCCACATGCTAGTGGCTCTATTGTTAAAAGGTTGACGCAGTGATCATGCCAGTTTATAAAAAAATACTTTTAGTGACTGTAGCTGCTTTCGATAATTTACAGCCGTCTGGGGGGATTTACCAATGATGCAACCGAGATCGCGGGCCAGATCTAGATTTTGATCCATGACATGATTCAAGAGAATGTCTGCTTCGGTGTGAAAACGTTGAGTCTGTTTTGAAGAAAGAGCTGATTGCGGGCATGAGCTAAACATCGTTGGGCAGTTTTGCTATCATAAACCGTACCATGTTCATATACGACAAAGCCTTTCTCTGCAAAGTGAAGACACTGCCTTTGGGATAGCATGCTTCATTCCCAAATTGGTAAGAAAGAAACAGTGTAGTGATTTAATTTCGTCATTTCCACAGACTCTTCACTTTCCTTGAAATCTCTCCATTCTTGTCTTCCAATCAGACTTGCAAGTTTCCACATTTCTGAATTACAGCTCCCTTCATTCTGGCTTATAGTTCTATCACATTCAAACAAATGTTTTTCTGCTTCACATGTAAGTTTTGCTTTGTTGTAACGCACCGGTCGCAAGTTTATTTAACACAGTCCCCGGCCAGTCGGTGTCCAACCTCTCAAACGTCGCAAGGGAGAGAAAGTCTTCACATGCCCACGTTGCTCAGCCAACAATGTTCACTATGAGAAGATCAATGACTGCTTTACGTTCTGCTTCATACCTATCATACCTTGCGGTAACACTAGGCAGCTCTACGAATGCTACACTTGTGGCTGGATCAACGTCAACCAACCACCGTATTAGCCACCGCCCGCCAAGTTGTTCTTTGACATTTCCTTTTTTCTCAATATTCTTACGCACTATTTATTTATTTCTGGCACCTATTATTTTATATCTTGTCCTGGCGCTATACCGCTCTCTATATCGGGTCCTGGTGTACTAACTTCTATTGGATATCGGGTCCTAATGCCATAGTTTTATTTTATATCGGATCTTGATGATATGGGGTTTTGTACATGAATGAAGACAATACGATATATGCTCTATGGAATAAAAAAACGAACAGTCAATACGCTTATTTTATTGACTAGGAATACCTGCGTACTCGTCAAAGCCAAGAGAAAGGTTCAGGTTCTATGGGTTTAAATGGGTCAGAGACATACTTTTTTGTCACACAAATCACAATGAGTTTTTTTTCATAAGATCTTACCTGCAAAGCTTGGGTAGCAGCACCCTTGAGCAGATTGTCGATGGTGGTAACGATGACAGCACGCTTGCCATCAGCTTGGACACCAAATCCTCCAATACTGACATTGTGTTTACCGGCAATGTCACGAACAAGTGGAGGTTCACCTTCGATAATCTTGACCAACTTTTCATTCTGATAAAATTCACTGAACAAATCCTTGACATCACGGCTGCTCATACTCTTGTTGAGAGGAATGTTAACCGTCAAAGCAATGCCTTGGAACCATGGAGCGACATGAGGTGTAAAGTGGATTGGGGTACCGAGCTGGTATGACACCTCTCTTTCGTGGATGTGGCCGGTGAGTGCGTAAGGAATGATATTATCCTTCAAGAAAGCGGGATCGTTCTTGTTGCTGGGCTTGGTACCTGCACCAGAGTATCCGGAGACACCGAAAACAGTAGGGGGAGATTGAATAAAGGGCAACAATGGCTTGATAGACATTTGAGCACCGGTAGCATAGCATCCTGGGTTAGAGATACGGGTCGCTCCTGCAAGCTTTTCTCTGTTGAATTCTGCAAAATGGTTTGTTAGAATGGAATCGTTCACAGCGTGTGTCATGCGGGAGAGAATTCGCTGGTAGGTTCCCCTTTACCCCATTTGCCATGTTGCATTTCTCTTCTTTCTTACTCACCTGGAAGACCATAAGTCCAGCTCTCCTCAAATCGGTAATCAGCACTGAGATCGATCAAACTCTTGTCTTGCAACTTTCCATCCTTGACATCCTGCTCAATTTGGTGCACAAAAGGATGGCAAACACCGTTGGGCAAGGCCAAAATCCAAGCATCCACCTCATCGTGATCCTTAAGATCTTGAGGCTTAAGGTTGACATAGGTCAATTTCTCCTTGTTGTACCCTTCGAGAGGCTTTCCTTCCAATTCACGAGAGCTGACATGGGTTAAGTTCAAGTGAGGGTGGCTGTCAATCAAATTGATCAATTCACGGCCGGTATATCCACGAGCACCAATCAAACCGACATTTTTGCGAGACTGAGTGGAGTAGCCGCGACGTTGTTGAGCATAAGTGCTGAATTGACGACGACCGCTGAACCCATCAAAGGTCTTCTTGACCTTATCAGCACCTTCAATGCCATAAAAGAACAAGGTCTTGCCAGTGTGGGGGTTGCGCAGCGAACCCTCTGCCCGTTCAAAGTGCCATGACTTGTCCAAGTTACCATCCTCCTCTTCCTTGGTAATTTCCCAAGTCAACGCAGGGTGGTCCTTTTTGATGTTGGTCCAAAGATTATCAGGAACGTTGTTCAAAGCAGCGGTCTTGTTGGTCACAAACTTCTCCAAAACAGCAGGAGCATCGGCCACTGTGGGGTCCTGGGTAACAACCGCCAAAACTTGACCAGGCTCGTCCATGTAGACGTTGACTTTCTTTTGCTGCAAGTCACGCAAGTAGCTAGCAACCGAAGTTTGACCAGACTTGATGGCAGGATCCTCAGCCTCGAGAATATGGCGAAGCTTATCAGGATCGATCTTGTCGAGAGCATCATACTTGAAGAGCTTGTGGCCGCGGCGAATCAAGGTTCCAGCACCGGAGTCGGTGAACAATTCCTTGTGCAAATGACCAGCGGAAATGATGGCAACGGAAGAAGATCGAGGAAGACGATCGAGTAATTCTTTGCATTCCTTGATCTTGAGCTTGGTGCCATACTTGACCCAGGGTTCCTTGAGCAAATCTTCGTATTCCTACAAGCAAAAAATAAAGTCCCAACGGTGAGTCTCAACTCCCATTGATATTTCACGTGGATCTAAAAAGTGGCTTTACCTCATCGAGATTTATCACATCAATTTTCTTGCCAGTAACGCCGTGATACAAGCCGTTCTTCTCGTTCAAAAACACAATCTTCAGAGGTTCAAGAACAGTGGCTAACTCAGCAGCAGCTACATCAGCGTTGACATTGAGGATTTGACCATCGGGAGTTTCGGCCAACGAGGTCAAGATAGGCAGTGTACCAGCACGAATAGCGGATTCGATGCCACTCTTGTTGACAGATTTGATCTTGCCAACATAGCCATATTTTTCGCGATCAAGATAATCAGCTACAAAGACGCCACTTGGAATGGGTCTTGCACGAGTGCCATGACGCTCCAACGCTTCAACAAGTTTGAGATTTTCCTGTTGGAACACTTTGCGAGCAATCTCCAGAGTCTTTGCGTCGGTGATACGAATACCTTCGTTGTATTGGGGCTCAACATTTGCATCTTCCAACAGTCGGTTGAGTTGAGGACCTGCGCCATGCAATACAATAGGATACAAACCAACTCGGTTCAAGAATGTCAAGGCAGACGCTAGTGTATCCAGCTCATCCGTCAACACTGCTCCTCCAACCTTAATGACAGCAAACTTTTGGGACTCGACAGAAGAAAAGTGGCGGAGGTATTGCTCTACCTCCTTTCGAGAGCCAATGTTGTACAACAACTTCGCAATGGTTTCCTAGGATCGCCCTATAAGTCACTGTTTCCATCGCCCGCCGCGGTTGCTTTGATCAACGTACCTTTTCAGCTGTGGACGACTGGTCTTGACCGTAGGACCGAATGATCTTATGCTGTGCAGGCAAAGATCGAGCCATGGTGGGTCTCAACAAGAAACGGCCAGTTGAGGCAAGGCTTCTGGTAGCCACACTACCTGTCTTCAACCGGGATAGCATGAGAGTGAATAAAGAAATGAAAGAAAGAGCCGAGATTTTCGGCTTTTGACCCATGCAAAAAAAAAACTTTCAGACACCGCAAATGCCTCGCCCCTCACTCTTGCAATCATAACTACCTTGACATCTAAGCTACAGGTACCTGTGATGTCGGTATATTGTCACCACACCATCCTTCATTTTATATTTCCACATCGTAGCTGCATCGCTGATTTTGAGCCGTCATCAACTAATATCCCACTTCATATCAGTCTGAAACGAGCGGTGATGAAAACAAGTTACAAGGTGACTCATTTCGTCTCTTGCTAAATCTATTTTTCATAGTCAGCTAAAGCGATTGGCAAGAGGCATAAAAAACCCAAAATTTTTGAGCAAGGGTTTGACATTCTTTCTCTCTTGTTCTCAAATCACAAGATATTATAATGGTTGCTCCTAAAGGAAAAGTTTTGCTCGCCTACTCTGGAGGTCTGGATACCTCTTGCATCCTCGTCTGGTTGATCGAACAAGGATATGAAGTCATGGCTTACCTTGCTGACGTTGGTCAGGAAGAGGATTTTGAAGCCGCCCGTGAAAAGGCTCTCAAGATTGGTGCCACCAAGGTCTTTATTGAGGTAAGAATTTTTCGCAATACATGCATGAGATCTGTTGTGCAGTTTTTCCATTAACACGATATGCTACTCAGGATTTGAAGAAGGAGTTCGTCCAAGAACTGATCTTCCCCGCCATCCAAGCCAACGCCGTTTACGAAACCAACTACCTCTTGGGTACTTCTCTCGCTCGCCCTGTCATTGCCCGCAAGCAAATTGAGATTGCTGACCGCGAAGGCTGCCAGTTCGTCTCCCACGGATGCACTGGTAAGGGTAACGATCAAGTTCGTTTCGAGTTGGCTTTCTATGCCCTCAAGCACGATATTAAGGTTATTGCCCCCTGGCGTATTCCTGGTAAGTACTTAGCAAATCGTGTGCGAGCCCAGTCATTTGCTTTTTTTATTAATCGTCATGTTCAGAATTCTTTGAGCGTTTCGCTGGCCGTCGTGATCTCTTGGCCTACGCCGCTGAGAAGGGCGTCCCTGTCGTTCAGACCGCCGCCAAGCCCTGGTCCACTGACGAAAACTTGTTCCACATCTCATATGAGGCTGGTATCCTCGAGGACCCTAACACCACTCCTCCCAAGGATATGTGGAAGTTGACCGTCGACCCCGAAGATGCTCCCAACACCCCCGAACGCATCACCATCACCTTTGAGAAGGGTATCCCTGTCAAGGTTGTCAACCACAATGATAACACCACCGTCACTGAGCCCGTCGAACTCTTCACTTACCTCAACACCGTTGCTCGTCGTAACGGTATTGGCCGTATTGACATTGTCGAGTCCCGATTCATTGGCGTCAAGTCGCGTGGTTGCTACGAAACCCCTGGTGGCACCATCCTCCGTGCTGCCCACATTGATTTGGAAGGTTTGACTTTGGATGGTCAGCTCCGTGCTCTTCGCGACCAAAACATCACCTTCCCTTTCGGTCGTATCCTCTACAACGGTCAATACTTTTCTCCTGAGCGTGAATTCTTGACCCACTCCCTCGCTTTCACCCAGCGTAACGTCAATGGTGATGTCAAATTGAAGCTCTACAAGGGTAACACCATCGTTGAAGGTCGTATTGCTCGTGGTGACGGTGCCAAGTTGTATGACGAAAAGGAATCTTCCATGGACGAGCATGGTGGTTACAATCCCCAGGATGCTGACGGCTTTATCAAGATTCACTCCATTCGTCTCAACAAGTGGACCCCCGCTGACCAATAGACTCATGTTATCCCACTCTTTACATGCCCGAAGCCATAAGCTTCACTCTTTTTTCTCAAAAAAGAGACCCAAAAAGAAAATATGCACTTTGTAAATAGTTTGCCACTCTAGTTCACCCTTACAGCTTGAATTCCTAAAATAGCTGCACATTTCTGAATACACTTTGGAGAAGCATTTTTTTAGACGACCTGTGATGTGGTGCCAGCCTAGTATACTATGTGATAGAGGCGGCTCAATGTGATGGCGGTTACCGCGCAAACATGTCCCGTAGTGAAACATAACATACGACTCCGAGCAGAGTCCTCCGATTTAGCGTTCGGGTAACTTGCCTATGGGCTAGGGTCTGAACAATATTGCGCGATATTTCTCCTCAGCGGATAAAGGAAGAGAAAAACAAGTTTTGATGTGCGGAGCTGGTAGTTCGCCAAAGCTTAGTGAAAAAAAAATCATACTAAGGTGTTGCTTATGCTCATTGAGATGTCAAAAACGCAGCTTGCTGTCTCAAACCGTCAAAGCCTTAATTTATGAGAAGCAAAAAAGTGCAAAAATGGGCTTCGCCGGGAATTGAACCCGGGACCTCCCGCACCCTAAGCGGGAATTATACCACTAAACCACGAAACCCTTGTTGTTCAATTTTGAAAATATAGTTTACTTATTCTCAAAGCACGTGCCAATGATTTTTACTACCAACAGGCTACATTGTATGGGTTAGGCCTTGTACATTTACATTAACGACTTTCAACTATTTTTGTACTATTTTGGTCCATTCTTTATATTATTTAAGATTCTCATACATGTTTGTTAGTTGATAGCATGAAGAAGTATGAGTAAGATAGCATGATGTGACGCGTCGGCCGGGTATGCAATGTTTGTTTCTTTGGACAAGTCTCCAAATTATCTTGGCAGAGTTTTTTTTTTTAAAGTTGTAAATTTTTAATATTCACCGTCCAATTCATCTGCGGTTTCTAAAGAAATCTACTCCAGACTGACAAGTCCTTCGCCAGGAAGGTGTCAGACCCCCAAAAAGGGCATAAGCTGCTTCTGTGTCTGGAATCGTAGAAAAGGTGAACTTTCTGTCTTCAAAGAGCATTCCTTCTTCTTTATCTACCTCTTCGTATTGTCATTCAGTGTCCAAGTACATGTAAATATTGAACACGGTCTGTTTTACGTCATCTACTTCACGTGCTGTGGCGTAACTTTGATATACGAAGGTATGTTTGCGGGAAGCGGCTCTATGTCATCTGCATTTCGTCGATCGGCGTAGATGCGACCATTGCCGTAGCAACGCTCTCAAATGTATACGTATCCAAACTGGTTTGCTGCTGAGTTCTTGGAATATTTCAACCATGAGATGTCGATTTTCCTTGGGATTCCATTTCGAGTGAGTACGTGAAAATTCCTGGAAAGATTCTGAAGGCAAAATTCGCAATGGCCAAAGTCGTGGATTATGAACATAAATGCTTATCCTTTTGCTCTCTGACAGCTACTCCGGCTGGTATCATTTCTTCAGTTCGTGTCGTTGGTATTCAGCCTAAACCTCTCAGTGATCTAGGCTCCAAACCCTACCAAGCAACTATAAGCCTATTATGGCGTCACTTTACTTGTGGAACTCTCTTACTCCTTACTTACGATCTTATCTCACCCGCCATTCTACAATGTGGAGACTCCTCCAGCATATAGAGGTGACATTTTCAAACCATTACTAGCCTAAGTGAAGGTAATCTAGATGCTGACACTGCGGAGGCGGACTCGCTCATTCCGAAAGCGATGATGTAAAGAAAGACAGTGAGTTCATCATTAATGCATTTATCTGTCTACACAAGGAAGCTGAAACCACTGCGTTTTATGGCGTTGGACATGCAAATGGATCTGATGACCTTTTGAAGAGGTGTCTAACAAGGGAACTGTCCTTATCTTACTGGATAATGTTGCTCCTTGTATGGTTTTCTGTAAGTAATTGATATGGATAACCCTGTGAAAACAAAGCTGCTAGAGACTCTTCTTCGAAAGGAAGTTGCAAATGGGAAGGTCATCTCTGTCGTGCTCAGAAGAGTAAATACAAAAGGTCGGACTATGTTGGTGTACACTTAAGCCTGCAACCTTTTTTTTTTTCTTTTTTTTTTCCCCACTAGAAATGCATGTAATGGAGTACGGCAGTGGACTAGCAAGGAATTCAAAGGTTATCGCAATGAATTTCACCAGTTAACGAAGCTCAACGATAGCATCCAACTCTGCTAGTCAAGCGCACAAGGGCACACCAAGTGTACACATAAATGGAACTCAGCCACATTGGATTAACACAAACTGATGGTACGTGCCAGGAAGTAATGGTATTTTTTTGGCTGCTGGCACATACAACCTCAGAATAAATACCTTGGCTAGCATTATCTTATTTCCTTACAAATAAATACAATCACTTGCATGAACGGAAGTAAACAACTTTGCATAAGTTATGCTTTCTTCGAAGACCGCCTGCCCTAAATCAGCATTCATGCTTTGAACAGAAAGTAGAAAATTTGTTAACTACGAGTTTTCCTGCACAGACATTAAATTTAAATTTTTAGATTGAGGATCTTTACGAACGTCATTTCAACAAAAAAATGAAGGTAAGAAAAGGGAAAAGAACTCGCTAACGTCTACTATCGCTTGATGTTAATAAGAAAAGAAATTGCCCATCATTCGTATTTTTCCATACTATATATATAAGCTAACTTAAGGTTCCTTATTTCAATTTTTTAAAGAACACAGCAACCGTGTAAATTTCGAGCGCATCACTACAAACATGCTTTCGCTATATTCCATTAAAAACAGTCAAGGTATAAATAATTGAGATAATTTTTTTAAGAGCGGATTTTTCATAACATATGTAGAGATATGTTGTGAGTCAGCACTACCAGAATAAAGTAAGTGAATGCAGTATGTGAGAACTTATTGTCAAATCAATCTTGTTCAATGTGACGCGTGAGACGATCTTGGATAAAAAAATGTTATATTGTAAATGTTATAAGAATACTACATACATTTATAGAAAACATTGAAAATAAAAATCTAGGCATCTGTTCAGGAACCTTTGTTGCACTATCATGTCATTAAAAGTCCAGTATATGATAGTTTGTTTGACAAAATTATAGTCATCACAAATACTAAAGTGACCGAAAAATAAAAAGCAGAAATAGGATAAAATATAATAATAATTTGGATTCACAATTAACTGCCCATCATTCTTTACCTCCATAATGAAGAGTCATCTGAAAAATTTTTATTCATAGAAGTTTTTAAAAAAATTCCTCCTCCATTATCACTTGGTAAAGTCTGTACATGATGAAAAAAATTTCTCCACTGAAACCAATCACCTGTTACGAACTACGGAATGAAGGCCGCTCCATTTTCATAAAACACAAATGGCTTCATATTATCATACCTTCGTAACAAAAAACTCCCAAAATTTTAACCATACATAAAATTAATACCAAGTAATATTGCATTTACACTGTGGGTCACGCAGTGGTCTATAACATACAAAACACTGCTAATCTGATTCAACTCAACAACCTATATTTTATAAAGACCAAAAAGGACCAATTTCCATCAGCTGCCATGATAGTATAGTGGTCATTATCTCTCGTTGTGGCCGAGAAGACCCTGGTTCGATTCCAGGTCATGGCACATTGTCATTAAATTTTAACTTGTGGATATTTTTTTCAAGCGCCGATCTTCTGCCTTCTTGCATCTGTCGTCGCCTAAAATACAAAATGACAGTTCAACCGAACGCCGGTTCAAGGGGACTTCTTTACCAGCGAAGTCACATTGAATATCCTCTTAAAATTAGATTTCTTTTACATTTTTATATAATAAGTCACGAATCAACAAGTATAAATAGAGCAGTTGATTAATAGAATAAAAAGCAGTTTTTAACCTCACGAGAAGTTCACTCGTCTGCAGGATAATACAATAAGTCATACAGTAATCTAAACGACACATCAAATTACCTACCTTGCCTTTTCTTTTGCCAAAGAAGAAACATGCCGGCAACAAAGCTTCATGCAATATACTGTGTCAGTAAGCATCAAGGTCATCAAAAAGGGAAAGATTGCTGCTATTCTTATAGAGTCATTCTTTTGTACTGGTGAAATAATCTGTGCTTCAAAGTGAAAGCCAAGATGTTAGAAAAGAAAAGGTCACCGTGCGTTCAGGTCAGATATTTCTATACATTATTAGATAAATAAAAAAGAGATTAGTATTAGAATGCCTTAGAAATATGTTTGGAGTTCTAACTCTTTGCGCTACACGTGCTCTAACATATTCCAACTTGAAGGCGCATAATTTTATTGCCATGAACTATACCGATACATTAAACTAGGTCTGATTCATGCTGAGGCACCCATGAGCATGATAAATATGCGCATTTAACAAAATTACGGCTGTCATACATATCGTGCCAAGGATCCAAGATTTATGGCCCTAGCCCTCCAATCCTACACAACTAGCGTCTGTAAAGTCACGAGGTCAAAGCGACACAGCTAAATTTCGGAGCTAAAGCCGCCAGTCGTTGGACGGAATTCTAGCTTCAAACGGTATATTCCCTGTAGCTGTACCTGCAAAGCGCATCATTTATACACCTGGTCCACTGTAACTCTAACGGCCCTAAGAGCTCGTACTGGAAATCTAGCACTTTTGACACAATGAACGAAGGCGGAGATTCTGCTCATGACTTAGCTCAAGTCCGAAAGCTCATAGATGGCATGAACGCATTAGTAAAAAGCCACAGTAAGCTTCAGCAGCAAAAACAAAGTGGTACACAAGGTATACATGAAAAGAAGGATTGTCTCAAGCTTTCTATATTCAAACGTTTTGGATCCATTAGATAGCCCAACTCAGCCGGGCGCTGCAAACTCAGAGACAACTGCAGTAAGCAACGATCAAGAAGTGTCAGCGTATGTATTCAACGGGGGATGAATTCCGGTTCTCAGAAAAGTTCTCAACTTGAACCTATCAGAATTATGGACTGACGCATTTATTCACTATCAGGGACAAAGCTATTGATCCTCTGCCTGGAAATACCATCATCATCGAAGTCGCTCACAACATTTTGAACCGTACACTTTACTTTTCTCTGATGCGCAAGTGTCTTTCATTGCTCCGTGACTTTTCATATTCATTTGAGGACTAAAATTCGATGCTAACAAACCATACACTATTGCAGCGGAAGCGACGATAGAGCCTCTTATTAGTTGGCTGAGAGTTTCATTTGCAGACCCTGCGATATCCGGCATGGTTTTGCAATACAAGGGGTTTGACGGCCTGTGGAAGTGTTTACTAAACAGTGGGTAATCTGTTTGATGGCATATTGACCAATGTTGTATTAGAAAAATGGCTGATCTATGATGATAGGGGATGATTCATTGAAGCGTATACTGAAGCAAGCTCTGAAAGCTGGTTCCATGGTGCAAATGCGAGTTCCACGGGCGCAAGATTTATTGAGTGTAAGTAATAAAAGGAAGCCATCCATGATTGAAGGTGATGAGGGGAGTAGGTTGCAGGGCGGTTTGGGACAAGGACATGATGAATTAACACTACTCTTGCAATAGTCCGGCTATTCCGATAAGCGGTTACTGGACTTGACTAAAGGATAGCATATAGGTGTTGGAAAGATGGTCATTCGATTTGCGTGTGCATACGACCGGATAGCTTATGACAAGTAGTGGACTAGTTGAATGTAGATACTATGGGAAAATACCCATTATATTACCATTGGTTATATGGATAAATAACTTGACAAATAGTGTGGCAAAGAAATATGCCAAAATATATTATCTATAGAGTAGGGTGGGGAATGTTTGGGCTGTCTATAATTCTACTGTGGTTCCGGTGGATGTTTTGTCGATATAAACTGCAGATCTCACAGTTTTGCAAACCTCTTCTTCCCCACGATATGTCTCTGAACATAATCGTTCACAAACACTCCATTTGGATCCAGCTTCTCTTGGACGGTAAGAAAGTCAGAGAACTTTGGATAGGATCTTTCAAGGTCAGATTTTGTTTGTCCGTGGGCCTATCGAAGATGAACATAGTGAGTCACCTTTGAATACCACTAAACTGACCATAGACTTTGCATGCAGTCATTTCTACTCACCTTGGCCCAATGTGGCCGGCCATCCAAGGATCTCATAACATCTTCGTATGCACGCCAGTACTTTTTGTAGGGAACTGGCTTTCCGTAGGGTCTATACGCGGTGAAAAGATACAGTTGAGTACACAATCGTAGATATTCAATATGATACGTTTAAACCTACCTGTACATAATCACTCCAATGTAACATGTCTTGCGTCCATAAGAAGGACTCAACCAAACATCATCGGCATCCACAAATCGGATTTCGACAGGAAAGTGAACTTTGAGGTCCGACGACTGTATGAACTTTTCAATTCTCTTTAGTGCTTCAGGAGCCTTCTCTAGAGGAATGGCCCATTCGTTGACGTATTGAGGGAATAGACAATCAAAGTTAAACACCTTGTAACTGTCATCTACAACGTGTGTTGGTGTTGAATGAACTTTATCGTAAAAAAATCTTGTGAGACTTGGTATCATAGAGGGGCGATATCGCGCAATATTGAGAGCAAATTGGTAAACATGGAATCCAACAAAAGTGTATTTGAACCAGCTGGGCTTGTCTTCGGTAACAGGCTTGGTAGTCCGGTTAGCACGCCAAACGACGCAGTCATCAGTATGAGGATACCACCATACTCGAACATGTTCTGCAGAGTTGATAACAGTGTCCCAGTTTTGTAACACATTGTCGAACTTGTCGGGTTCTTGTTTAGCCTCCAATAAAAAGTCGGGTTCTACTTTCAAAGACATTCTTGTGATGACTCCCAAGCATCCCAAGCTGCACCTGGCTGCTTCAAAAACATCTGGGTTGGAAGAAGGGGAACAGTACAAAATTTCTCCGGTTCCACTGACGATAGTAAGGTCTGTAATCTGAATGAAAACATTAATGCTCTAATCAACTGCTGATTACAAGAATTTTGCTATAGCTTACCATAGTAGGAAGGCTTCCAAACGCTGTACCCGTTCCATGAGATGCGGTGGCCATGACGCCTGCCACGGATTGATCAGAAATTGAGCCCAGATTACTGAGAGCCATACCATTGTTCTTCAACACTTGATGCAAAGTATGCAAGTCCATGCCGGCTTCAACTGTAATAATGCCTTTCTCACGGTTGACAGCTAGGACTCGATTGAGCTTGTGTATGCTGATCATATAATCATTGGTGAGAGCAAGGTCAGAAGGAGAATGACCAGAACCAACGACTTTGATATGTTTTTTGTTTTGGACGGCGAGTCGTACAATCTATAATAAAAGAAGGAAAGGGATTAACATGGCATGACCTTTGGAAATGTTCAGTGCGAATCCCGGATGTTCAACGTCAATTCCACCAAATATTACCTCTGAGACCTCTTCTTCGGTTGAAGGCTCGAAATATAACTCTGGGCTGCAGCCAAAAGTATTTGCCCAGTTTCTAAACTGATGGTTATCTTTTGCGATGGCCTTCAATTCTGGTGCCAAGTTTTCCATTGCGATCGTTGCGGAATCTCAAGGCTAAAAGGAATAGAGTTTTTTTTTTGTCATCTATCAGATTTTTTTTTCTTTCAATGTTTTACTGGTTGCCATTTTTATCCTTCGGAGATTCTCAATCATCGACTGAACAGCATGAGGTCCGATGAATCCGTCACTTTTGGAACTGCGGTAAAGATCGAAGATGTATTAATTAAGGTACTCCTTCGAAACTTTTTCATCGATCGTGATCTGTTCATGCATTGCTTTTGTTTGGTAAAATGTCATTGATCACCCAGCCATCGGATAAATAATGACACGGGTTGGCGCCACTATGACAGTTGAGTGAGATCAAATGGCGCACAGTGGTGATCATTGCTCTACTTTTAATACCCTTTAATCTCACGCACAAAGCAAGCGTCGATCGACTCTTCGAGTTTTTTGGAGCAAGGTGGACATGAACTTTGCAATGAACTAAAGGTCTTATGTGGATTTCTTATCTTCAACTACGGTCTTTACATCTTTGATGATTGCCTGGAATACATCGATTCCGATAACATTATAGCGTTTTCGCATACCTTGCCGTCATGAGTGCTGTTGCAATGTGTACCTCCGTAATACACCCTAAGTTTGAACAAAAGCATAAAGCCGTAAGTAACAGACGGCATTTCTGATAATCATTGGCATATAACTAATATAAAGTTTAGTATAGAAGTAAGCCGTTTCCAGTGATTGCTGCCATAACCGTAAGCTGTTGCTTTAATTTTGACCGAAAAAGTGAGCTATACCACAGTTTAGTATCGTATCTACTAGATCAGAGAAATTTTAAGACACATGCTGTAATTCAAGCTGCCATTCTCCAAAAACCGATATTTTCTTTCTCAGTTTGCCGATTTGATTTGATTCGATATGATTGGAGTCGACTTTATCTGGTACGGTCTAGCATCTATAAGACATAGTTTGAACGAAGGCAGGGAGCTGATGACATTTCTCTCCCGCTGTAGCTGTTTTTTGGGCTATTAATGCTCTTGTGTTAAGACTTTTAAAATTGAGAAGCAGATAAATTCGTTCTGCTTGGTAGCATTACTAGTCGTCATAACGTATTGCACGAGAGTCTTTGAGTCAAACTACTGAAAATTTCAAAGTTACAGCGGTTGCCTTGCATACTGACAAGTGATCGGATAATTCGATTCTATCGATGATGCTAATCTTTAAACACTGGCCCTCTTGTCAACCGTCTATTCTGCAGCTGATGTACCTGCATGGTATTATTGAACAGCTCCGTCAGTAAGGCCACGGTACCCGCAATTTTTGTGAGTGAACACTTGAAGAATGCAAGCAGACGTGAATAATATAAGCTGAAACAGATCAAACAATAGGAATTTATATGTCTTACAGGGCCTTGGTTGTACTTCTTGTGTGTGGCATTTTTTTTTTCAAAAAAAATAACTTTAGTTCAGTCACGGCGAAGTTGTGAACCACAAATTACAGCACAAAGATGTTTACACCCCGCCACGCCTTTCCTTGCTAGTATGGATGCTTCTGCTGCTAAGCCGATTGCTATAGAAATTAGCAATCAATTGAGTGCTACAACAGCTATCAATAGAGCAGTAAGTAAAATATGATGAATCATTTTTTCGACTTCAGTCATGTAACATGTTGTCTACTCCAACTCTCTCAAAAAAGTTGTCCAATGCTGACAAGGCCATTACTGAAAACCAAGGTGAACTCTCAAAGGCACAAACTGCGTATATCAAAGTACGTTATCTTCATAAGAAAGAGTAGTGAATGTAGAATCAGATATGGAAGCAAGGCATTAGAGTCATGAAGTTACAGGGCCGCTGACTTACGCTTATATTATTTCTTTCAGACTCGCGAGGAGAACCAGGGAATTAATGCCATCCTGGACGATATTAAGCAACAGTCCTTAGAGCTAGAAAAAACATTTGAACAAATTGACCAACTGGAGGTACGTTATCCCGGTGTGTAAGAGGATCAGCTAATGAAAGTAGGATATTGACGAGCCTTTTAGATGTTTGTCAATCACGTCAAGGATACCTTCAATCAAGTGGCTGACTGCGTGGGATCGATGGAAAAGAGCGTTCTGGCCAACAGTGGCTTATCTGTAGGATCCATACCGATGTCTTTTAAATTTGTGAGCGTCTTTGGGACTGGAGCTAGTGGTTAGCTTGCATACTAACACGTTTTATTCTACAGCTGTCTGGTCGCCCAACCGTAGTGGAGGCTCATACATATTTTCCACCACCCAGAGAGGTAGACATAGTATCTACCTCAACATTTTTTCCATCTACAAAGGAATAAGGTGTGTTGGATGGCGTTCCTTGTCGCCGATACTGCTGTCAATGGAGGAGAGAAAAAAACTCTCGCACGAGTTTAGTTCAGTAGGACCCGCAATCGATTCATACAGCCGAATAATACCTCAAATGCCCTCTCGCCCAGCCTAACGGACTATACAAGCTTGTTTTCCAATTTTTTCAATTCATTTTGATTGGTCCTTCTACTGTTCTCCTCGTCGTACTAATTTACAATGACGGCAGCGAAGATGTATACAGTGCGGACGCCGATCGTACACTCAATACCCGACGATGGCTTCGACGTCGTAGATTTCCGCTGGCATCCATCGTTTAACCTCTATCATTTCTAAACCAACGTCCCATAATCGACTCTCTTTGGATATGCATATCAGTTAAGGACGCATAGCAGCTTTGGAATTGTATGGCAGGGCTTTTCCGTTGTAAGGAGTAATAGCATCAGCAAAGAGGTGATAGCGATTTCCGACTGGGACCGAAGGAACAGATGTAGTCAATATTCTCATTTACAATAAAGCTACGCACAAGGTGTCATGCGCCATGCATCTATGGTGGACTACGTTTACCTGATTGTGACAGTCAAAGTAAGCTCATCCATTTTACTTTGGCGATATTGTGAAGCAATATGCCCTAGCCATTACAGGAGAGAAGTTTGTCATGACTTTTTACCGACGCCATCCTCTATTCTTTTCACTTGTCAGTATACAAAGGAAAAAGTTAACAAAATATATTCCAGTCATTTCAATACTGTGAGCGAGATTTTACAAGAAGGGTCCGAACGCCCTAAAATGACTTAAAGGACTTCTAAATTATAACTGGATACCATCTAGGGATATTTTCTCAAATAACATCTTCAATTGCTAGAACAGCATCTGCCCTCCCAACGCTGTTCTGAAAGACAAGTAGGATTTTTTCACAATAACCACTCTGTCACTACGTCTTTACAACAACAACCGTCATTAATAAATGGTTAGCCTGACATCGCGTATAACATTCAGGTTTCAGCACGTTGGCAAAGCATCTTGGAGTAGGTTACCGTTTTGCTAGTCAAATAGTATGGCCGACTGTAAAATAACCTTCGGTGCTTTTCGAGTTTGTATCAGCACCAAAGGTTGCCTGGAACAAAGTAGGCGAATGCGTTGCGGCATGGGTGCGGGATTAGCGTAGCTCGCTCTTTAATCGGCAATCAGATAGCGAGCTTGGTAGTAATCCCTAATCCAACTCGGAGTATTCACAGGTTAATTCGAAGCTTCGTTCGTGTTGGTTCTTACTGCTTACGTGGCTACAAAAGCATTGTTGCGGCAAAAAGGGTCTGCATGGCAGACGAAAATACAAAGAATGATTGGAAGGTTAACATAAAAAGAACTGGTTAGGAGAATCGGTGTTTGAACCTATCTCAAAATATCAAAAATATATGACAATGTGCCATGACCTGGAATCGAACCAGGGTCTTCTCGGCCACAACGAGAGATAATGACCACTATACTATCATGGCAGCTGATAATTTGTGGTCCGCGGTAATTTTTATCTTTAGTTAAATACGTTAAACTGGAAGTTCTTCCCATCTATTCTTCGTTTGCTCTCTGTCCCTTTTTCTGTAAGGATTGCTATACGTTATTTATACTACATTTTACTAAACATCTAACCATCTGGTTCTCGTCTCATCATGCGTATCGCTTTGTGATGTTTTGTTCTATGATATATATATCGGTTGGAGATATGCGTCGGGTTATATGCGTAGGGTATATGGGTTGTTATTAAAACACATTAACGGAGTTTGAATTATACCACTTGATTGTCTGGTAAAGTATCGTGTTTCAATGTCTTGGGTGGTATCCTCCTGGGTATCTTTGTGCTGGGTACAAAGTGTCTTTTAGGTGTCCCTCCTAGTTTTGTTTCTTTAGGTGTAACGGTTGTGACGTCTACTTCTGTCGTCTGGCTGACGACAAATTGTTAGGCAGCTGAGAGACAATTCTCTCAGTTGACTCTCATGAACACCCAATAGACCTTAAACACCTTCCGTGACTATTTTCCGGAGAACAGCCATTAGGAATAGAGTTCCATTCAATAAAATACACACTTCTTTACCTTATTATCGTTTCAGATTCTTAATATAGCAGTTACCTTATTATCCCTTTGTGTCACTTTTATCTCGAATTCATTGAACTGTTCAGTCCGGTTCCCTGTCTATTACTCTCCCAAGCTACCTTTTTTTTATTTATCTCTTTTATTTGTTCAATCCCCTACCTAGCTCCCTGTCAATTTGGTGCAGGTATGTGGAATTTGCCTTTTTATATCTAAAAGACGTTTGCTAGGCCATATTTAATTACGACATTTGGGTTACCCTAAAAAATACTGCCACAGGCGAAACCTTGGCCCAGAAGTTAGCTACAGACAAGAAGATGCAAGGAAGTTCATTAGCCAAGTGCGTTACATCCATCGTCCAAAGCCCAGGAACGTTCGTTTTAACGCACCTGCCATTCCCTCCTCCAGCACGCCAATGGAGGTAAATGAGGTGAATGAGTCCAATGTTTGGGACGCCGACAGTGACTGGTCTGCCGACGAGTGGTCTGAGTCCAAGTCGTCACAGGAGAGTAACTCCACTGAACTCATCGACCACCAAGACGAAGAAGAAAGCGTAGATCAGGACCTTACTTCCTTGTTGGCACATTCTGCTGTGAAGTATGACGTCACCATAAATAGCATGACACATGAGGCCACCATGGATTCAGGGTGTGCCATCAATATCATCGGAAGTAATATCGCAAAAGAGTGGGAATCCCTGTCACCAAATCCCCCCCCCCAGTGGTATTGAGGGGATTGACCAGCAATATCACCACCATTGGTTTGATCAAAAAACTCCCAATTCGTATAGGCGGAACCCTCTACCCTGACTCTGTCCTTGTACAAAACGAAGACCCTTTATTAAGCAATGCGTGGATGGTGAAGCACAAAGCCTATCCAATCCCCTACTCGAAAAAGCTCATTGTCGAAAATGACGCTGAAGGCTTAAAGTCTACCCTGTGTAGGTAGTAGCAAAAATGCAGTCACTACGTTATCAGATGCATGCTGTGTATCTCTGTGAAATTTACTGGACCCCCAGATGTGGCCAAACTACAACTCGCCCAGACAGAAGTCAAGTTTGTGAGTCTTCCTTTCGATGATCCTGAATTGGACACACTGCAGCTCAACAAAGCAACTGAGAACACACCCTTGGTACTAGTGGAATTGCTACAAGACATGGATGCCGTATTCATGGAAACCAGCGGGTTGGGGAGAACTGCTAAAATAGAGCACTCCATTGATACCGGCGATCCGATCCTATACGGAACAAGCCGTACCGTTTGAGCCTACCAGAGGATAAGGCTCTGCAAGAAACACTGAAAAAGCATATGTACAAGAAGTTGATACGTCCTGGCAACCCCGATTGGACCTCTCCCATTTTCTTCCGGCCGAAAGGCGATGGAACATTCCGCCCAGTTCATAACTTTGTCAAGCTCAACAAGGCAACCCGGAAGGACCACTATCCGTTGCCTAAATCGACGAAATCCGGGATGAACTAAATGATTGTAAATATTTCTCAACCTTGGATGCAGCCAGTGGATTTTTTCAGATCCCGATGTATGAAAGGTCCATTGGAAAAGCAGGTTTCGCCTGTAAATACGGAACCTACGAATACCTAGTGATGCCCATGGGATTGAAAAATGCACCAGCGACCTTTCAGAGGTTGATGAACGATGTGCTGCGTAACTGTTTGGGTCGCCACGCTTTGGTTTACGTTGACGATATCATCGTTTTCTCCTAGACTCTTGTACACCTCCAGGAAGTTTTAGCCGCCCTTCTTGATGCAGGCATCACTTTGAAAAAGGCCAAGTGCAAGAATGGGGCCACTCACATTGACTTTCTCGGCCACCATGTCAGTGGAAATGGTTTGAAACCTCAGGTGAGCAAAGTTCAAAAACTGCGTGAAATGCGAGACCCACTGAATGCGTCTGAAGTAAAGTCATTTGTGGGATTCGCCGGATATTATCGAAGATACATTCCCAATGCTCTCGGATTGCCGAACCACTGGTTGCATTGACCCGAAAGAATGTGCAGTGGACCTTTGGAGAAGCCGAACAGGCAGCCTGTCGTCAACTAAGACGTATTCTCTCGAGCGCCCCCTTGTTAGCGCATTTCAACCCAGAGGAAACGCAAATCCTCACAACAGATGCCTCGATGACTGGACTAGGGGCGATCCTATCTCAAAGCCCAGATGGCACCGGTGAGAACGAACGAGTGATACCTTATGCCAGCAAGTCGATCATCGGCCCAGCCAAGAATTACTCCGCCACGAAGCTAGAGCGATGGCCGTAGTATGGGCATGCGAGCTATTTCGACACTGTCTGGTGGACGTCCTTTTAAATAGTATACAGACCATGCTGCCCTGCCGTACATCTTCAACGACCCCAAACCAAAGGGTCAACTCGCTCGATGGGTCGAAAGGCTTTCAATCTTCGACTTTGAAGCCAGTTACAGAAGAGGCCAAGACAATGCCGCGGACGCATTGTCTCGCCTCTTATAAAAAATACAACACTAGACAGCCGTCCCCCTACCGTCAGTTTAAAGGGGGAGGAGCGCGCTCATAAAAGTTCGCAAAGAAAAAAATCAAAGAAAAGCAATAACAGCAAAATACGAAAAACATCGAAAAATCAAGTAACACAAAAAAAAATAAAAAATATGCAACCTTTAGAATCAGTACATCATCAGATCAGTAACTAAATCAAATCAAATCAAATCAATACCAACATTCACACACAAAAACATAAAAACAAAAATGGATTTTACTTGGTACTTAGTCCTCCACGACTACCTAAAGCACCACAATTACCCGCACGCGTCCACTAAAGAAATCCGACAGCGTATACGAAACAGCAGCCGACGCTACTATGCTGCAGGACAACGATTGTACTTGAAATCCGATTCCCCAACCTCTATAGAAGTGTTACACTCGGCCAACCTCCGAGACACTGTCATCAAGATACACGAAGAAGGCCACTTTGGAACTAAGAACACATACCTCAGAACCAAACTACAGTTCTACGCCGAACACTTATACGAAACATATCAAGAAATCGTTAATTCATGCGACGTATGCCAAAAACGTGCAAGACCTGCCTTCAGAAGGACCGTGCCCGCACAGCTGACAAGGCAGCCCAAACAACCTTTTGAAAACATAGGAGTAGACGCAGTGGGACCACTCCCTGTCACCAAAGCCGGAAACCGCTACCTCTTAGTAGCAATTGACCTTCTAACCCGTTGGCCAATTGCCGCCGCGGTCCCGGACATAACGGCCGAGTCCACGGTAACTTTCCCCATGGACCACGTAGTTTGCCACCATGGAGTGCCCAATAGAATCATCAGTGACCGGGGAAGCAACTTCACGGCCAGGCATACAAAATCTTTCTTCGAAAAGCTGCATACCAGATGGAAACATAGCACCGCGGCTCGACTACAAACCAACGGCATGGTAGAGAGGATGAACCAAACACTGACTCAGACCATTGCCAAGTTGTCCTTAGCCACCGAAGATGCTTCCGGAATGGCCATAGAATGGGACATGGTGGTCAAGAAAGCGCTGATGGCCATCCGCACCATGCCCAACAAAACCACTGGCTACACAGCAGCCAAACTGTTATACGGAAGAGAGCTCCGCACACCCTCTGCTTGGGTACCAGATGAAAGCGAATGGATCGAAGGAGACGCCCCAGGAGAAGCAGAAACTCGCATGCACGTCATCCGTAACCACCTCAAGGAGTCGAGAGAGGAAGCTATAACTCGAAGTGAGGAGGAAGCTCGACGACGCAAGATACGTTATGACAAAACAATCTACATGCGATCCTATGAAGCCGGTTCCAAAGTTTTGTTGTTAGTGTCGGAAAAAGCGCACAAGTTCGCGGCTTTATGGGAAGGACCTTACACCATAGAGCGTGCTTTCCCCCAACGGAAACTTCCTCTTATATGGTTATGACCATAATCCGGTACATGGAGAAAGACTCAGGGAATACATCGATCGAGACAATTTGATTCCAGAAGTCGGCTCACAACGACACGCTCAGAACATTGTTTATCAGAGATGGAGAGAACCCAACCGCGACATTTAAGTCTCCAGCACACCCCATTACACCGACCCCATCTTTCTCCATTCGGGTTTTTTCTTTCTTTCCCTTATATATTTCTTTTCGGTACCTTTCTTTCTCTTCTATTGGATTCTTTTATATATTATCCCTTTATGTCACTTTTATCTCGAATTCATTGAACTGTTTCAGTCCGGTTCATTGTCTATTGCTCTCCCAAGCTACCTTTGTTTTATTTCCTCTCTTTTATTTGTTCAATCCGCTACCTAGCTCCCTGTCAAAATTGTCGGATCTCAGCTTCTGTAGAGTCCGAACTGTATTCTTGCAATAATCTTCTGAGTCTATTCTTCGCCTCTAGTATATGCTACTAGTGATTATTTTGCAATCCAGGTTACTCCTTGAGAAATAGACTGTAAAACTTGTGTTTTTCAATATTGATCTTTATTGCTATCAATTGCTCTACTACTTATACTTGTTTGTTATCGATGTACATGACTAATGGTCTGTACAAGTTAAGTTAGGGAGTTATCTAGTAAGTGTGCGATTTGACTTAGATACGTTTAGTTGGTCTTGGCTTGGTTTAGCGTTGCTGAGAGATGAACTTATCCTCGGTGTAGTTTATCGACTAGGTCTGCTCGTAGGTGGAATGGTACATACGGGGATAAAGTGCCGTCCCGATGTTTTCTGAATAGTTCATTTTCTTCGTCTGCAATAAAGTGTTGTGCTTCACTGGTCACTTTGTTTCGTAGTTCTTCTGGGCAATCGGTGGGTATTTGTCCGGTACGCAGGTATTGGTATACATATAGTGGCCAGTCAGAGTAGTCTGTTCCGAATATCGGTGCAACATAAGCACTATCGTGGTCCGGTCGTCTTGATAGGGCATTGGGTACGATGTTATTCCTGCCCTCCTTGTAGTGGAACGTTATATCGTAGTGTTGGATTTCTTCAGCCCATCTCTGTAGTCTATTAGCTACACGTTTTTGTTCTGGAATGTATGTAAGTGGCTTGTGGTCTGTGTATAGGTCAATATGTAGACCTATGTTCTCGTATCAGTTTATTCTTTACCCCTAGTGCTCTACTAGTGATTACTTCGCAATCTAGGTTCCTTGTCAATAAACTATACTTCTTCAGTAAATGCTTTGGTACTTGAATACTGATCTTTATTACTATCATTTGCTCTACCATTTATACTTGTTCATTATCGATATACATGACTAATGATTCGTACAGGTCAAGTTAGTGAGTGGCTTCGTATTCTACGATCTGACTTAGATATCCATTAGTTGGCCATGGCATTGTTTAGCGTGAATACGGCTTGTTCCAGGAACATGTCCCATTTTGAAGTGGAGCCGGCAACCAATTTCGTGACTATAGATCCTAGAGTACCGTTGTACCTTTCTGTCTTGCCGTTAGTTCTGGGATGATATGCGGACGATTTCAAGTGTTTGACTTTTTGTAATTGTAGGTACTCCGCCAACGTGCCTGCTAGGAAGTTGGTTCCTCTATCGGTGACGATTTCGTCTGGACATCCGAATTTCATCACAATTTCTTCGTAGATGAAGTTAGCGACTGCTTGTTCCGTCGCTTTGGGTACTGCTTTTGCGATTCCCCAATCGGTAGCGTGGTCGATGGCCGTGACTATCCAGCGGTTTCCATTTCGTGTGGTTGGTAGTCGTCCAATAAAATCCAGTCCCCATCTAGAAAAGGGTCGTTGGGCAACTGGCAATGGGTGAAGTACTTCCAGTTCTTGATTGGTGCTAGGTCGTAGACCTTCCACGTAACAATGCCATTGTTGTAATGCGGTGACAATGGCTAGGAATTCTCGTTCATTTGCGGCATAGTTTCTGGCGGCTGCTTTCAACTTTTGACTGAAATATGCTACTGGGCGCATTACCTTGGGATCTTCCTCACTTGGCTGTTGAAGTACGGCCCCTATAGCGAAATCTGAGGCGTCCGTTTCGATCACAATCGGTTTGGTAGCGTCATACATTTTCAGCACTGGTGCCGACACGAGCTTGGTCTTGAGTTCCTGGAATGCTTCTTCGCATTGTGGTGACCAGTCCAACTTATCCGACTTCTTCGGTTTTCCTTCTGTCAGGCGGTGTAGAGGTGTAGCGATTTGGGCGAAGTCGCGAATGAACCGTCGGTAATATGAAGCCATTCCAGTGAATTGACGTACTTCTGTCACTGTTGTCGGTCGCGGCCACTCATGGATCGACCTTGTCTTTTTGGGGTCAACTTTTAAACCGTCTGCCGAAATACGATGACCAACATATTCGATCTCGGCAAGGCCGAATTCTGATTACTTGGGGTTAGCATACAATTGGTGGGTTCGTAAAGTTTCTAGTACTTGAGAGACGTGTTCCTGATGTTCTTCCATGCTTTCGCTGTAGATTAGGATATCATCCAGATATACCACGACGAAATGGTCGAGGTATTCCTTCAACACTTGGTTCATCATCTTTTGGAAGGCGGACGGGGCGTTACAGAGTCCAAAAGGCATTACCAAGAACTCGTATTGGCCGTATCTGGTGTTGAATGCGGTCTTTGGTACATCGTCAGGTTCGACCCGCATCTGCCAGTATCCGCTCTTAAGATCGATTTTTGAGAACACACGGGCTTTACCTAGTCTGTCGAAAGACTCGTCAATGCGTGGTAGCGGATACTTGTTACGGACGGTGAGTTTCTTTAATGCGCGGAAATCCACACATAACCTTAGACTGCCATCTTTCTTTCGTACGAATATGACAGGTGAACTCCATGGTGATTCCAAAGGTTGAATCATGCCTTTGTCTAAAAGATCTTCCAACCCGCATTTTGATTTTGCGATCCTCGACGATATATAATATCAAAATCGTAATCTACAAGTTTGATAAGTCCACGGACAATACGAAATGGAGCATCTTCCTTCAGTTTAAACAATACCGCAAGGCATGGTGATCCGTATATACAGTGAACCTGCTTCCCAAAAGATAGTTCCGAAAGAAATTGATGAAGTAAACCACAGCCAAGAACTCGCACTCATAGGTTGACCACTTGCGTTCTGCATCAGTAAGAGTTCGGCGATAACTCAGTTCAACATTAGTCAACGGTATATAAATCCTGAGCTCCTAATGAAAGGGAAACAGCCTGTGAAACAACGGAAGAAATGATCACCTGCTGCCGTGGTTCAAGTACCTCTTAATAATTTGGATATCTGGGAATTCTTGAGTAAGGCTCCAGCCCCTTTGTCATATGGACATTGGATCGTAATGGACCCAACAGCCGCGAAGCTAGTCCAAGGCGAAACTTGTTTTTAAGAAGCAACATTGGAAAGAACTGACACGGGATGTTCAAGGTCATGTAAATTTCGTAGATGACGTACAAGTCAACCAAGAGGAAGACCCCCTCAAGTGCCTTTGAAAATTCCGACGACTATTTGTTCGGCTACCGAAGACGATGACGAATCTCTGGTCCAACATGATTATGACTTAGGTACTCTAAAGGACAGTTCACCCTTCGTTATCCCTATTGACATCGGTGGCCACCCGCTCAACGCCGTTCTTGACACTGGTGCTTCCGTCTCCGTCATCAGTACCGCACTTGCTGCAAAGCTAGGGTTACAAGCGATATGCGACAGTCTGTCCTTAAATGGGTTGCTTCCAGTAAAGCAAAAAGCCGGCCGAGTGTGTCCTAACGTAAATATCTCTGTCGCTGGACATCGCCGCCCAGAGCACTTCGTCCTACAGAAGCGTGATAGCGACCTCTTCTATTGGGAATGACGTTTATCAAGGCTTACGATATACAATTTATACCCGAATCAAACCAAGTCTTGTTGCCCACTAGGAATGGACTGATTGCTGTACCTGCGATCGACGATACTCATGTTAATCATGCCAACGATGTGTTTATGGTCTCGGCGTCATTGATGCCCACTAGTACCTCACCTTCCTTCGAGGAGAAAGTATTTGAACTGGTAGTTACTGACGATGTTGCCGACATCATAGAAGAGCACAAGGACGTGTTCTTCGAGCACTCTGGTCCGGGTAGAGTCGACATTGCGGAGCACGAGATAACGACCAGCACAGAAAAGCCGATTCGCAGTGTCCCCTACAGGTTAGGGTGGCACGAAGAAAACGCGCTCAAGGACGAGTTGGAGAAGATGCTCAGCCTAGGGATAATCAGATCGTCGAAAGGGAAGTGGACCTCGCCGACACTTTTTGTCAAGAAAAAGTATGTTTCCCTGAGACCCGTGATAGATTTCCGTAAGCTGAATAGTGTCACCGTCAAGGACGCTTACACGTTGCCCATCATTGACGAGCTCCTGGACTCTGTGGGAGGAGCGAAATACTTTTCGACACTTGACGCTGCCAATGGGTTTTAGCAAATCCCTATGGAAGAGTCTTCGGTCGAGAAGACGGGATTTGTAACGAAGTTTGAGACCTATGAGTTCCTAATGATGCCATTTGGTCTGACCTCGGCACCGGCAACCTTCCAGCGGATGATGAACTCCGTTTTGGCTGGCCTTATGGGACGTTGTGTGTTTGTCTTTGTCGACGACATTTTGATTTTCTCTCCCAACGTTCCCTTTCTTTGGGAGAAACCGCAGCAGCTCGCGTTCTCCTCTCTCAAGATGTCGTTGACTTCCCCACCGGTCTTAACATATGTCGATTTTGATCAAGTGCAGATCTTGACCACCGATGCTTCGTATTCTGGTGTTGGAGCGATTTTGTCGCAGTCTCCGGACGGAACCAAGAAGGGTGAGATAGTTGTAGCTTATGCTTCGCGTGGTCTGCATGGAGCTGAGATCAATCGCAGTAAAAAAAGACAGAAAAACGAGAATAAAAGGAAGAACCTCCCAGTTTAACGTACCTAACTAAGGAACAAGATTACCGCGGACCACACTCTACGCAGTAACGCATTTAGAGGCTTTGGCCGTCGTCTGGGCTTTCCGACATTTCCGCCACCATTCATCCGGACGAAAATGTAGCATTTAGAAGAACCACGCAGCCTTACCGTTCGTTTTCAACCAAGATGACAAGCAAAACTGGGATAAGAAAGTACACTGTGTACGTCAACCGGAATCCTCATCAAGCAGAACGCCAGCCTCCGGTGCGAACAGCATACCTGTGAATAATCGTCCACCTAGAGAAAACCGTACGTTTGTTCGTACCTAAGATTTTGGCACCAAGAGCGAAAAGAGCGCCTCCAAGAAAACTGGCCGTCGAACCAGTAGAAACCCCAATCTGGCAAGCCCTTTTGTCTACACAAGCTCCTATATCCTATGGACAGTGGATGAAAGTGGATGAGAAAGCTAGGACTGATATGCAAGATGGACTTGAATGCAACTCTCCAGGGTGGAAACTCTTTGCGCTTCTCTGCGGTTGTTGAAAACCGGCCTGTCCGGTACTTGACTTTCGGGTTTAACAGATTAAATTGGAATTAAAGATTCTCTTGTTTATTACTTGGGGGTTCTTCGCTATCAATTTCAATATGCTCTTCAAAAAAAATATGTCTTGATACAGTCTTATAAAGTTCACTACTAATTGTCTTGCTGTGCGATACCGTTGATCTTTTTCCTCTTGTGAGGGTTTGCGCTTTCTTCAAAGGGTGCTTCTACGTACTGCCTTTGCAATCGATATTCTTCTTTTAGCTCCTCTGGTAGGAGCTTTTGCACTATTCCCTCGATTTCGATAACTTCTTGTTCTTTTAGCGAGGGTTCGCACTAGGGTCTGGTATATGCGTTCGCACAACCTGTTCAACTAGGGTTGATAAGCGGTCGTTGTGATGTGCTTGCACTGAATCGTCGCTAGAAAGTCCTTGACATACCCAGAAGTGAAGTTCGATCCGCCATCCGTCAGCAAGTATTGCGACATTCCGTCCCCTACAAACTGGCTCGTTGAATAAGAGATTGATAGTCGTACGACAGTCGATAGACGGCGCAGGTGGAGTCAGTGGCCGTTTGGTCAGGTAATCGACTGCAACCAAACTTCCAAATGAATAGGAAAGAAGTTTGCCTCCGTAAGCTTTACGCTTTTGACGCATAAGTGATCACTTTTCTGTTTCTGGGCTACCATCCGGCGCTTCGTCCTCTTAAACGGCATCTGAAATTGGTATGGAATGTAAACTGGTATCTGGCGTGTACGGCTCGTGTGATGGTAGGCCGTTGTCGGCTACCCAACGTGCTCTGGAGGTGGCAGGCCATTAAAACATTGTGTCGATTGAGTAAGGATGAATTTTTCGCAACTTTCGACTGGTACCTTGGAGTCGTAAGTTTTTCCAGGAGATGTTCGCGCTTGTATACATAGGGTTTCGTCGTTTTTGTCGATTACGACATGAGGACGCATACAATTAGCTTCCAGATCAAGATTGATTCCTTTCTTATGCACACGCGACCTACATATACCGTGTTTGTCGACGAGAGATTCACCAGTGATCCAAGGTTGCTTACCGAGAGGAATTCTGAGGAGTTCGCGGAGGTTGGACCTGTATTGGTTTTGGCATGGGGATCGATAACCACGTGTGTATATGCAAGGAAATCAAAGAAATCCAACTGGGATTTGTCCTTGGATGGTGGTTGCCAAAAATCACTTTAGTCTTTTGTTCTAGAAGCTCAAACATGATTTAGGAGAGCCGTATGCTCTTTGTGCTCTTGTAGACCTTCTGCAGATGACAGACTCGTATTCCGTCGATACACTGTTTTACAGGCTTGCTACAACGAGAGCCCAGTCGAACCAGCCGTACTCATCGGACACCCCGTTATAGCCCAACTCTATTCCAAATAATCATTCGGAGGGCACCATTAGACTGGCACAGGAGTATTGTCGCAGACAAAAGTCTGAAGAACCAGTTCCTGCAAATGTAATCACAGACCAGGAAGAAATATATAGAGAAAACCAATCTTCGGGTGGGATGACGATAGCTTGGTACACAATATATCTTACTGAGATATAGATGCTTGCCAGTGTCGTACGATGAATACCCAGCGAGGCAGGGGGATGCAGAGGTATTAGGATGAGGAAAAAAATGGGAATCTTAAGGTGGCAAAATGCAAGGTTCTAGAGGTTAGGGATATGCAATGGGCCTTGAGATGGAGAACTAATTAAAGGTTGGACTGAGCCAAAAATTGAATTAAGGCTTAATGGACAAGACATTACATTTATTATGGAAGAGTGGTGTCGTTAGAAATTTTCTTCTAGTATGCACAATGGTGGATCGTTTTTGGGGCAGCGCCGACACCCCCAGGCAGCCAATGGACCTTCCAATGGCTTACGTAGAACCAGGCAACTTCATTAGCCACCGTTCCACTGGCAATTTTCCTTGCCACCGAATTTTTTTCCTGGTTATATAAAATGCAAGTGACATGGCACATCGTGGTTTCGCCAAATGTGGGGCAAAATGAATTTTGAGAATGTGACATTGGTCAAGCATTCTCTGGAAGAAGAATTGAATTGACCACAATCCACCGGCTGCGGCAAAGGTCAGATCGTTATTGAAGAAAGAAGGAGGAGATTGGCATATCCAACAAGTATTCATAGAAAAGAGTTCGGGTTCGGCTCTTTGATTCCCAACTCTACTACCCCTGCGACAATGAGTTGTCTGTTCTGTTAGCAACAATCATATAGTCTTATGTTCAAGCTAAAAAAACTTAAGTCAAGCAACATAAATTTTCTTGCCATATTGCAGTAGGTAATTCAGTCCGAATTACTCACTTTCTTGAACCCACCTGTTTACTCAATTGACTGCGCATGATTCTTACACTTTGCATCACAGAACAGAGCTACAATATTCAGTTCAAAAAAAATTGCAATGCAAAAATTTACCGTACATGATTTCCAGAATTAATTGTCACTTTTAGAATTGACAAACAATGCCTTTTGTGTCAAGCTGAAAATGTCAGGAAAAAGTCATTAAAATATATGAATTCTGACATATCTTAAAGCATAATCCAAATTTTTACAATGAAACTAATTTAATAAAGCTCTATTGTGGCGAAGGGATATAAGTAGGCCAGTAGGCAGAGGTCGTATGCCAGTGTCTGAATAGAATTAGCAATAGAATTAGTACATCAATATTTATAGTACCTGATTAGCATAGTGGTCTCCTTCGCATAATAAGGAGCTATGGCCCAATGGACAAGGCGCTTGACTACGAATCAAGAGATTCCAGGTTCGACCCCTGGTAGCTTCATATTTTTGAAGGTTTCAAATTTTTTATACCGAAGTTTTTGCCGTTACGGCCGCCTTATTGCAAAAGCTCTCGTATTACTTTGCCAACATGACCGGCACATCTTCATTCTCATTCACATTGTAAACATCTCTCAGTGGTTGTTTTGGTTATAAAAATATACATTATATTAAAGCATGAAAGGAGTTATTTTATACAGGATGCCTTTGGACGGGATAGTAAATTATTATTTACACTGAGGGGTGTGTGTTGAAATATAAATTTTACGGTATTCGCAATCATTCTCTGATCCATTCAGATTTACCACCAGCGGCGTCGGTATCCAGCAGCCTCCTTGTCATAAGCATTAACACGGCCAGATCCGCAGCAGCAAGCCAAGAGCCACCAACCAGATGCAAGAAGAAGAGCAGCAGTGGCGCCAACAGTCATCCATGTAGCGGGACCAAGATGACCGGAAGCTCCACTAATGGCAGAACTAACCTGATGAATACCTTGAAGGTCAATGACGAGACTCATGATAAGGGTAACGAGCATAACAACGAAGGCAAGGAAGGTGCTGAAGGAAGCACAAAGATCGGAACCACGGCTAAAACCGTTAAGGAAGGTGATGGCCAAAGCAAGGAAAGTAAGAGCAGTAGCGATAAAGTACATGACGAAGACAGCCATAAAGAGCTTGTCATGACCAGCGAGACCGTCGATGTTGTTAAGACCCGAGGCTTGACCTAGAAAAAGTGAACGGGGTAGATTAGTATGTGCATCAAAAGGAATGATGTCTACGTCAAGGTAGTAGCCGTTACGTCAAGTAGAGAGGCTCCTACGTCAAGTGCATTTTGAATTAGACTTACTCCATGGGAAAGCAGCTACTGGCTTGCTGCACTCTGTGATTGTTCCACTACCATCTCCCACACAGTAGTTCCATAATCCGAAATCATAAGTTGCACCCGAAGTACTTATTCTTGCAAAGTAAAGGTCCCTCAAGAAAGGCTTGTTGTATGTGTTGCCAATGAGGGAGAAGATCTCAAGGACCAGTGCAGCGAATGTGAGAAAGATAGCTGGAAAAGCAACCATATCAAAAAATAAAGAAGAGTAGATGTTTTCTTCAAGGATCAAAGGAAGACCTCCTTTTATAAGTTAATCGGTCGTCACCCAGAAATAGCCATACGGTGACTTCACGCATTGCATCAAAACAAATTCCTTTTTTGTTCCGCCAGCCTCTTTCACCCGCCTCTGCCAAGAGTGCCCTGATGTTTGTTCCTGATCTTTCTTTATTGTTAAAAGATCTTTCCAGGCAGCTAGCATACTTATATGTCTCAGAAGTATACATGTTATCACAATGCATCTTGATGGGTTGACTATAGCGTACTCATTGCCTAGCGTAGTTGGCGTCAGAAAGTGTCAATTTGTTCCATCATCCTCCTATAGGTTATCTGCTCATGATATCATCCGACTGAGTTTGCTTTTTTTTTAGAGCCTCTCACGTGCAACAGTATTTTTGGCTGGCGGAAGAATTTTCACTCTGGACGCTTCTTTTTTGCCAAGCCAAGCCAGATAATGCCGGACACTGGCTATTTGCCGCCAAATTGGCTGTTTATGCCAAGAGGGAATGAATTTTAATGGATGAATCCTCGTTGCGAAGAGTTTGAACTGCCTCGTGAGCTTCTTTGGTGGCAATATGGCCGGCTGGTCTCTAAAAGGGCTGTCATCTATGACGCTATCCCAGGTTTTGATTCCCCGAAAAGGCACTCCACAAAAAAATGAGAAAGGGGAAACTTTCTGACATAAACGTTTAACAGGCAAGGAATGACTTCCTAGGGTGCAATATTAAATCAGCTTTTTAATAACTATTGATTTTAAGGAATTAAAGCTTTTTTAGTACAGTAGGTGTCAGGTTACGAGAATCGATATGATTTTCAGGTTATGAGAATTGGCATAGCTCTCTACACAATAAGGATTAAATTGCACAATTTGAATGAAGACCTCGTCCTTCATGTTGCAGAAATCAAGCGGCAAGGTTTGCGTACAACTTGCTGAAAACACCGGGCTTTACGCTGCATTTAGTCTCCAAAAAGGTGGCCACTGAACCATAGGTTTCCTCGAGATGAACAAACATATTTTCGATAGCCTGGCGAAGAGGATAGTTAGCGAATGATGTACGTTGAGCATACATCGCTCTGCACCACTTTCACCGGCACACCCATGCTTTCACCGCTCAGTTGGACAGGACATTGCCACTCACTTCTGGTCTTGTCTTCGCAAACTCATCATCAAGTCCCAAGTCGTTCATTTCATCCTTGACGTCTTCATACTCAATAACGAGGCCTTGACGAGACTTGCTATAATCATCCACGATTACCTGACGATCCACGCCACAGGCAGATAAAACCATGGCGATGATAACTCCGGTTCTGTCCTTTCCTTGTTCGCAGTGAATCAGGGCAGGCAATCTTTCTGGATCACTCAGTATGTCCAATACCTACAACCAACGGAATTGGTCAGCCAATGTAGTAGCTTATTACATGTTGTTTCTCTCCAGATAACCAAAACTCACGTCTTGGATTCCTTTGGCAGATGTTTCCGCATAGTCGATGTACATGCCGCTCAAGCCTTTGTGATTCAATACCTGAGAAAATCTCTGCGTAATCTTTTTCAAGTGACCATGTACAGCGTCTTTGGCTGCTTTCCTATGGATCGACAAAGTTGTTACAACAATGACGAACGAGCTATCAAGAGCAACCGGCGCTTACACTTTGGTTTCATTGGATGCAGGTCTAAACACGCCATCTCGCTTGAAGCGGCCACCCCCCACTTGGATTTCAACCAGAGATGTACTTTTGGGTATTTCAGGTGGGTTTGATTCCTTGATCGTACGGACTGGCCGTCAAATATAAATGCTACATGCCTAAATATGAATCAGATGGCGAAACTACTGCAGAGTCATAGCACTGTCTTGACTTACCAAAATACCATGGGTAACCTTATTCGAAGTAGTACTTACAATTTAAACTGCAAAATAAAAGGGTAAAGTCATAAAATGGTGAGCATGAAAATATTTGGAAAAAAAAAATTGAAGGCGTCAACGTACTCTGAAGAAAGTTTGATGACGGTTTGGATCCTATGACGTTCCAAAAACTTACAAAGCTCTGTTGGCTCGCGATCGTCTATGATATAGGGTTAAGATTGCGTACCGTAACGCAGTTGATAAATTGAATTTTTACATACTCAGTTCTCCTGATCGATAAAGCTTTTTCTCTTGAATACTATCGGCAATAGGTTAGAGCCTGCATGGCATCGGTGGACCATGGCCGGTCAGGAGCTCAACCTACCGTTGACCATCTTTTTTCAGCTGTCGGTAGCTTTGATCGACACTCCAACCGACGTCACGATAGTTTACAGCAACTTCTTCATCTGTGGCAGTATGTTGTTCACTGGTATTTTCCATAAGAGCTTTTTTCCAATATTTGTAGAGCAGAAAATGTATTTCAACAATTTTGGGCATTTTTTCGACCGGCCTTTTTAAATTAGGTCGTATCATGTGAGGTGACGCACGGTTGGTTTCCATACCAAGCGCTAGCTAAAAAAAAAAAAAAAAAATGGCCTACCCAAGCAACTTCATTCAAATACAGTATGCTAAGGAAACCGACTCCCGGGCGCAGGGTCACAACTCGTTCAAGATCAAGCAGTAAAAGTAGAGGTATGTTGACGGGCTCTTAGTCGTTTCAATCGTTTTTTTACTAATTGGTTCTCAGTCTCTGTAGCCAATGAAGAATCGAAAGACGCTTTTCCTGATGCAGGGCTAAGTAGAGATCTTTCGGCGACTGACGATCCATCGCTCACTGAGAATGCTACAGTCTCAACGCATACGGAGGTTAGTCCAGATCGAGAGCACACGCACAGCTATACTGCGAATTCCACTGTCAGCGACAAGTTGACGTCGCACGAAGAAAGAATGAAAGTGCTTGAAGCATTGGATTTGAATCAGTCAATGCAACAAGAGATTATGAAACAAATTTCCTGGATAGAGGACAATATTACCTTCAACTTGCAGTATATGGTAAGCGTGATGATCAAGCGACCGTTAAATGAGGAATTGGCTTCTCATATCTTTTTGTTAGTATGAAGTACGCGCCATGCGATGGAAGGAGCAGCGAATCAAACGATCCAAATCGAACCCTTACTATCCTGTATACAAATTACCACATTTCTTTATTGACGATGATGGAGAGGTAATTTGCGAAGTTATGCATCTTTATGGAAGGTTTTGGATCCTGACCAATGCAACTTTCTAGTCACCACCAACGCCTAATACTCCGTATGAATCATCCTCATGGCAAGCATATCGGTATAGGCCATGTAAGTGCTTTGAACGAGAGGAGAATGGTTTGTACGTGAGAGTTGACAGAGTTATTGTGTGTAGGGACACACACTGAAAGGCAGAAGCTAGTGGAAGCTATACGAATGGAAGCCAAAAGATTGATGGCATTGGATTATCACGCAAGGTGGGTTTGGGCAGTTGCCTGAATGTTGCAACAAAACTACCTTTTGTCGTTTGCTAACACTGAGTTGTTATAGCGGTCATCATCATTTAATATGGGACGTGGAGAAAGTGAGTGACGAGAGGTTGGAAGTCTATTCTGTCGATAGAATAGACTGGAAGAGAGTCAGCAAGATATATGTGAGTGTTTGTAAAATGCTCAGTTTTGATGTGAACCTGTGCTAAACCAAATTCAACTAGGTACCTCATCGAACACCTACGGAATGTATGATTCAATGGACCACTCAAGAACATCCAAAAATCAACAAGACGCCATGGTCAGTGTCGGAGAACAGGAAACTTATTGAACTCGTACTGAAAAACGGTCTATATGGAAATTGGGAGAAAATTGCTGTGGAGCTAGGCACCAACAGAACAGTATCTCAGTGTTTTTCGCATTATCAATCTCAGGCTTCTCGACAAAAGGCAAAGAGGCGATGGACAAAGACTGAGGATCGCTTGTTAAAAGTAGTGATAAAGTCCCTTGGTCCTAGGAACTGGCAGCAAATTGCTCACATAGTCGGTGATCGAACTGGTAGCCAATGCTTACAGCGCTGGACAAAAGCGCTAGATCCTGCGATCAGAAGATCTCGATGGGTGCAGGAAGAGGATCATGTTCTGAAAAATGCTGTACAAGTATATGGACTTGGAAATTGGAGATTGGTTCAAAAACATATCCCTGGACGCACCGATATGCAATGCAGGGAGAGATGGGTCAACGTTCTAGATCCTGATTTAAATCACTCCAAGTTTGAATCTGAGGTAATTGTGATGTTTAAAGATGGCAGCTTGCGCGTTGCAGCTCGGTTTTTCGCATTCATACTGACCTCTGCTATAGGAAATGGAGAAGCTGCACAATATGGTCAATGAGCAAGGGCCAAAATGGTCTATGCTGGCTCAACACTTTCCGGGGAGGACGGATAACCAATTACTTCGAGCGTGGAAGAATCACGTTTTGGAGATAGAAAAGGGACTCTGTCTTCTCGAGCCATCTTATGAAAGCACCTCACTTCATGAAAGTGAGCAATATAACCGCAGTGAACCTGTATCTCCTTCTCAATCTGTACCTGCTGATGAAGAGCCGCACGCACCGATTACATCGAAGAAACCTAGTCGAAAGCCAACGCTGGCGAAATCCAAGAGAGGTGGGGTTGTCAAGCGTAGTCGAAAAAATTAGTGTACATACAATCGACCATTGGCGCTTTTTAAATACTGCATACACTGGATTAACTATACCCAAACTGAATTATGACTTTAAAAGATGTATGTCCTTCATAAAGCGTGCTTTATCAACCTGACGTATAGTGTGCTTAGAAAATTAGTTTGTTGACGTGCCAACAACGGGCCATTGCCCATGTCTTAAAGGCCAGAAATTTTAGCCTCAGGTTCGTACGATAAAAAATATATAGCCATTCCGTAAAAAGAACAAATATGGAGGCAAGTGCTTTGTTGGCAAGGTATAAAAGGTCTCGAGGGTCTAAAAGATACCAGATGCAGCTCTTTCCCTTGATTCCTGCTCTGGAACTTTTATCACATCAGTGCCATTGGATGTCATTTCTGGTCAAACCTTCGTTGTAGCACTCAAAAAATTAAGCTGGGATTTGGGAAGTTAGATCAGAATATCTCTTTATTCTCAATATTATATTGAAAAGATATCATAAAAATTGTGAGACAAGAGAGCTGCCCTGATTTTTTTAGATAGCGTTGCCACACGCGATTGTTAGCAAACACTCTCTACACCAAAATCAACTCAAGGCAGGTGCTATCGCAAACCTCCAGCAACTGGAAGTAACAGATAGAAAGACCATCCCAATGACGCACCACTACGGAGGCCGGCTCAAGAGTGGTGGCCACCTACAACGACGAAACTTCAAAGTTTTACCAATCCGCAAGTTTGATGTTATCGTCGAGCAAGACTGGCTAATAAGACAAGAAACGATCAGCGAAGTACCAGAAGATTGAGTCGAGTTCAAAGAAGAGCTGCGGAAGGCCTTCAAACCGGTCCAAAACCTCCGCATGGCTCGCGATAGACTGGCTGTCCACCACCAAATCGGATCAGTAGAGGACTACGTCGACAAGTTCCAGGACCTCATCTTGGAAGAACCAAATATGGCCTCAAATAAAGCAATGGAAAAGTTTGAAAGAGGTGTCAGGAAGAGGTAGGAAACTATGTTCGGGAACGGGTGCAAGGAAGACATCGCATGAGAAGAAACAATGGGCGAAACCCTAACCCCACTTTTTTTGTTTTCAGCTGCGAAGGACCAGGGGAAGGCATCGATTGCCCGTCGCGTATAGGATGACACATTCGATTTTCGCAAGCACCGAAGAACGCGAAAAAACGTCCCCTCGGAAAAACATCCCAGGCCACACCTGAATGTCATGACAGAATCCGAAGACTCTCTACAAACAACAAGTGTCAGAGGTAGTAATCAAGACGTGGACATAGACCAGCATGGGTGCTTACCGCAATTCTGGACACGGGGGCTAGCACTAATTATATCTCCCAAAAGCCGCAACCGGAATGACCTGGCGAAAGGTACAAGGAAAAGAGGTTATCATCGCCCGGGACAGGTCTCGGTCATCCGCTATGAAGTCTCCATCGACGCCAACATCGCAGACTTTAAGGACCAAATAACAGCATATATATTCGAGATGCGCTTCGATCTCGTTTTAGGACGAACCTGGCCTGGCTTAAGTTAGTAGAACTTACTCCAACTTGGCGTCCGGACGAGTGGCACATAAAGAAAGTTACATGGATTCACCCTGAAAGACCTATTTCTACGCACATCGTGACCACCGGATCAGGAGGAACGTTAGAAACGAAGGAGGAGGTCGATAGGGAATGCGGCTTCCTTACCTCGCATCGACAGTTGCAAAAAGAGGAGGCCAGGAAAGAGGTGGAGGATCTGTTCTTAGTTTGGCCAGGAAGCGAAGTAGTGGCGGAAAGGGAAAGTACCATCCAAGAGATAAAACCACTGGTAGAGGAATACAAGGACGTTTTCCGTGAGGGACTCCCGGGTTTACCTCCGGACAGAGGTGTCGCTTATGCCATTAACACCGGAGATCATGCACCTATTAGTCGTCCCCCGCTCAAAATGAGTCCAGCAGAACTGGACGAACTGAAGAAACAACTGTCGGAACTCCAGAAGTTGGGCCTGATCAGACCTAGTTCATCACCTTGAGGCACACCTGTCCTGTTTGTAAAGAAGAAGAACGGTTCGATGAGAATGTCTATTGATTTTCGGGCCATCAACAGAGTGACCAAGCGAGACACCTACCCGATTCCCCGAATTGATGAATGCCTAGAGAGGGCTTGGCGGTGCAAAGATTTTCCCGAAAATTGACTTGAAGAGCGGGTACCACCAAGTACGGATTCGACCAGAGGACGTTCCGAAAACGGCCTTCAATACTCGGTACGGATCCTTTGAATTTTTGGTGTTGCCCTTTGGTTTGACTAACGCCCCACCGACCTTTCAGCGTTTGATGAATGCAGTATTGGAAGACTTCATTGGCGATTTCGTGCTGTTTACTTGGATGACATTTTAATCTTCAGCAAAACAGAAGCCGAGCATGAACAACACGTTCGTCGGGTACTAGAGAAATTGCGACAGCATAAGTTGTATGCAAACCAAAAGAAGTGTGCTTTCGGAGCAAAGGAATTAGAATTCGTAGGATACAACATATCCAGCGAAGGAATATTACTTCGAGCGATAAAGTGAATAGCATCCGTCAGTGGCCGCAACCAGTCAACGTCCAGGAAGCGCGCTGATTCATAGGTGTAGCGAACTATTACCGCCAGTTTGTCAAGGATTTCGCTAGTATAGCCGCTCCTCTCACGGACCTAACCAGGGGCCAAGGCACCAAGCTATGACCAATTGTTTTGGTCCTTCTTTGTGCGTAAGTATTGTAACGGATTGTGGTCCGTAAACACTTCGTACTGCCTGCCGTCCACAAAGCAACGCCATGTCCTGAGAGCATGTAAGATTGCCAGCAGCTCGCGCTCCTGAGCCGGATAATTCCTTTCAGCCGGTGATAACTTCGCGGACTCGAAAGCCACTGGGTGCCAACGACCTTGTGCATCGGCTTGCGACAAGACAGCACCTATTCCGAAATCAGATGCGTCCGTCTCGATTCTCCAAGGCTGATCCGGATTCGGTGGGAGTAACACTGGTGCGCTTGATAACTTCTGCTTCAATGTTTGAAATGCTGTCTCGCAATCGTTGGTCCTGCACCCAGATTAGTACGATGGCTCAACGAGTTAGAACTGTATGATCCCATTATTAAGTATAAGCCAGGAAAGGAAATATAATTCCGGATGGACTATCACGGCGACATGACTTACAAAGTGCCGACCCGCGGACTTCGATGGAGGAGGAATATTTGTATCTAACCACGTCGCAAGAAAGAAACACAGACTGGCCATTGTACTATTTACAACCGGATAACACACCCTACGGAATTGAAACGAATGTTAGAACGGGAAAGGTCCAAATTCGTTATAGATAAATAAACAGTGTTACGAAGGATCACAATTGACAACCAACCATTAACGGTTCCTTACTTAGAGAGTGGTCCAAGCGGGCAGACACAGTGGAAAAATTTCACGTCGCTTTCGATCACCAGAAAGGCCAAACACTGATGGACCTGTTACGAAAAAGATGTTGGTGGCCCAATATGCGCAGGGATATTGAACAATGGCTGAGGCACTGCTTACCCTGTCAGATGGCAGCCAACCCAGGCAAGTCCGTTCATCAGGCACCAATGATCCCACTGGACGTTCCCCCTCCTTTCTCTCGTTGGCACTTGGACTTTATCGGAGAACTACCGACAACACTACGCAGAAACCGATGGTTGTTGGTGGCAGTCGATTACACTACAAACTGGCCGATAGCTCGAGCCCTGCCAGACGCCACTGGCGACGCAGTTGCCAAGTTCATCCATGAACAAATCGTGATGCGTTTTGGCTGTCCATCGGAAATCTTGACGGATCGAGGCTCTAACTTTATGTCCAAAGTGGTGGAACAGTATCTGCAGAGACTACAAACGAAGCATAAATGCACCTCTGCGTTCCACCCACGCACAAATGGAAAATGCGAACGACTGAATGGCATACTTAAGGCTATGCTACGCACCTATTGTAACGGCAATATCCACAGATGGGACGACTTTGTGGACACGGCTCTCTTCGCGGCAAGGATCCGCACCCATAGGATCACGGGCAAGAGTCCTTTCTACCTGACGTACGGAAGAGAACCGGTTTTACAGGCGACCCACTTGTACCGTTCATCGACAGGCGGTTTACCAAGGATCCTAGAGTGATTGCTGAAAGAAACGCGGAAGAGTTGGCTAAGGTCGACCAGATCCGGGCCTCGATTGAGTGGAAAGCGAAATCGGTTAGTGCGAAGGACAAACAGCGCTGGGACGCTAAGGTAAAGCCCCTGACCCTGGTGATCACGTGCGCATGCGCAAGGAAAACAAGCTTGGATTGGAGCCAAATTGGATAGGCCCATACGTGGTAGTTGGCAAAAACCAGGATACGCACATCTACAAGCTCGAACACATCCTAGGAGAACCCTACGACTCATGGGTCCACATAGACAGGCTGCGGAAAATAGATCCTTATTCGATTGACACTCCCTTCTACAGCCCTGCTACCACGCGAACCAACTGGGTTACAGAGAATGGCTTACCACCGGATGAACCGTATGAACCTACTTCTATGCACCCAGTCCCAGTGCAAGACCCCAATATGGAAGACGACATAGTGGATCCTTCGGAAGTTGATCGAGGACGATCAACAAACTGGGAGGGGGGTATTGTCGTACCTCAGAGTACGAATGAACCGGCAACTATAACTACAAACATGGGCGAAGCAGTACCAATGGTACAGAAACGTACTAAGGCTCTAGGAGGCATGGATAAGTGGAAGTTCAGACCGACGATACCTAAGGTACGTAGGTCGATACAAAGAAAGGCAAGTGCCAAAGAAGCGTCGGACAAGTCCGACCGCCACACACGTAATGCCGAAAGTACTAGAAGACCTTGAGGCAGGAAACTTCTGGAAAGCAGTAGTAATAGACGAAGTGTAAAGTATAAATACTGTAACTACAGAATGCAATAAAGATCATCAATTAACCAGAGACTCATAGTCTGCAGAGAGGTGTACCTTTTGGCGAACGACAAAAATGTCGTCAGCCAGACGACAGAAGTAGACGTCACAACAGTTACACCTAAAAGAAAATTTTGTACCCAACACAAAGATACTCAGAAGGATACCATCCAAGACATATAACCCGACGCATATCTCCAACGGAGATATATAACATAGAACAAAACATCACAAAGCGATACGGAAGATAAGACGGATGTTTAGTAAAACGTAATATAAATAACGTATAGAAATCCCTACAAAAGAAGAGGGGGAGCAAAAAGAAGAATAAACAAGAAGAATTCCCAGTTTAACAAACCTAACTAAGGATAAAGATTACCGCGGACCAAATAAAATAAATTGGAGCTATGGCCCAATGGACAAGGCGCTTGACTACGAATCAAGAGATTCCAGGTTCGACCCCTGGTAGCTTCATTTTTCTTCCCTGCAATTTTTTTTCTTGTTTTCAAAGGTGTCGTCGCCTAAAATACAAAATGACAGTTCAACCGAACGCCGGTTCAAGGGGACTTCTTTACCAGCGAAGTCACATTGAATATCCTCTTAAA